GATTATTATTCTCATTTTTTTATGAATATTATAAAACTTGGCTTCGCATTTGAATTTTTATATATAAGCGAAGACGTTTTCTCGTGAAATCTCGCCTTATTCATTATATTTATTATTCATTCAGCTAAGACTGTTTCTCTGTAACTGTACGTATGAATAGTGACGGAATTAATTTATATCAAAGATTCAGGAGGCACATGAATAAAAAGGTCCTCTAGATACGGATTTAAAATTCTTTCAGCGTCGACTGACAGTCTTCTTCAAATCCCCCCTCATGAAGCTCTTCGTGTTTTTGTCTCCGAGTTAACTTATGTTTTGAAATGGTTTTGTAACTTTGGATTTTCTTGATCTCTTAAAAGCTTTATAGCTCATTCATTTTTCTGCTCTACATATTCAACTTCAATCTCCGTAATCACATTGGCTCTGCTATTATAATTTTAAAAGCTGTGTCAAATACAAATTTGTGAGTTTGAAATTATCTGCATAGTTATTTTTACTCACATTCTTGAATTAGATCGAAAAATAAAGATCTTACAAATCACACATTTACAATCGTAAGCTTACTTTCCTGCAGCTGCTAGTTTCGGAAATCTCTTCAAAGTTAAAGTGAATAGACATATTATAAATAAGCAAGCTTCATCTTCAGGTTTGTTAGCACTTTGAATGTCATTGAATATTTAAGGCTTATAACTTGTATATCCTTATTTATCCTTACGGAAAGTCTGGAAATCTGTTGAGACACTTTGGTCTTAAGTCAAAGATTTCTGCCCTGTTTCACAATCTTATATATATAAAACTCAAAGGTGACTGACTGACATAGTGATCTATCAACGCACAGCCCAAACCAGGCTGAAATTTGACATGCAGGTAGATGTTATGACGTAGGCATCAGCTAAGAAAGGATTTTGATCAATTCTACCCCCAAGGGGATAAAATAGGGAATGAAAGTTTGTATGAAACTTTGTCAATTTTTGAAAACCGATCGGGCTGAGACTTTGAATGCAGGTATAAGAAGAATCATAGATGAATGTCATTGTGTATAATACAAGCCTGAGAACAAAAACTGTAGTCTACACTTCAGCTCCACACCGAAGCGAAGCGAGGGCGGGCCGCTAGTCGCTAAGTAAAGTTCTAATTAAGCTACTTCGAACATTAAAATGCGTTTAAAATACGCTATACTTTAAGTAACTTATAATTCACAGGGTGCTGTGATATGGTGATATAGCGCACCATGCATTTATATATCTAATATTAAATTCTCGTGTCACGGTGTGCGTAATTGAACTACTCCGAAACGGCTCAACCGATTTTCGTGAAATTTTATATGCATATTCAGTAGGTTTGAGAATCGGACAACTATATTTTTCACCTATACTATATACTACTTTATTTTTACTACTCTATTGTTAAGGGTGGACACCCTTGTAAATATATTTATATCTTTTGGACATTTTTTTATACATCATACAAAAATACATATAACCCTAACTTTTCACCCTTCTACCACCAACCCCTTTTTTATGGCGGTACGAAGTTCGCTGGGACAGCTAGCAGCTTATATATATTATCAATGTGAAATAGGCCCTTTAATTCAATATAGCCAATTGAGGTTTCCTGAGCTCAACGGAGTCGGGAAAGACATCAAGATAGTGAAGGTCAAGGTAAACTTGCCGTGGCTAAGGTAACAAATCCGTCTATAGGCTATGGTTGTTTCTAACTATCAGCAGGCGGAACATGTTGCTTGTTGGTTATCCTATTTACATTAACTAAAATGCTCAAAGTATCGCACCAATCTAAAAGCTGTTCATATATCGTGTTCCTGCTCATACAAAATATCAACACAAACAATTTTAAACACTCGCATCATGGAAATTAGAAATGAAGTGAGGGCATCGCTCGCAAACCGGGGGCAAGTGCCAGTTCCATCAACAAACTTTTCTGCGGAAATTGAATCGGCGACCATTTCGTTTAAGTTCGCATTACATCCGCTGTTTGTAATGGAACGGCTGCCTTGAACAATGGTTGATGAGCTCCGTGGCTTGCTAATGAGAGATTTTGCTATACTGTTTGAATATAAACCACGTTTACAAATATATAATTATCTTACTAATTCATATAGCGGGGATAATACCAGGCCACTCAGAAAGTATTGCGAGAAAAAGTTTTTATGTATAAGACACTGGCCAGTTGTAATTATTTCGAAAACTTCGATTATTGAATAGTAAAAATACCACTGTTCGATTTGCAAATTTCCCTCCGCATTTTTTCGACAGTCAGTTAATTTTTTCTTGTCTCATTAAAAATGAATCTGTATCGAGAACATTTTCGTGCTATGATTTCTTACGTTTTTAAAAGTGGCGATTTTGAACTGCTTTTATGGATGAAGGACCTTCATAAGTAACCATCTACCGCTGGTGTAGCGAGTTCAAACGGGGTAGTCTTACTTTGGGGGATGAACAAAGGAGTGGTCTTCCTACGACGACTGTCACCGAAGAAAGTGTGCTGGCAGTAAAAAAAATAATCCAAGAAAACAGACGAATTACGTACGAAGAGATTCAGCATACTCTGCAGATTGGTTCAGGAAATGTTCACAAGATTTTGAACGAACACCTTTGCGTCAGGAGGATAGTTTCCCGCTGGGTGCCGCACAACCTCACTGAAGCTCAGAAGCAGGCCCGTGTGGATTGGTGCAGTGATATGATGCAAAAATTTTATGCAGGTTCGTCACGGCGCGTTTACGATATTTTGGACTCCACACCAGTCAGAGTCTTGGGGCACATTAACTACAGTCCTGATTTGGCTCCGTGTGACTTCTTTTTATTCCCTAAAATATAAATCAGTCAGTTTTCATCGCCGGAAGAAGCGCTAGCAGCGTTTGCGAAGGCTATGGAAGAGGTGTCTGTGGAGGACTTGAAAAAATGTTTTGAAAATTGGTACAGACGCATGAAACTCTGTATAGAGAGAAGCTGGTGGAGACTTCTTTGAAAAGATTATTTTTTTTTTTCATAGAAGTTACTTTTTTAGTTCCTCTAAATTTATTGAGTGTCCCACGTATTTACAACTAATTAAAAAAACCTTTAGCAGGTACATCTAAATAACGCCATTCCAGATGTTTAAATCCATTTGAATTACTTTAAGCTAAACCGCTTGAATATGTATTTAAAACGTATTTACAACTAATTAAAAAATACTTTAGCAGGTACATCTAAATAAAGCCATTTTAAGATATTGAAATCCATTTGAATAACTTAAAGCTAAACCGATTGAATATGTATTTAAAAATAAAGAAAAAAATGCTATTACGTTCATGCCAAATTATGCATGCATGAAGATTGCTCGACAATATATCGGGCCAGCATCAGAAGTGGTTTCGGAATATGTTTACTACGGCAATGACTTTGTAATAACTATATAAATAATGTATTTTTCACACTCACTACGCGTATTTGCACTGTGTTGTAAATTATTATTTCACTTTGTACCCCTGTTTAATTTCTGTTGTGCAAATATCTCAATTATACTGCAATCCGTTGTGTGAGTCTTGCTTTAAATTCAGCACACCAAGAAATTAATTCACATTTATAATATTCTGATACGGTTTTCTGCATTAAAACGGATGAAATTTTGATTAATAATATCCTTTGATTTTAGCCTCTACAGTTGTATATTGGGTAAATATATCGGTAATACGATTGCGTAGTTACAAATTTGGGATATAATTTAAATAGGTTCGAGTTATTGTATGTTAATTAATTTCGGCTTCTGAATGATATAGTATTTAGAGCATTATTATATGATTCCGAACCCTGAAATTGTAATGGTGGTCCGAGCATATCGTTAGCTTAAGTTCCTAATGAGATTTCCTTTTATTGTGAACGAAATACTGTTTTCCTACGATTAATATTATGCAACTTTTATAGTACCTCCACTCTACATCTAAACAAAGCCAGTGAAATGAATTGCTGTTTTGTTACTTGACCTTTCGTGTTCGGTTGGGAGATTTTTCAATGGAATGATTCACAATGGATGAAAGGAAATAAATTGAAGTGGCAGAGCCACGTAAGTTTTAGGATTATTCAAGTCATTGTGAATAGGACTTTGACCTTTTTTAATGATTTTGTGCACTTGCCAGCATGAACACTAACATTTTTATTCCTGAAAACTCTGCCGGATTTACTGACGATTCGTTGTCTCAATTTATTTTACGATATGAAAAACTTGGTCAAACCAGGTAATTACCTTTCATTTGATAAATAAATCTAATATTTTTTATTTTTGCAGCTATAAAATACATATTATGAATATAAAGCTAGAAATAAAAAAAATATACATGAAATGATTTTTTGACTCTACTGTAAAATTGTCGTTTGGCGTTTTTTGAGACTCAAGTTAGCGACATGCTTGTTCACGGAGCCAGATTGGGCTTGTTGCTTAGTTCACTAAGCATAGTACGCTTATATAATAAATCTATAAAGCGTACATTCATAAGAGGTTATTGAAAAAACGTAAAATGTTTATAAAATTGTGTATTGCATTTCATATTACATTGCTAATAATTATTATCCTCTATCCTTTTTTTTTTTGATACGCTGGTGAAATGCATGAAATTGCATACCACATGGCGGTTATGTGAGGCTCTCCTCCCCAGAAGGGGGAGGCCTACCCACTATAACCCCAGCGATGGCCGCCATCAGACATTGTACGGGGCCTCAGGGTCGATCGCAACTGAGGACCCGCAGCCTTTGCTCCCCTGCTTCCACCAGGGGAGCCCTTCTCGGGGATTATCCTCTATCCTATTTTAATTTAGAACATGCAACTGGCATAAAAACCATTGTGTAAAAATAATGCAAACGAAATAAAATGTAGGTTATAGTAACGGGATTACCATGTACCCCGATATTTGTTTAACAAGGTACAAGTTAGTAATCCTGTTAATAACATAAATTACTATAGTGTTACTGACCATGGGGGCTTGAAACAATAAAATGTTTGTTTTTCAGTGAAACGGCGGGGAGGTATGTGGGGCGGGGGTGCGCAGTGCGTGCACGCATCGCTGCCGCGCGGCGCGCGCGCTCAACCGGCGCCGGCGCCGACGCTCAGTGGCGCCATCGCCAGCCGCCGCCCTCCCCGGTAAACTATAATATTTTGTGATTTATTATAATAACGTCCTGCAATGTTATGTAAATAATAGGGATTTCTGATAAGGATATTCTCCCATTGTCATTTGGGTCATATATTAGTAATAATTGGAATTTCCGATTAAAATGTTACTTAAATGATTTATTGTTTGCAATTAGATCCTGAATTATCCAGACCTTGTAAGTTTGGATTTTAAACGTTGCTTGCCCCATTTTTACATTTAACACATTTTCAACAATAAGTAAAAATAAAGTAATAAACATCTTTGTCTTATCTTTAATATACAGTGGTGGTCGTATAATTAGAAACACTACCAACGGTCTTTGACATTATGTAAGATACTTCACCGCAATCGTATTTATTTTGAAATTAAACAATAAATAGGACAACTATATGTTCAACGATTTATCATTTATTAGAAAAAACAATATAAATCCCATTACACAAGTGCAGTTTGAATATTACATTACGGACAAACATTTAAATCAGTTTTGAGGTATGAACAATAATGGTCAACTAATTTGAAACGACAACAAAAAAGTATAAAAACAATATTTTTTAAGTACTACAGTATTGTTATTTACGAAATATCTACTATGCACAGCCTAACGAGTTATAATTAATATTTAGTGGCGTATCCCTTATTTTCAATAACAGCACTGCAACAATGTGGCATTGATTCAATCAATTTCATACATTTTATTAGGGGGATTGAATTCCATACTTCAACAAATGCTTCATTTAGTTCGTTTTGACTGGTGTTACGTTTGATTGAAACTTTATTTTTAACAATACACCAGAGATTTTCTATCGGGTTTAAATCCGGACTATTTGCTGGCCAGTCTAAAACGGATATGCGCTGTTCGCTAAGGAAACATTTGACGTTATTGACCGTATGTTTAGGGTCATTGTCATGCTGAAAGATCCAGGTTACAGGCAAATTATCGTCCGAGTAGGGTATCATTGTGTGCTCTAAGATATTTTTGAATTGCCATTGATCCATTGTACCTTCAATCTTCCGAACGGGTTCAACGCCACATCCGGAAAAACACCCCCAAACTTTAATGTTACCACCACCGTGCTTGACTATATCCCTTGTGTATTTATAATTAAAAGCATTGTTTACAGGACGTCTAACATAGCGCTTTCCATCTGAATTTACCATATTTATTTTTGTTACATTTGAAATAACCCTTTTTTTCATTCTCGCACCGTCCAATTAACATATTTTTAGCGAATAATAATCGCTTCTCTCGGTGTTGCTTGGTAAGAAGCGCTACCTTTCGAATGATTCTTCCAAAAAATTTAGCTTCCTTTTCCTACTAATCTTTGGCGTTTCAGTCTTGACGAGATGTTTCTCAGGTCACCAGGCGAGAAAATTTCATTTTTAGTCTGGTTGCAGCCTTTTCCTTTTTAGCAACACGAACGATTAGTATATCTTCTCTGGGAGAGGTTTTTCTTGGCCGAGCCTTTCTAAGAACATTTTCAACAGTTCCATGTGTTTTATAATGATCAATTGCATTAAAAACTTTCTTAACAGAACAAATTAAATGCTCGCAGCTATTCTTCTGTACGCCCACTTACTAACAATTATTTGCCTAGTTGACGCGTCACAACTTTTATTTTTGTCCATTTTGAACAAAATAAAATTCAGATTAAATTTTGAATAGCCGCCACAATAATACAAAAAGCCAAGAAATAAATGTTATTCTCCAATTTCAAAAAAATAAAGAGCTATGGATGTTTTTTAAAATGTTTCTAATTAGGCGTCCAAGCGGCCAGTGACAGAAAATAAACTCCTATATAATTATCTAAAGCTCATTTTGAAATTAAAATTAAGATATGTTTTATATTTTATGCATTCAATGAGTTTTTAATTTGAGTGGCTATATTATTGCATGATTATTAATTATTGAATGTGCATATTTTGTACGAACATTTGTACGTTGTAGATAAACTTTCTTTATTCATAAGAATTGTTTCTAATTATATGACCACCACTGTATACATTATAATAAGAATATAAGCTCCATGTGTCTGTACATAAAACAGATTGAAAAACAAAATTGGGGTCTTAGAAAAGTAGTATAACACGATTCTATATATTTTTTAGCTTTATCTCTTATCTCTTTGTCTGTCGTTTGATCGTCGTTTTGTCTATATGTTTGTAATCGCATGAAACCAAAACTGCTGAATTAAATGCAATGAATTGTAAATGTGATCATAAAGTGTATCTTTGGATAACATTTAGTCTTTATTTCATTAAAATCGGTGAACTCTATTAAAAGTTATTACAATTTAAATCCATGCAGAAGTACAGTAATGTCACAGTACCTATGTAACGTAATTTTATACAAAATTTCACTATCAGTGCTTATAATAGATGGCGCCTCTATAAAGAAAGGTCATCTGCGACCAACAACATACACACTCAAAAGAAATAAGAAGACTTTTCGACGAGTTTTATATACCTAAACAGATTCTGGTTTTTTTTAACTTCTTAAATTTATGTTAAGCCATTAGGCAAGTGTATTCTGTGCAGTGTCCACCGACATCGGCTGGAGGAAAAAAGAGTACGCAGAGCTTAAAAATATCTTACAATTTTTTTTTAATCACGGAATTTTGACTTAGCCGAATTCTGGTTTTTACAAACTGATTTGAAGTCACGGGAGCGGGGAGCTGCCGGGCATAAGGGCTCTTCGGGGTAGAGGGCACATGGGCTCGAGGTCATTGAAAGAAGGCTTCCGACGAGTGGTCCAAGGGACGAGGGCCTTTAAGGAATTGGGAACACGTGTCAAGCCAAGGGCACCTACTCGGAACGGGGGCACATGGTGGTGGGGGTTCCAGGGAGTCCGGAGTACCTTGGCTCGTACGGCATCGTGGGGATCGTGGGTGTCGGGATAACTTCAGGTTGAGCGTCCCCGGGGTCAGAGGCACCTGGAGAGTGGAGTATATCAAGGGTTGGCAGTACAGGGGTAGGGTAACACAGAGATTGCGATCACCTAAGGGTGAGTGAGAGTTCCAGTGTAAACAGACGATGTAAGGTAAGGTTAGTGTTGCAGCCGGGGATGCGCCAAAACGATGTATTATTTAAATATTTTTTGAATAAGTCAGTAAAGTTTAGAGCTTAATGACGGATTGTTCAGGGGGTAGCGATTCTCCCATGACTCCAATTTATATGATGGAAATGGGTTGCTATAAGGAACTTTGTTTGTATATGGCACTTTTTCGTTATAATCCTTGTCCTACCGGTATCCCGTGCCCCCCATCACCTGACCCCAATGGCTCTCAATTATTGTCGTTTACAAAAAAGAAGGTATTAGCTTAAATAAATGCAAGAAGAGAGCTTCTCTTCTTCAGAAAAATCTATGTCACTTACGTTCGCGTTCGCGTTGACGTCGGAAAATAACGCGAAGGAAGTCGCAGGCACAGCTAGTTGACAAATAAATTCAGCAGTTCCAATATTTGTAGGTTGTATGTTTTTTTTTATAAATAAACCTCTATTTCCAGTACCAACAGGCAATGTGAAGCAATATTCTAGATCTTTGAAAAAATAAATATACTTACAGCTGTAAAATAAATGAGTGTTACAGCGGATTCTTTAAGAAACAATTATTTTCATTTGCCTTACAATTTTATCCCATTCATAAGTCGCGTAAAAATCTAGGAAGTGTAATAAGAGGTTTCCTTGAAAAAAAAACTTAGAATAGTTACGGACCTATACGATTTAAAGGGCGCTAGTTATCTAAATGAGAATCAGACTCAACCAACCATATTATATGAAAGTGTTCTCAAAATCTAAATTGTTCTTCGATAAATCACAATACATCGAACAAAATACTACCAAAATGCAGATACCACATTTATATTACGGGCGCAAAACCCCCGATATATTACGTTCACGTAGCGTTGTGATTTACGATCCTAAGAATTGAACAGCTAAACAATTTTTATGCAAATTTCTCGCCCGCACCCGATAAGCAATTTTTGACAGCAAGCCAGATAGTTAGGTCCGGTGTTTATTTGCATTTTTTGATGGACCCTAGCGACCCTAGTGACGAACTGTAAAAAGAATACCCGACAGAGGGTTTTCGTTCCCTTGTTTGATTTGCTTTTCATGTTAATGTATCCAGTTGCTATACTAGTAGGCGAGGAGCCACAAATCCTGAAAGCTCCGTGATCACGGATTCTAATATTTTTAATTTCCATATTAATTAGTATAATTAATAGTTAAAAACTTAAGGAAGAGACCAGAGGTAGAAGAGAGACTAAAAGAAATGTCATGTCATGTCAAGTAAGTGAAATCTATAACAGTATAATCCTCACTCACACAATAAAATTTGATATGCGCGATACTTTCGGCAGTTTGTAAGCACACATACCAAGATCATTATAAATGTGACATTAAAACGGGTGAATGAAAAAATAAGAAAAAGGTTACCGTGATATTGGATAAATTTTACCCCTTATCATACCATTCAAATAGGTATGCGTGACCTTTCCGGCTAAAAAACATTGGTCGGCCAGATTTTTTCCTGTTGAACATAATATTTCCCACAAAATTCTATATAAGATTGATCAAAATCCGTGATGACGGAAAAAATATGGAAATTTAATAATAAATATCTTAATTAAAATATTTCCGGCCAATCAAATCCATGCCGACCAAGCAAATCTTGTACGTCTAAACGTTAACTTTTTTTTTTTAACTTTAGAATCCGTGATCACGGAGCTTTCAGGATTGGTGGCTCCCGGACTATAGTGTATTTTGAACTCCAACAAACTTATTAATAGGTAACTATCTTATTGTGGCTTGATTGGTTACATGGAATATACACAGAAATATTCTAGGTACAGACAACAAGAATCTTAATCGTTTCTATATATAATAATATATATATATAATCGTTCATGTTAAGTATATCCTCAAATTGACGAAATTATATTTTGTTTGAACTTCATTACCGAAAGTTCGTTTCGGAGAATGAGGGTATTCCCTTGTTCGAGTTTCATGGCCAAGGGTACAGCAGTTAAGGTAGGGTAAGGGAAGTTAATCTTCCACTGGACCTATAGGGCAAATCCAAGGACACAAAGAAAAAAAAACAGAAAAACCCTCCGTTGATTATTATTTGCGCTGAAAATTTGTCGAATAATAGATGAAGCTTGCAGCTTGCCTATGGAAGAAACTTGCAGCTCACAGAAAAATGTTGGTAATACCAAACAGTTATATTTTTATTGTTTTATTCCTGTAATTGGTAAAATTGTAAGAACTCCCCAAGTTCTGGGTAGGCCGCTCGCGAGAGATATTCAAGTGTCACTACCGTCGTGTACAATGGTGGCCACTTGTCATCAGGCGGATCGCCTTTCTTACATTAAAAATGCTTGTTGCTTATCGAATACCACTGCAAATTCCAGGCCCACTCCTCCTTCTCCGACGTTGGTGGCACAAATCGATTCATCAGTGGCCTGCCTCTGGTTGCTGACTCCGCTATCAGCTGGCACAGCAGTTGTGGCGGTGCTGGTGGCAGTTTCCACCAACAACTGGCTTCACACAGAAGAGAACATGCTGAACCCTTCGTTCAATGGCACGGGAAACCACGGGCTGGTGGCACAACACACTGTCTCCGGCCTGTGGAGGATATGTCACACTGATCGTAAGTATCTCTTTCGTATTGAAATGTGTTCTTGTCTCCGATGTTGGTAGCGCAAATCGACTCATCAGTGATCTGCCTCTGGCTGCGAACTTCCCTAGCAGCCGGCACAGCAGTAGTGGCAGTACTGATCGAATCGAATTCGATCGTGATCGTATCTGTTTTGTATTGAAATGTGTTTTCATCCCATTATAACCCGTTCAAAATAGTCATTCATTTCAATTCAATTCAATCAATAAATGTAACCACATTTATTTACATAAAGTTGAAAATTGTGATGTTTTGTGTACATCATGTGTCAGAACAGTGACTGTATGTATTAGTGTTGTATCGGAGTGCCATAGAGCATCTCCATTAGAGACCACATTTAAGGGCATTTGCTCATGTCAACCTTAGTAATACCACGTAATACTGTTTATGTGTGTGCCACGTCGTGGTACAAGTTTTCACCTTATTTATTCTCCGAACATGACGTCATATTGTTGCGTCCAATCAAAACGCGGCTCCACGCACGCTACTAATTTTGGCGATTTCGAACAAATAGTTAGTAATGCGAACTCGAGTTTTTATGCGTAGCTAATTCTAATTAATTTCAGCAAGCTAATTCTTCCTTTATAAATGAAAGCGGTTTGTCAGGTGATGTAGAATAAATCTAACCAGTAAGTAAAAAAATATGAATCGTTCGTATTGACTTCTATCATCCCAGCCAAACTTATTCCATTTTAATGCACTAAAAATACACCTCTTACTACAATACACCGCGGGCAATGAATCCGAGTTAGCCTTATTTCAGAAATCATCTTTGTTTCTAGAAATTTCATTTATTAGAAACTTCAGTTACTTCGACTAGATATTTTCATGTTACTTTCCTGATTGTAGTTGGAAAGTTCAATTTTGTACATTTTTTTTATAATTTAATTTCACATTACAGATTTAAGTTATAATTCAAAGCAAAAAACAGTAATTCAGCAATAAGCACTTTGAGCTCAATCATTTTGTGGCTTACATTTTCTTATAAAATAAACATTTCTTTTTTTGCTATGTATAATACATATATTCAACAAAGTAATGTTATCGTTAATCGAAAAATAGAATATTTTGCTTTTTTCAATATCTATATCAAAGCAACCCTGTAATGATTGCTGCGTAGTAGTACAACGGGATTGAAGGCCTTACAGCAGAAAGCTTTCACAAAGTCTTTGTGAGAAAAATAAAACCATTGCTATTTATTTTTATTGCGTCACTTTCATTCGAAAACCAGAAAAGAGTTAACATAAGAGCAAATACTTAATGATCAACATGTTAACTATTGTAGAGTAATGATATATAAATAAATATCGCTAACATTCACACCATTGGCCTAGTTTCAAAGTAAGCATTGTAAGGCTTGTGTTACAGAATGGTAGGGTAACGGATAGACCTTGCGGGTCAGTCTTAACAGGTTGCCGCGACCACACCTGCACTTTTAGCACGCATTCTGGGGACCTTGAATCTCAAAATGCGTAATGGGTGGCTGGTGCAGGAGTATTTAGCCTGTAGTTTTAGTGGGTAAGGCTTTGTTTGTGCAATTAGCCCTCGAGCTGGGTGCAATAGGCAGGGAGGAGTCATTACATAATCCTCTTTGCAAGTCTCGGTGGTGTTGAAAGCATCATGCCTTTCTCAGACAGTGAAAAAGGGGTAACAGATAGAAATACATAATAAGTATTTTGAGGACCTATCATATTTTCGAAATATCCCTGAGATATTTATATAAACAAGAACTATAACTTAGGTACCAATTAACATACATATTTACAAACAAACATTTGCCCCACCGGAATTCGAACCAAAGACCACACTACCCTCAACGAATATAAATTTTCCGTAATGTAATTTATTCTTTATGTTTGTGACATAATCGGGCAGAACCTGGATTGACACATCTCAGAGAAGCGTTATGTTCCTAAGGGATTATTAAATAACACAAATTACTTACAGGACGTATTGGTCCCGGCGTAGATAGACTTACAAAACTTTTGCCTCCCTCAAAAGTTTTAAACAATTATATTTTTATTCTGAACTAGTGGCCCGCCTTCGTTTCGCTTCGGTGTAGAGCTGTAGTGTAGACTAAAATGACTTCATATAATTATAAAAAAAAAAAACTGAAAATGGTATATATGCCTTTTCCAAACTTTTATTGACATCACGTCACTCAATTGTTTTGCCTTCCCGGAACCTCTCCACTAACATTTGAAATTTATGGTATGGTATTAAACCTCAAATTGACTTTTAAGTATTATTACGAATCGTTTGTATAGGAGTATGGAAAATGTTGTTTTTGGACTTTTTAAGGTATTTTTTAAAAAAAATTTCCACATACTTCAAGGAATATTTTAAAAAAAGAATTATCGAAATCGGTTCACCTGTTCTCGAGATTTGCGCTTAACAACACATTTAGCGATTCATTTTTATATTATAGATTCCACAAAGACGAAGTCGAGCGCAATGTTTAGTACCGAACATCTAACATACATATTAAATAATTTTTTTACCCGATCTCAAACAAAAAGCTGGGAGAGACAATACAAACCTTCCGCACGCGTTCTGGCTACAATGCGTCGCCGCTTCCGTCCCGTCGCGGAAGTGCATTGTGCTTCACAGCTTCGCAGTGGGGCCGACCCACTTCTACTACGGTACACAGTCGTGGCCGCGCCGCCGCTGCCCATCCGTTTACGACTAGTCCATTTCCTTTATTAAATAGCCGCGCTATTGTGACTCGAAAAAAGTAATTAAAACAAGGGTTTTAAATACTTACGCTACTTTTTTCTCTCGCACTCGTGACTCTTGTTGAGAACTACCGATCTACACGGATTCTTTCGGGTCTTATACTAATGAAAAATTTAAAAGAGAAAGTTTCAATACAAAGACTGGAAACCAGTTCTATTGAATTTCCAAGAAAAAACTATCATACCAAATCTATTGTTTTGACAATAACATGTCTAGTTCACGCGCCACCACTGCCCATCCGTTTATAACTAGTCCATTTCCTTTATTATATAACCGCGCTATTGTAACGCGAAAAAGATAATTTTAACAAGGGTTTTAATCGTGACTTTTTTGAGAACTATCGACCTATCCGGATTCTTTTGGGTGGAACATGCTAATGAAAAATGTAGAAGTGAAGGTTTCAATACCAAAACTGAAAAACTATCATACAAAATCTCTTGTCTTGGCAATAACGTATACAGCACACAAAAAAAACGAGCGAGCCTTACAGTAGTCGCGTATGATGTGTAATATTTGAAACCTCACCTTATACTAATAAAAAAAGAAATAAAACCTACTGCAAAAGGAATAAGTCATTTGAACAATATGTTCTAAAATCAAATCAAATAGCACGTGCTCTCACGACTTTCACGAAATCACCCACAAATTGCAGGAAAGCGAGAGAAAAGATGTTACACATCAAAAATTATCTGATTTAGTGCAGTTTTCAGAAGTTATGCGCCTGTGGTACATTTTAGCGAATGTTCCGGAAACAAGTTACTTTTCGGACGTTATGGCGAATGGGGGCTAGGCGAAAAAATCTAAGATTTTTCGTCACAATCTAGCGATTCAGCTGTGTGGGTAGCTAGATGGGCAGCTAGGTGGGTTACCACTAACGGCGATGGATGTAGATTTGGTTTAAAGTTTTAATGGAATATGGGGATTGAAATAACACTCACCACGCAGGCTTGTGCGGATTAATGGGTAGGTTATTTTTTGTGAATGCAATTGGGAGACGGAACTATGTCCCGCCAAATATTCAAATAGCCATTCGGTAACTTTTAAGTAGTTACCTTAGTTTTCAAGATAGCAGAATTGTTATTTTGTGTATCATATCAGGGTCTGTACAAGAATAATCACTGAAGCTACTACATCTTTGACATCCAAAAAATAAAAAGTCGAATATGGAGTATAGCAAGTTTGTACATATGAAAAAATAAAAACTTTTCTTTTTCTCCCAATTCAGTATGCAAGACTCCTTTCTTTATACTGATGTGAAACAAATGTTTTTCAGCTGGCAGTACGGTGTACCGGTGCTTGGACATCCCTTACTTCCCATTGTCACAATACACGCCAGATCAAAGTGACTCCACAAACGCAATACCATGTGAGTAAACGTTTTCCTGTGTTTAAGAGTAACATAGAGGAGTATTGGAGTTGAAGGAGTTTCTTATCATATGGATGTTTGTTACCGCCAAAGTCTGTTTTAGGTTTAGAAGATGTCTTTAGAATTAGGTCCTTTGATAAATTAAAATAAAACTAGGGCATTTTTATGGACAATTAAAATACATAGGTATATAGGTACATTGTTAACTAAACACTTTTTAATGTAGAGGTTTTCCAACTCATTATTTTTAAAATCATCTACAAACTGAATTCAACAATTGACAGGGTAAATACGTTATATCAACGTCAGTTTAACTAGTAAGGGAGGCTATACATTCCTTTATCACTAGTCAAAGGCCTATTTGAAAAGGTATGTGTACTATACACAATAGTGCGAAAATCCCTTATTTTGAATGCTGAGGATGAATGGCATTGAATACTGAGTACGATAGAACATACAATGCTAATTAATGCGTTGGAAATGGGTGCTCTTCTCTTTGTCGATATAGTTTTGTAAATAATTAAATTAGTGATGATTAATTCTGGGTTCCTGGGGCTCATGTGTCCACCATCTTTTCAAAGATATTGCGAAAAGATTGGTGGGGACCACTGGAGACCGCAGAGCTGGCGGCTATTTCACCCAGCGGCGCAAGCCTCGCCATTCAGCAGGGAAATGCCGCTAGCATCCTGGGAATTTTTGCCGGCGGGGAAGACTTAGGGCAGTTATTTTTTTTTATCATTTTAGTAGTTTTAAGTTTTAAGTTTTGTCTAGTTTTAGTGTAGTTTTAGTTAAATATTTAAATGTAAGAATTTTTTTTTCTTGTTGGAAAATAAGTAATTTAATTTGGTATTTAACATATTTTTTATTAGTGATAAATTGTAGAATGAATGAATTCTGCTGCTTATGATAAGCAGCAGAATTCATTGACTAAGCAAAGGAGGCACCGTGCGTGTTTAAGCGTATCAAAATTTAAATGTGACGTCAGGTGATTTAAATATTTAAATCAGAGATAAATTTGAAGTACAATGTGCATGCATGCGAATGGAATATAAATTATTGATCAAAAATTGTACACAAAGCTGGATATGTCTGGTCACCGAGATAGGTAACCTTATTTTACTAAATGGTAGGATTACAAAGTAAGTAAAAAGCCCTTTTGATTTTTGTAATACGATAGTGATTAACAATATGGAACTAATGGGTTAGTTTTTTACTATTAAACTAGCAGGTGGTATTTTTTTAAATTATGCGCTCCTCAGAGAAGATTGTTTGACTCAGTGGTTTCTACTATCATGGCAGTAAAAAGGTCTTCCACAGGATATATGACTTAAAATTAACTATCGGAGTTCGGACGGCGTGATAAGCCCCGGCTGCAACTGTCCCGGGCCACAGACTTCTTATGGATGGAATAGGGAGATTGGGCCGTGACCCACCACGCGGGTCCAGTGTGAATTTTCTAGTGCTAACGACTTCAGAAGCAGCCGAGACCTACGGCTTAACGTGTTTTCTGAAGCACGGAGGAGCTCGAAATAATATACCTATAGTTTTTGGTCAGTCATCCGATGACCGGCCATTCCGAGAATTGCATAACTTCCACGATCGCAATATTCGCTAAATCGAAATCCTCATTAGTTAAAACATATGAATAATACATAGACAAGTAAATCAAAGTTGTATGAAATTTATATTTTTAATAATTAAATTCCAGATGTGGTGACGAGATCGGCCGCTCCTCTCCTACTGGCAGTTTTAACGCAGGCAGTTGGTGCTTTATGCTGCGTCTTAGGACACTGCGTGAAGGGTCGAAGGCTGTGCACATTCATCGCTGGCGTGCTCTTTATTATTTCTGGTAATCAACATCTCCTATTTATTTTAGCAGGTTTTTCCCAATGAACCGCTACGCTAGGCATGCAGGTTGGCCATTTTGATCAGTGTGATTGCACCGGTGTCGTTGCTGCCTGACATCGGTTTGTGGTTTTACCCAGTCTTTCCAAATCTAGATTGGTTATACTGCGATTCATCCGTCGACTTTAACCTACTCCGTTGATTAACGGACCACGAGCAGGTAAGGTTAGTTGGGGCTTTATCCTCTAATGGCGACCTCGCATCAGAAAGCGCAGTGTCGGTAGACCACTCACCAGCTGGAATGATGACCTCAAGCGAGGTGGGGGGAAGCACTGGATGTGGAAAACGCAAAACCATTGTGTTTGGTAATACCTAGAGGAGGACTATGTCCAGCAGAGGACGTCCATCGGCTGATCATGTTTAATTTTACGTGGAATGTAGGTTAAGTGTTGTAGTGACAAGATCGGCCGCTCCTCTTCTACCTATGGTGCGTCTTAGGACAATGCATGAAGGGTCCAAGGCTGTGCGCATTCATCGCTTGAGTTCTCGTAATTATTTCTGGAAATTAACATCTCCTAATAATTTTACATAGAATGTAGGTTAAGTATTATGTTGGAGGCTTTGCACATTCATTGCTGGCGTGCTCTTTATTATTTCTGGTAATTGACATCTCCTATTAACTTTAAATGATGGAATGTAGCTAAGTATCTTTGGTGGCGAGATCGGCCGCTCCTCTATTTATCTATGCTGTATCTTAGGATACTGTGTGAAGAGTCGAAGGCTGTGCACATTCATCGCTGGCGTGTTTTTTAATATGTCTGGTAATTCCCTCACCTATTTACTTTATATGGTTGAGTATTGTGGTGACGCGATCAGCTGCTGCTCTTCTACTCTATGCTGCATCTTAGGAAACTGTGTAAAAGGACGAAGGCTGTGCACATTCATCGCTATCGTCCTCTTTATATAATTTCTCGTTATTAACATCTATTAATTTTAAATAAAATGTAGGTACGGTATTGTGGTTATGATATCGGCCGCCCCTCTTCTACTCGATGCTATGTCTTAGGAAACTGCGTGAAAGGTCAGGCTTTTACACATATATAGCTGGCGTGGTATTTTTAATTAAAATCTCTTAATTATTTTACATCATCATCTCAGCCGTCGTCGTCAGTAGTCAGTCGATGTGAAAGATGTGCAAAAAAGGCATGCTCTGTAGGTTCAGACATGTGGAAAGAATGTCCAATTAGATCGAACTGTGAAGGTTTGTGACCTCAGAAGAGATGAGATCGAACTCTGAAGGTTGGTAACGTCAGAGGCCGCAAAAACCGGCAGGCGTGTATGAAAAGAGTAATGAATGTAAATGCAGCGAAAGATGTGTGTACGGACCGTGTCTTAATTGTGGCGCTATATTCTGCCTGCGTACCCCACCCTGGACTTGGTGTGAAAATAGATAGGTATCATGCCCACTGCTGAGCATAGGACTCCCACAAGGATCTCACCACCGAGCGGTTCTACACTATTCGCATCCATCGGCTTCCCGCAACCTTTACTAGATCGTCACTTCACTTTACAGACATAGATACCGCACGTATATAAGATAAGATCACTCTTTATTATAACACTAATTAAGTGACAATATAAAAGTAACATTTTAAAATTAGAGTGACACAGATGGCGGTCTTATCGCTTAAAACGATTTTTTCCAGACAACCGTGGAAAGTTTGACAGAAACTGAAAGTTGGGGTGTTAAATTAAATTTACTTATTAACTAAAAAATAGACATATTAAATTTACAATTTAAGGTTATCCGGAGACGTGAGCCCGCCTTGACTTACACCGCATTCCAATCTATAGCTATTGGAAGTTGCGTCGCCCCAGCAAACATAGTTTAGTTTCCGTACCGGAACTCAAATACTCATACAAGTTCTTCGGAAGCACCCGAGTCCCTTAATTTTTGCCAGAGAATTTCATAATTCACCAGGTCAAATGCGCGACTCAGGTCAAGGAAACACGCGTAAACCGTGGTATTGTAGCCAACATAGTAATTAATGGTGTGCTTTAGTGCAAAAAATGCAGAGTCTGTTGAGAGATTGGGACGGAAACCAAATTGTGCATCATCAATTTCTAAGCACCTTTGCAGTTCAGGTTGCAGCAAACGTTCAAATACCTTCCCTATAATCGTACCCAATGAGATAGGCCTCTAATTAGTGGAAGACGATAAATTACCAGTTTTGTGTTTGGTAATGCTTTTGCACAGATTTCGGCCACGATTTTGTTCCTGTTGTTGTATCTAGGGTATTTAATAACGTTGGAAATAGTGTTAAGAAGTACTGAAAGTAAGAGAGGAGATAACTCGCCGCCTTGTGGTACGCCAGCAGCAATCGAACACCAGGATGAGAATTTCTCGTCCAAGCGGACCCGCTGTCGGCGACCATACAAGTAATTATGAAACCATTCAATTAACGTTGCAGATATGTTAAAAGAGCGTAGTAGTGCCAAGAGAATATCAAAATCTAGCGTATTAAAAGCACTGCTGAAGTCCAACAATGTTAGTATCGTTAGGAGGCCGTGTTCGAATTGACCCAGGCGACCCTTGACAAGCGCAGTGACAGTACTGTGTCCTGGTCGGAAACCGGACTGAAAAGGATTATGGAGATCATGTTTAAAAAGGATTATATTTATACTAATTACAGGACAGGACAGGCAGAATAGAAATGGAGTGGAATTCTGTAACAATTTTAGAATTAGGTTTTTTGGGTAAGGGATTAATTAGAGCATCTTTCCATGCGATTCCAGGGAAATCGCCCATTCTTAAGGAACAGTGAAATGTTAATAAAATAATCAGTTATTTCCTTCATATTTTACTGTTCCTTATGAATGGGTTGAGGATAGAATAAATAACTGTATATGTACCAAAAACATCTCAAAAGGGTGACCATAAATATTTCTTCGCGTCACCATTCTCGGCACTGGATTCCATATGCAATTTTGGAAAATTGTCTTATTGTGCCTAATTAAGCTGTAAAAACGATAGTATTTAAACAGGTGGTTGTGGCCCATGCTTACCCGCCATCTAAATGTGTTCTAAGAATAAGACACGCTCGGTTTTTAAGCACATGCGTCATCTACTTAAAAGGTTTGTGGTCTACCTTGTACGTTGCCTATACACTGAGCGTAGCCTGATAAGTGGTCGCCAGTCGAGACCATTGCCACTTCAGCAGAGCAATTTGTCGAGTGTGCTGTGAAATTTTCATGGATGGCAGACTCTTACTGACTAAATTACACCACGCTGGGGCTGCCTTTGGCCTTGGGGGCCTTTAAGGTTTCGTCGGATGCGATCGACCTCTGAGAAGGGGACAATGCAGGTTGGTGCGTATATCTACGACAGGAGACCTTATACTGAGAAGAACCGGCAGGAAACTCAGCAAAGACTTTTCTTTCTCCCTGTAAGCTCTGCTTAAATAGTAACTAAGTAATTGCTGTATTGTCTAGAATATGTTGTTAGAAAAAGATTAGGCTAAAACTGTAGATTTTTATGCAGTTGTATGCCTTGTAATACTTTTTTTTTATATATATTTCTAACCCTCACACCAATATTAGCCTAGCCCCAAAGGGTGAGCCGTCTGATCGTATGCCCCCTATAACATAAAAAATATATATATATTAGTATATTAATATAGAAATACATTTCTTTAGATTAAAACATCTAGCAGTTAAATGTTTAAAAATAAATAAAAACATAGAAATACATATTATACATCCATTTCTGGAGTACAAATACTCGTATTTATCACACAAACATCTGCCCCCACCGGGACTCGAACCCGAAACCTCTCGAGTCGGCGTCACCATGAAACCCGGAGTGCAAATCACTCGGCCACGGAGATCTTCATGTCGTACATACTCATATTGCATATAGGACATTAAACTTATTTTCTAGCTTTTGTCTTATTTTCTACATTTTGTCAGCTATGTCAAAAATCAAAACTGACTAAATGTATATTGTGTAAACAATATTTTTTCATATATTTCTAAAAAGCGGATAATCTTAGTTTATCACATTTTCTGTTTTCAGGTCTCATCATGCTTACTGGGATCGTCATGTACATATCTGTATTTAAGCAACAAGTGGGCCACAAGCTTCGCTACATGACCCTGTTCGACGCGCCTCGAATGTCCTACAGTTATGGATATTCCTTCGGCCTTTACATAAGCGGTTTCATCGCAGTCGAGCTAGCGGGCACTTCGGCCATATTCCTCTTCCTACAATGGTACCAAAAAGACTGGATAACAGAATTAACAGAGAAAGCGAAGGCGGACTGTCGAGCTTGGGATCGAGAGTTCGCTTTCTCAGACTTTCGAGATACGGACTCAACGTTACTAGAAAGGCGGATGATGAAGAGAGACACTTACCCACCGACTGGTTCTTCGGCAGCGACTCCACACGAAAGAAGACGATTCGTATTCGACGGGGATGATAATATGCCTCACTGTTCAATACACAAAAACAGGAGAATCAATCTGAGCTCAGCGTCTCTCAAAGACTTATCATCTTCCACACTGTACGGGTTCCCGGCGGCTCCTAGACCGACGGCTTGTGACAACTACTTTGAAGAGTTTAAAGAAGTGCCTCAGAGCGCGAATACTCTGAGCGGATTGCGAAGTGCATCGATATTTCAGTCGCAAGCTTCAGTTGCAAGCGGGAGATTCTTGGACACGAGTGCTGTAGAACCACCGCCGTCAAGAGAAGAGGAATTGGTGACTTTCAGTGCGGGAACAAGGGGTCAAAACGATGAGAAGAATCCACCCCGACACGACCGCGCCGTAGGAACCGATCCTTATCGACGTACCACACCCGTCTGATCCAAAACCTCCTTGGGTCACCCCAAACGTTTATAAAGCATATCGGACAAGTGATAAAAGTGATATTGCTGTTTCACGTACTGTTTACACCTAGACATTGTAATATTATTATATTGACTAATAAATTGTACGTAGCCAGGTATGCGTACCTACATAAAGGTTAAGGAGTGTCTTTCGAATTTATGAACGTACAGAACATACGTGACCTTGTGTTGTTTAATACGAGAAATTTTTAATTGTTACATTTCCTTAAATAAACACTGCCATTTGTCTACGTCGTTTATTCTGACGCTGGTGCGGTGGATAAAGCCTACGGTAATTAAAAAAAACATTGAAGTTAAAAATACCTTGGTTATTGATAGAATCATATAGGTAAACAATTTGTATGTTCAGATGAAGCAGCGCATAAAATTCAAAATTGGAAAGCTATTTTAGCGCATTTTCGTCCCAAAGCCATCCAAAGGAAGTGACATCATGCAGGTGTGGTATAAGTATGATAATCAAACTTGGATATATGTTCCAAATTGTCAGAGTGGCTCCTATGATAGAATCATGGAGGTTAGAGAGAAGTAGAACGATCGCTGTAGAAAATAGTGTCCCAGAAATATGGACAAAATAAGTGAGGCGCTGCGATCGCTAAATTGTCTGAATAAAAGCCGGCGCGACCAATGTCGCGAAGAAAATTTGTACATTAATTCAACTACTAATAGATACTACTTACCGAAGGAAGCGCGGCTGGTAGCTGAAAAATGAATTACAAATTCTACAAATTTTCGGGGACAGGCGGGCTATTTCTTTAGCACGTAGCGATCGTTCTCCTTCTCTCTAACCTCCATGGATAGAACTATCGAACTGTTTGGGTGTCCTTACACTTTTTTCATAGAACTATCTGCGTCTAGGTTCACAAGAAAATACTTTGAAAATAAAAATAATTCTGGATGCATTTTTAGGGTTCCGTAGTTCTGACAAGGAACCCTTATAGTATCGTCGGTATGTCCTGTCCGTTCCCGATTTTGCTTGGAGACTATTAGCGCTAGAAAATTGTAATTTTGTCGAGATATAAATATATCAATCATATCATGCCGACAAATTGGTAGAATAAATTTTTGAATAAAATTTTTTTTAAGGTGACGCACCTACATGTAACCTGGAGATAATTATATTTTTTCATCGACTACCCCATCGTATCGTTAAAATTATTAAGGGTTCCTAAGACTATTTTTCGATTTAGGGATCCGTTTGCGAAATATTGAACTTTAAATTGAAAATTTTTGTTCGAGTAGGGCGCCATCCCCCTCTTAAAGCTGAACTATTGGCTTTAAAAACCTAGAAAAATTCATGATAGTGCTTTTCATGAATTAAGGAAAATTAAAACAGTTGAAATAGATTTGTTAGTTTAAGAGTAAAGTTGTTCAACTTTTGTATTAGAAACAGGTCAGAAATATTCTTCTATTCCTTAGAAGGAAACATTAAAAGTCACTAAAACAGATGAAGTCATTGCTTAAAATATAGACTGTTTCCAAAACATATTGTGGTGACTACGAGCAAATATGGAACTTTACACTGCGCGTGGCACGACACGCACTGGGCGGACTTTTTATATACATAAGGCCCAACTCAAACTGGCGCTCAGTCAAATCGTCGTGTCGCGTCATATTTTTCGCCTTCTGAATACCTTATCGGTCAGAATATAGAGATGAATTTGCTACATAAAAAAAACACGGGGAACCATGACGCGTCGCGTCGTTTCGACTCTCCACCATTGTAAGTTGAGCCTAAATGAGCAGGTTAGTTTTCAATAAGTTATCAAGCCTGAGATTCAAGCAGTTCGATTACTGTAAAAGTCCAAAGATTTAGAAAAACAAAATGTTGTAATAGTTCCATTTTAGGAGTCAATCCAACAATTGGGATTAAAAAGTTCCTTAAAGTTCTGTCATTTAATTGTATTATTTGTACGACAGGACCAAATAAAGAAAGCTGAGGAGCTCGAGATAAATAAACTATAGTCACCCAACTAATAATCGGCATGGTGAAAGTAATGGACTTTCAATACTTAACACAGACTAAGTATGCAGCGAGAAACTCAATAGCACAGTTATAATTTATATTATTTTTAAAGCATGTAACTGCTTGATGTTTAAATCTAAAGCAAATATAACTAGAAAAAATTCCACGCGGACCAGGCAGCAGACGGGACTCGAACCCGCACCCTTCGCAATCCGGGCGAATGCACTGACCAATTATGCTACCGCGGCCCTCACGGACCGCGTCGAAATTCTTTCTAGCTATTCTTAAGCTGCAAGGCAGCGCCATCTCTTCGCATTATAGGTAAACCCACAATGTCAAATGAATACTTTTACAAGTATTAAACATTTGAAAGAAGAAATAGCTAGAAAGAATTTCGACGCGGTCCGTGAGGGCCGCGGTAGCATAATTGGTCAGTGCATTCGCCCGGATTGCGAAGGGTGCGGGTTCGAGTCCCGTCTGCTGCCTGGTCCGCGTGGAATTTTTTCTAGTTATATTTTCTTTAGATTTAAACATCTAGCAGTTAAATGCTTAAAAAATAAATAAAATCATAACTATAATTGCTATTTCTTCTTTCAAATGTTTAATACTTGTAAAAGTATTCATTTGACATTGTGGGTTTACCTATAATGCGAAGAGATGGCGCTGCCTTGCAGCTTAAGAATAGCTAGAAAGAATTTCGACGCGGTCCGTGAGGGCCGCGGTAGCATAATTGGTCAGTGCATTCGCCCGGATTGCGAAGGGTGCGGGTTCGAGTCCCGTCTGCTGCCTGGTCCGCGTGGAATTTTTTCTAGTTATATTTTCTTTAGATTTAAACATCAAGCAGTTACATGCTTTAAAAATAATAAAAATTATAACTATAATTGCTATTTCTTCTTTCAAATGTTTAATACTTGTAAAAGTATTCATTTGACATTGTGGGTTTACCTATAATGCGAAGAGATGGCGCTGCCTTGCAGCTTAAGAATAGCTAGAAAGAATTTCGACGCGGTCCGTGAGGGCCGCGGTAGCATAATTGGTCAGTGCATTCGCCCGGATTGCGAAGGGTGCGGGTTCGAGTCCCGTCTGCTGCCTGGTCCGCGTGGAATTTTTTCTAGTTATATTTTCTTTAGATTTAAACATCAAGCAGTTACATGCTTTAAAAATAATAAAAATTATAACTATAATTGCTATTTCTTCTTTCAAATGTTTAATACTTGTAAAAGTATTCATTTGACATTGTGGGTTTACCTATAATGCGAAGAGATGGCGCTGCCTTGCAGCTTAAGAATAGCTAGAAAGAATTTCGACGCGGTCCGTGAGGGCCGCGGTAGCATAATTGGTCAGTGCATTCGCCCGGATTGCGAAGGGTGCGGGTTCGAGTCCCGTCTGCTGCCTGGTCCGCGTGGAATTTTTTCTAGTTATATTTTCTTTAGATTCAATAGCACAGTGTTAATAAAATATCATTTGTGGGTTATGATACATTTTGATGATGTAAGACTTTTAAAACTACAAATGGCATAAGTAAGTCACTTGAATGCCATCTTTTAGAGCAGGTGTCAAGTCACTTTAGGCTTTCCTGCTAATACCAACATATAAGCAATATTTCTCATTCGTCATTAAGTACTATGTGACACTACGCTATAGGTATATTAGGCTAAGTATCGAAAACGAAGTGTCTGGAATCCAGTGGTTCGTATGTGCAAAAACCGCAAAAATCAAAAAAGGTGTCGTTCCGCGATCTAATACTGTGAGCATTGTGTCGGGAACAGGCGTGAGTGAATAGTGAGAATGTGACCAATGGTAGGGGTATCGAGCGCAGTAAAAGACGACGTCAGAGGGTAGACCGATATGTCGGCCAATAACATCTACCCGCAATTACTTCAGTTACTCCGTGATCATGGCGCTTGCAACAGTGCCGAAATATCGGAGACTCATAAAAAACAAGGTACATGGTAACAATCCCGTTAATAGCTATAATGTAATATATTGTACTGACTCCTCCGTGAACAATTAAATACGATATTATAAAAATGGATTATTCTAAATTTTAAACATTCACAAAACTTATAAGGTAGATCCAGGAGTTCTTAGGCTATCTAAAATATTTTTACTTACTCCTCAGTGTACAGTTAATTAAGAGACTATAAAAATAGATTTTCCTAAATTCTAAACATTCACAAAAACTTCTAAGGTAGATACAGCAGTTCTTAGGCTCGTTTGATCGATATTGGTGATGCTGAATATTATGTTAGTTGTTGTTTTCAATTAGACAACCAGTTACATGTAGAAAGCAGAATTACATGGACTGGATCGCGGCTTGCAGCCTTTATTGTAATTATAATACGCGTACCTCCTGTCACTTGTATAAAGCTAAAATCTCCTCAACTCTTGTTTGTTTTTTTTTAATTATTTCTTGAGAGAAACGTAGGCCTGAGGTTCACATTGAAAAAAATGATTAGAAATTATTGGATTATACATTTTCATATGTAGCGGTGTGTGTGAGGGATATTTACTGTTAAAGTGCACCATTTTGTAATGACTAAATGACCGGGAGTAGTATTTTATTGAGTTAAATAAAATTAATTTCATATTTACTAATTTAACAAGAATGATTACATATAATGACAGTAATCACCATACCATGCATATTGAAAGGCTTGCAAATCAATTAGGGCTATGAGAATCAGATCAAGGATCAATTCTGCAGGCATCAGAACCATACCTGGACCAAGTTAACCGGTTCCAAATATGAATTTTATCCATCCACAAATCATTTTGTTACTAAATTCCCCCTATCACAAAATACTGCCCTACATCACAAGATTGTAGCACAGTCACAATCTGCATACGATACGGAATACCAATAGGAAGGTTTCTTAGGGCCAGAAAATTAAGACAACATTACCTTTCGCGATGTTTTCACAATTTTTACACTAATTAGTGTTCTTTCTTTTATTCGGCTCTAATCAGCCGATTCAACAAATATACCAATGGATCGCTGAAAATTCACCCTTTTCTCAACAAAAGAAGCCGAAAAATAAAACGGCCGAAAACTGATCTTGATTTCAATCTTAAAGGTACAATTTCGCAACGGGTTGCAGACGACAATCGCAGGTGACACTGCGGCTGACCGTGCATTATATGCATTGTACAGCCGCGGCATGTCGCCACGCTCGGAATCAAACGAGGTATAGAGATTCATAGAAACTAGTAGTGTCACCTGCAGTCTGCAGCTGCGGCCTGTGGTCTGCGATGGGTCTGCGGTACAGTTCGGACTTGTACCTTAAAGAGAGATTTTAATGTTGATTTTTAAAACTGAGCATAGAGAAAGAGAAATACCAAAACTGAGTCTATGATTTTCTTTTCTCTCTTAAAGAGAAGGCTAAGGGCAACAGTCAAACAGCCGCTGCTTGGGGAACAAGATGAATCAATAAAACAATTTTGTCACTCTCGAAGCGGAGGAAAAGAAAATTACCACCTATATCAACGAGGAAATTAAATTTCGAATAAAATGCAGTTTTTTATATTACTTTGGAAAATACATGATTGAGTTAATGCTCTAGTATTGAGGATCGAAATAACTAAAAGATACATTTTTAGTGTATCATATAATTTTTATTGTAGTTATTTGTTTTTTAATAGATGTTTTTTTGTTTTTAGAATTAAAGATTTACCTTCAATCAGTAAGGAAGATTTTTATAAAATTATATCGTCGCAGAGAGGAGGCAATATACTTATATGAAATGGGTTGCGCTGTACCAGAAGACATATAAACTTAAATGGGCATAAGGTTTGGCGTTGCGTTAATAGGAAAATCTGTAATACTACTTTAGTTACTAATCATGCAATTATCAAGGAGTAAAACCATACATGCCAGCAAAATGAAATAGGGAATGAAATTAAATTACGAATACACGCCAGTACCTTGTTGTGCCGATATGCCTACACAAATTAACATCCTCAGGCAAACGCTAGTGATTACTATGCCATGTGGCATTAAGTCGGACATTTGTTGTAAAACATTAAAGAGTAAATAAATAAAATACTTTGTTTAAAGGATTCACGTGCCTTTCGTGGCAGAAGCTCATCGCTCGAAGTAATACATTTTTGTTCACCCATCTTATGACCTTTGCTCTTGAACTCTTCTAAGCTGTAGGCTAGGAAACTTCAACAGGAGGAAATCAGACCAGATCATACGCAAAAGTAGACATTATATTAAGCTACAGACTCTGCAATTCAAAATTTCCCTGAAAATTTGTGGTCTATCTTTAAACGATAGCATTAGTGATGCGGGTACTAAGCTTTTTTATACACTAATGCAGTGCTAAAATTTTAATGAGATAAAAAATTTAGTTTTCTACAAAAAGTTGTTTAAAACCTAGCTAAATAATTCTGTAATTCATGGACTAGGAATTCCGCTAATGTTATTGAAAGAGTTTGACTTATTCCGGTCATAAATATTCTTCAAAACTTGCATTTGTATTTCGAATGTGTACATTTGGCATTACGTTTATGACTTTCTTGCAAACTCTTTTGTCAAATTACATATGTCACGTAAAAACAGAAAAGACATTTCAATAACTAATTATTTAATAACACGCATTTTTAAATTCAATTGAAAATGGGCGGGTAAGTGCTCTATTAAATATATTAAGTTCAAACATCCATATATATTAATTATAATGACTATAATTAATGTGGGTATAAAATAAGATACATATCATCATTGCCTATTACTATTTTTTTATGTTAAGAGTTCTTTCACATTTTTTGCAAAAAATCGTAATTTTTGAGCTCCTCGTTTACCCTCTTAAAAAAGATTTTGACTACTTCCAATAGAAGTGAACAGTAAATTTATTCTTTCTATTGTAAGTTAATATAGAATATTTGCAAATACTGATTTTTTGTACTGATCGTTCGACCGCAGCTAATTTACGAATAAAAAAAGGGTAATATGCACAACTTTCAAACGCCTGAATCTCTAAATAATTTTCAATAAATTAGATCCAATTAATTACTACGACATCCGAAATATGTTTTTGTTGTAACATAATTTATTAAAATTTTGATTTTCCATCTCATTAATTATCAAAAAAGACATCTAACCTCCGTGAGTTTTCCCAAAAAATAATGCAGGTTTACCTCGTATTTTAATATTGAATTAAGTAGAATTAATCAAAAACTTTCATAAAACTAATCTACCAACTACTGAAATATGTATATATTTTTATAATTAGTTCATTAATAATTATTTTATAAGACTCGAAACATCACCCGTAAAATGCAATATTACTAGTGCAAATCTACCTACACGCCGATCACTGCGGCACCGATGCAATTTTGTAAAATTGCTCTTAAAAACGGTGGCAAACAAGCGTATGGCCCGCCTGATGAAAAGCGTCCACCATAGCTAAATAGAATATTTCAATACCAAAAATATTACTCGCACCTTTGCCTACCCTGACCCAATCCCTTACCCCATGAAGTACTGGAACCTTACCCACCGACAGAAACACAACACCATCTAAAGGTAATGCTATGTTTTGAAATCCCTTGCTAAAGTACTTTCTCGCTAGACTAAACTTACCATTTTGCGAATTGGATTTACGTATGAATGGTTCCGTACTATCATACAGGTTTAGTAACATTTAATTGTGGCCGTCATTTCTTATATGGAAAGTCTATTTTTAAACCTATATTTGTTTTGGAGTGATAACTTTTTATGGGAGGGTATATCGCTTCGTTACGTAACCCGTTTCGGCGCCAGTCTGACTGGCTTCCCTTCCTCTCACGCATACGGCAGCGGTAGCCAGGCTTCTCCTCACTCACTCTAACCCGCAGCGCTAGCCGTATTTCGGACAGAGGTTTTCCCCTCTCTCTGTACTCAGTGTTTAGTGTTCGTTAGCTTTTCTCAAGTTAAACAATTCCAATATTAAAAGTTCAGCTAAGATTAGTTTAAGTTAACACGTCTGTCGTGCATCCCGAGACGCACACGCTTTTTTCAGTACTTGTTGCTAGAAATACAAATTTTATGAAAAATTTAACAAACTTATGGTTTTAGGCATGCTCTGACGGACCGACAGACTGACTGGATGGCGGAGCGAGTAACAGTTTCGCATTTCCCCCTTTGGGTTAACGGAATCCTAAAAAAAGGCGTGTCGCCAACTCTCCCTACTGTCAACTTGAAGTTTATTTATGGCAAATTTTAATAAGAAATATCTTCTACATCATAACGAAGTTTTAAACCGTCTACTACCTATTTAGCTAACATTTTGTTATGGTCCCTCCGATTTACTGTTGTATATATATCTTTTACATTTCAGAACTTGGTCCTGGCTCTTGTAAGTATTAACATGTTATTATTTGATGAACCCCTCCATACATTCGAGACCGCTAAGAGGAATGAAGTCAGACAAAAAAAAGGATGAATCATAGCGCTGGAGATATGAAGCGAGTGCAGGTGGTTAGCACGTTCTGTCTGCGATCTAAAGCTACTTTCACAAAGGCCGGTGATTGTATATGAACCAAACACTTAATATCTCGCTTCTCCATGCTCCAGAAGGCACAATAAAGCCGTTGGTCCCAGCTGCATCTGCAGCCCGCATGGTGAATTATGGTTCCAATTTCCGTATTCCACCCAGTCCGTTCCGTCTCAGGAACAGGGACATTAAAAGGCGAATGATGATAGGTTTAGATATAATTCCTAACTGCTTTAGTTAAACGTGTGGTAGCAAAAAATGGAAAATAGTATATCCAGCGAAATGGGAGGAAAGATAGGAAGATAAGATAATTTTACTAATGCTATCGCTATCCATGGTAGACGAGGACCAAATGATCTTTTAGACTTAAGATCTCTGGTATTATTAGTATTATATAGATATACGAGTATTTTTGTGACTGCCATACTTACACCTTTTGACGATACTACAATTTGAGGTTGGTTTGTCGTCGTATGTCGCTAATCTTAGATGTCTTTAATGAATATAGCAAAGCAAAGAAATATATAAAAATATTGTATTGTTTCATTGTAATATTCTGTATACACAGTGGCCGTTCCAAAGATGAACGAGCTCCAATAGAAGGCTTAATGCCAAGGTTAAAAAATATAGCAAGGAACAACTTCAGAGGAATTTTTGGCATAGCAGTACCACTTTTGGGTTTGGCATGGAGAGTTGAAAAGGGAAAGGTGTGTATTATATTTTTTAGTATATGGTATTTTGTATTGTATATGGTCCGCCTGATGGTTAGCGGCTATCGTGGCCCATAAATGCTTGCGTCACCAAATATATGACTCACACCGTTACTTCACCGACAAATACCACCAAAAGGTAGTGTTATTTTACTGTAAGGTGGATGTTACTTTCCCAGATGGGCGCTCCAATTCCTACCTCTCTTATTTTTTATCCACACTCGTAGCGCCACATTTTTCATAGAAAGGTTTTTAGACAAACTGCACCAACTATCACCATCGTATCTGAAGCGTGAATGGTTCTTGAAACACGTATACATAACTGATTTTTTTTTATCTCTGGGAAAAAAGCATGACACCCGCTACCGGGGGCTGCAACGAGATATGTGAGACTCCTCCCCACTAATTTCACCCTGACCGGAAATTCAGGGAAAGGATTCTAACCAGTGAAATCAACGATAATTACTGCACCGATCACCCGACACACACTACAGGGACTGAAGTTTCTAAGTGGTGACAGTGCGGGTGTGGTCGTGGCACCCTGTTACGACTGGCCATGTACGGTCGCGGTCAGAAAATGTTTACCACCTTAAGGATCATAATTGCATGCACACATTTAGGTCAGAAGTTCTAAATATCTATTTCATAATAATTTGATTGACCATAGATTATCTTTTTTCTAATGATATGACAATCAAAAGCTCTAGGAAATGGACTGACTACTAGTCTGTGCGGAAAGAATTCTCTTTCCGGCGTAGGCGTGGCGAAAAACGGAACTAACATTAAGTTTTTATTTGGCAATCAAACCCAGCAATCTGTAAAACTTCAAAGTTTTGTATTGATACGGATTTGTTTGTTGTTGTGATTTCTTGCGGTTTTTTGTATTTAATCATGTCTAAAAGGGGTAAAACTTTACAAATACGGTAGAAAAGTACTACAGCGCCCTCCAATCTAAATCCCATTCTCTTTCCGCACAGACTCTATCAAGGTTTGATATTATGTTCTTTTAAACACTTCTCCTCACACTAGGATTTTCTTCTGTATCGTGGGTGGTTACAAACATATAATCTAATATGCACATTACACATACGCCCAGGCCAGGGCAAATTATCTGTAGGCCATACAAAATATCTGTGCCATACTGGAATCGAACCCGCGACCCGTTGCGCAGTAGGCGGTGACCTCTGCACTACCCGTGATGTCAAACAAATATAGAAAACCATTGAAAAAACGGATAGTTTTTTAACTAAGAATATGAAGGACTAATAAAATAGAAACATCAAAAATCTCTGTTTTTAATATCTAGTATAACCTCCCTCTGCAGCTATGACGGCACGTACTCTATCTCGCATAGATGCACACAAGACGCGCGCACAGATCGGTGCCTCTAATATCATCCCATACTCGAGCACAGTGTGATCTAAGATCATGAGGCTTCCTTTCATTTTGACAATCCCAGCGTTGAACCATAAGCCCCCATAAATTTTCAATAGGGTTTAAATTAGCAGACCGAGCGGGCCATTGAATGGGACGAATGTCACGATGCAGGTTGAACCACGCCATAGTAACACGGGCCGTGTGTATCCGTGCATTATCTTGAACATAAGTAATGTGCGGGAATTCTGTTGCAGGATACACTACGCGCACAGTAGGCAGCATCACTTCTGCCAACAGCGACACATAATTAATGGCAGTAGCCCTATTCTCTAACGACGCCAGTTCTACGACGCCGTTGAGGCTCACCAACCCCCATGTTTACTGTTATGCGACCTGACTCGTTTTGAGGAACGATATGAGCTTCATCATACCGAGTTCGATTATAGCGCCATAAAGTTAATCTTCCGATTTGGCTTAATTTAAAGGTTTTCTCATCGGTAAATATAGTATTCGACCAATCAAAATCGAGATGTTGTCGCGCAAAGTTAAGCCGGGCTGTTTTGTGGTGAGGTTTAACTCCACTTTAATAGCATGGTGTCTGTAGTGTAGTCCAGCACTGTGCAAAGCTCGTCGGATCGTCCGAGCACTCGCATCATATAAAGCAGCAAAATAACTAGTTGCTGTGAAACCGTTCTCTTCGTAACGACGAATCATTTCTGTTATTTGCGCGGCGGTTAGTATTGGTCGTCGTCCTGAATTATATCTATCATCTGTTAGTTGCACTTCTTCGCCGTGACGCCGGATCCAAAACCTCACAGTGAATCGTGATTGAGTTCTCGTGATATAGCACTAACACTATATCTAATTTCGAAGAGAAATATTATTTCAGCTCTTTGCTCCAGGGTCAAACTTGCCATTTTATTTCGTTATGATTTTTTTTCGTAAAATTTTGCTCTTGTCCAAACAATGTTCAAACAATCATTTTTTGTGAATGCCATTTTAACAAATAAAGATATTAGTTTCAATATTAAAAAGTTATATCTAATTCTTTTTGTTATTCTCGATGCGTCATTTTGCATAATAACTTTTGAAAGGTAATAAGTTACTTGATATGGCATTTTAGACTTAAGTGAATAAAGTGTGATACAGCGTCTAATTTCAAAACTGGTAAACATTTTCTGACCGCCACCGTACCAGCCGGTGGTACACAGATGTCCTGAACCCAATGATGACCCATAATGATGTTAGTTGAGAATGCGGATTTATAGAATTAAGAATAACATAAAATACAGTGGTTAAATCTTTGTTCTACGACAAATATTGACGATGTTATGACCAAATTATTAAACGATTTTCAGCTGGCCGCATGGTAACTGTGACGTCACAGAGCTCTAGCACTCGGGCGCAAGCGTGCGTAGAGACGCTACTAAAGTTCGACCGGAGTGAATTACGATCGAGCTCTGTGACGTCATACGTTTCAGCCGCCGGTGAATATTGGTTTCCAAAAAATTTGTTATGAAATCGCAACGAATGAACCGATTTCGATGATTCAAAAAGTATAATAATTAAAAATGTTTTTAAATCGTTATAATATTGATTTTGAGTGATTTGCTTATCTACTAAAATGATCCTCATTCTCTCCTACTCCATGTACTGTACTGGTAAAAACTCTGTAGAAACAACGGTTCTATTCAGCACGAGTCGACTTTTAAGCATCTTGTGACGATTTTCAATAATCAAAAATTAAAGCTTTGTTTTCCAAGATTTGATAGCAGTGCAGTAATATCATTTCAGCTATATGCTGTTATTTTGTACTTGTTCTCGATTTTAATATCGATGTTTATTACAATGTTTTCAAGTCTACACTGGAATTCATGTGGCTCGCAATGATCTGGATCTACCTACTTCAGCCTCTATCTGTGCCCACCGCATCAATCATACCTATATTTTTGCTGCCCATGACTGGATTATTAGATTCTGTAAGCACGTGCCGGTGCTATTTTAATGTAAGTATATATACCAGTAATATATTTGTAATAAACTTAAGTTATGAAGTCAGAAAGGTAGACAAATAAACATTATATCTAATTATTAACATCTATCAAATAACCAACCAACCAGTTGTTCATCAGGAAATCGAAGTAATTATTGGCAGCTTATCCATAATGTAGACAATAAAACGATTATTTTATTATTTACAGGAAGGTATCGCATTATTTACGCTGACTTCGATGCTAATACTGCTGCTAAACAATTCTGGCTACGATCGTCGTCTAGCTTTGAATATTATGTGTTCCGGTGATAACGATGCTTTTGCTGCGAAAAGGTAATTCATTATTTACTTTGTATGCTTATTAGATACATGGTACAAATTTACAAATACATTGTAAGGGTTATCCTTCTAAATTAGAAAACTTCATCGTAGCATCGTAGTAAACTTGTTCAAAGGAGATTATCCTGGTATGACATTAGGGCTAGATCTTGCACAAAGATTTAAATCGTTAGATATGCCCACAGTTTGGCCGCACCTAAATTTGTCTACACTCGTAAAGTGAGTTCTCACATCTCTAATCAGTGGTCATCTGAACTGTGACAGTTGAACGTTTTTAATAAAAATACTGCAGTGATTTTTTGCAAGAAAAGTGTCTCAAAATGCGATCGTGTGCCTTCCGAAAATGCAATTACAATATAATAAATACAAAAAAGCTAATGGACATTTAGATTTACAAAATAACATATACATTTCACTCGTAAGTTTTTAGATTTCTTTAATTAGTAAAGGACATTGTTCAGCGTCCATACATAGTTAGCCTAAGAACCAACAATCATGAAATATTATTTTCTAGGTTCAAATCGTAAGTAAATGACTGTAAAAACAAAGATTATAGACGGACACTTCCGAGAGCTTAAATTATTAGGAAAACTAAATTTTTTTGGAGGTTATGTTTAATATTCAATGAAACATAGGACAACCTATGAATTTAGTATGAAGTGAATTAATATTACAACTAATTCATTTTATCCGGTGCGATTTTAAAGAATAACTGTTAGGAAAAACTTGGTTAGGTAGGAATCATGAATAAAATAAAAACTGTAGTTTTGCTTCTTATTTATTGACTATTTTTCACATAATTGTATCATATTGTACTTATTTGTATATCACATGTATATTGTGTAAATATGCAGCGTGAATGTGTATCAGGTGTTCTTGAATAATTTGGCAGTATGATCCTCTCAGGATGTTGGGGCACAGGTTCACTAGCACTTGGTAATAAGGGCTCTGCTCTTTGGTAACATCGATGGCATATTAGATAGCCGAAATAGTTGAATTAAAGGAAAAACAATCGCAAATAAACATACACAACAGGTAATCCGAAACGAGAATGCACTTTCCAGTATATTAAACTACTCTTTGGAATGCACGAATGTCACAGATTACTACGAATGCAAACTGTATGCACCACAACCACAGAGTAATGAGTTTCATGCCGGCCCTTCACTTAACAACAGTTTGTCCTTGTCATGCTTAATAAGAAAAGAAAAGGACAGACTGATGACATGTTTTAAAATAACAAATACGAATAGCCAAGTGAAGTCATATATATAGCGCACCTTACAGGCCCTGCCAGAATACCCGCGCTGTTGTCACTCGCATAGTAACGTGTGGCAACAGCATCATGCTGAGGCAGGGTCCTGATTAACCATTAATTTACTTTTATAGTTTTAAGTTAGTTTTTAATTTTGTTTTTTATGATAATGTTTATGTGTTTTTTCATTGTTCTTGTAATACTCGTAACAAATGGTTAATAAAAAATCTCTCTCTCTCTCTCTCAAGTGCCGGCATTAGGAAGAAATAGTGGTTTGTTTGCAGCGCTGCCATAGATTATACACATAAAATAGTATATAAGTATTTATTGTCTCAGATTATTTTTTAACTTTTTAATTTAGCTTACTTAACTGGGAGTGTCCGTCACAATCTAAATACTGATAATTATTGCAAGACAAAAAGAGACAACACTATTCTCTCGATACCGCACTGTGCATTTTAACATTTATGTTTCATAAAAAATTAAACGTTTTAACAATTAATTATAATATAAATATAACAGAATGTTTGAAGGATTAAGTTAATGAATTGTATTAAATAATAATGATTAAGAACTGTTTTATAGTACAGACATTTATATACATTTGTGTATCTTATATAATATATAATGTGTTTTATATATTTTTATAGACAATATTCTTCTCGCGGTGTACGTACAGAATTATCTAATATGAAACAAATACGTCTGTACCCGAGTAAACAAATTATTTTTATTTTTATACACATTTACATAATTAAATATAATGAAAACATAGATGATCTATTATGATACATATATATGGACATGCTATATCACCCCCCTCCAGAGACCGACTTAAGGGCGATAATAATCTGGAAAATTTACTCTCCGTCCAGATCGAGCTATTTTATTTTCGGTAATAGGTAAATCACGAGCATTGTCAATATGTGCATGTGTGTTCTGTATTTGAGTAGGTGATTGAGTATGTGTATCACGCATAATGTAAGCAGGTTTAAGTCTGTCAATTGATACAGATACAACTTTGCCATTTACCAAAAGCTTAAAACTTTATCACCTCCTTTTAATACTTCATGAGGTCCAGTATAAGCTGGTTTCAATGAGCGACTCCCTGAGTCATCTCAAAGGAAGACTTTAGAGGAAGTTGCTAAGTCCTTATAAATGAAAGGAGATGAGTGTCTACCGTGGTGAGAGGTAGGAACAGGTACTAATTTTTTTACAAACTTATGTAAACGTCCCAAATAGTTGAAATGTATGTCCAGCATTACGAAGGCCAAACGTCATGTAAGGGAATTCGTATAGGCCGAACGGTGTTGTGATGGCAGTCTTCTCAATATCAGGAGGATGTACAGGCACCTAGTTATACGCCTTTACCAAGTCAATAGTGGAGAAGACATGACAACCACTCAAGTTGTGAGAAAAATCCTGTAAATTACGAATGGAATACCTATCTGGGATAGTCCGTGCGTTGAGCATTCGGTTATCACCGCACGGACGCCAGCCATGATCCTTCTTTGGAGCGAGGTGTAAAGGTGCTGCCCAGGCGGACTCAGAAGGTCGACAAATTCCAATCTGTAACATTGCATCAAATTCTGCTTTCGCAATTTTTAACCTATCAGGCGCCAGCCTACGTGGTGTGCATGATACTGGTGGTCCGGGCGTTCTGCGAATGTGATGAACTATGTGGTGTTTAGGTGTACTATGTATCCCAGAAGGGCGAGTGATACCGGGGTATTTTGCTAGTATGTCGTGATATATTGAAGTGCCTGATATTACCTTTACCGAAAAAATATTTTTTAAATCTGCAAGCGAAGCCACGGTACTGAGGGTTGTATTACTATCGATAAGGCGATGGTGTCGCACATCCGCTATCAAATTATAATACGACAAAAAATCAACTCCTATTAGCGGTTTATTAACATCGGCAACAATAAATTTCCAAGCAAAGTCGTGTCGCAAACATATACTTAAAACTAAGTGAATACAACCATACGTATTAATTATGGTACCGTTTGCACAATTCATAATTCGTTTTCTGGCGACGTTCTTTAACAAGCGATCTGGGAAATACACATATATCACTACCCGTATCTATTAAAAATTGAACTTTTGTCCGTTTATCAGTTATGAACAAGCGACCGTTATACGGGCAGGCGTCGGTCGCCATTACAATCTGCTCTACAATTTTTCCTTATAATCACACGACTTTATACATTTAGAAGCTTTCTTACCGAATTTGGCATGATACCACCACAATGGAAACTTTTTGTAATTAGAATGTGAACGTTTTGAACCGGATCTTCCTCGGTGATAAGAACTGGAACTGGATCTTGTTCTCGAACGTGACATTCTATCCAGCTTCGTAGTTAGGGAATGCACTTGACGCATAAGCGCGGCGATTTGACTTGCCATCTCTGAACTACTTCCTGGGGTGGTCTCTGTTGCTGCAACCTGTGCTCCCGGTGGTACAACGTCGTGGATCCTGTCTGCTAGTCAGCGACTTCCTCTAATGACGCCTTATTTTGTGACGCAATAATAGTCTGTGTACTGTTAGGCAATCGGCTAGTCCAAATGGTTCTCAAAAATTCTTCTGGAACACCAGGGCCAGCGAGGTGCTGAAGATGACGTAAAAATTGTGATGGCTTCCTGTCGCCGAGTTCTTCGTGTGTCAGGAGTTGTTTTACTTTTTTCTCTCTAGATGCCGATAGTCGTTTCACCAGTTCTGCCTTCAAACGCTCATACTTATTGGCAGCAGAGGGAGCTGAGATAATATCCTCTACTTTCGATGCGTAAACAGGGTCGAGTTGACTAATAGTGGAACTTTGTAGCATCCGTCGTTATATTAGCTAAGGAAATTGGCTTTCCAACTGTTGCGAACCATAGTGCGGGGTTTTCCGGGTAGAATGGAGGTACTCTCACACCAACTCGATGGACATCTTGCGATGGGTTTGTATCTGGCTTATTGGAAGCATTGCCGCCTTCTTGAGGATCACTCATCTCGTGTCTTCTGGGGTCACCAGTGTGGTCAGTGGGGTCACTGGGGTCATCGGATGGGTGATCAAGAAATCAGGAACACAGTCAATATGGTATTCACGTATAGTTTATTCCTGAGTTGCACAGAACAGTCACAATACACCACAACATACATAGAAGGCGAATATTTGAGTGACTAACAAGAACAACACACAAACAAACATTAACATTTAAAATTACGAAAATGTATTATATAAAACTTCCTTATCGGTTACAAAGCTTTGTTAAGATTGCCGAGACGCGGCGACGGCGAACGATGTCGCCGCCCGAAGTTTTTAGTTCTACCGCCGATGCGGCAATATTCTTCTCGCGGTGTACGTACAGAATTATCTAATATGAAACAAATACGTCTGTACCTGAGTAAACAAATTATTTTTATTTTTATACACATTTACATAATTAAATATAATGAAAACATAGATGATCTATTATGATACATATATATGGACATGCTACACTAGTAATCTAATGAACTTTTTTCTGTATATGTTTTATTTTGATTGTAAATCCTTAATTTAATTAAGCTAGAAATTGAGAGACTTTTTTATCGACTCTTATAAAGGCGGCACACGGTTTACCGGGTAAATACGTTACACATTAAAATAAACTAGAAAACGCATAAGAGCAGCCAAAAACATTATTTTGAATGTCAAATGTAATTAAATTGAAAGAACATTATTAATTAAGCATTACAGGTTAAAACCCAGAATCTAAAATCTGGCGAGTCATGGTAATTAATCTCCCTAGACCGTCAACAAATAAGTCTAAGTGATCATAATGAGCGAGCATGTCCCCGATCAGGCGCAATGCACGTACTGTGGGCGCTTGGGCAGCGTGTACGGTTCGCGTGCCAGGCCTCTCCAGCAAGCGCGGCCGCCGGCGCGGCTCCATTAAACCCTCGGCATCACGCGGGATAGTGGGTACCAAAAGACGTGCTCTTTCTAGCACATGTGGGGAATCAATCTTTTGGTAAATAATTGATAGATAGTGTACTATGAGGAGCAATTTCTTTCTCATATCCAGTGCTTCTACGTCGACCATTCCGTAGACAAAAGTTGATGGATACAAGAACGGATAATATCCATAGTTTTTCTTGTATAACCATCGAGAAAATTTTCGTTGTATCTTCTCTATCATGAGGCAATATTTTTTTTCGTGGGTGTTAAATTACTGCCCCATACTCCAATTTACTACGTACGTAGGCATTGTATAATACTTTATAATGCCTACGTACTATTAACATTAGTTTATTTTTTCAATAACACATTTACTTTTCACTGTTGTAGTCAATGTGTCAACAAATATTATGTGTCATAACGCCCATCATCATAATGTCATTGCAAAGTATAGCCCCAGTTTTCGGTATTAAGGCATATTTAACTATTTAAATCATTGATCTGGATGATAAGACAAGTGCAAGAGCACTATCTATCTTTTCTCGAAGCGCTTCGTTGTCATTTTCATGTAAAATGTTGTTGAGAAGAAACTATATGACTCGCACTGTCAAAAAACTATCAGATCTCGTAGAGAACCAAGTCTCTAGTTCAACATGCCCTAACTTTATAAGCCCTAACTTCACAAAGTACACCTTAGTTAAAATATATGACTTGACCGTTTCGTTACTACAAAAACTTTTGTATAAAAGAAAAGTAATGAACACTGAATACATTTTTCGCCTTACACTCCATGTCAACGAAGCGAAATGGTCAAACCACATAATTTGACTATTAGCATTCTATAAAAATCTGTTTATTACACCAATCAAACTCTATTAGAATCATTTATGGCCTCTAAAAAAAGATAAAAGAAACTTTTTTCTTTCAGATTACTTATCAAATGCAGTTTAGCTGCATTTATCCTATCAATGTTATCCAATAGGCTGATAGTTACGTCGATTATAACTCAATATGTTACTCCCATATTTTTAAGCTTGAAGGTATGTATTTTTATTATTAAGTTACGATTTTATTATTTAGTTATGATTTGACATCACCATCTTTGTATTAAGCAAACCATTTTGCAACGGTTGGTTGTGTTGCCTTAAATATTCGAGTAGCAGGACATGGGTGTGTGGCAATTATACATCGCTGAAATTGATCCCGTTTGTCAAAATGGTATCTACAGGTGTGCCTTTAACGCCTCTGGTCGTATAAACTGGCATATTATTCCGGTATTTCCATGTAACAAGTGATAACAGCACCATGGTTCCGGATGTCCTATTTATCGTTATTTACTTACTTGCAAACAATTTCTTTTTCCATTAAGCTCGAGTGCTTTCGACATCACATAGGCACTGCAGTGTGAATACAGGTCATTTCTATAGCCTGGTTTATGGCCACGAGTTTAAAAATTTGTTCCAAGACATAAGGCAGGATACCAGTAGATAAGGGACGAACAAAGAATAAATAAACAAATTGATTCGGTATTCGCTTAGTCAATATGAGGTACTTAGTAGTTTTTTGTTTCGTAATTTTTCTTTTTGATTTTCAGTCTGGTGCAGGAAAAGGTCCATCTGAAACAAATTATGACAACGTTCGATATGTTATCAATAATGCTATACAGACATCATCTGCTATTGGTATGATAATAATTTAACTATACAAAATGTGCAGTATCAATGAATCAATATTTTATTATTCAATGACATTATCATCGCAGATGTCGTACTTATTAAAACCTACAGTATTGTTCGTCTTTTATAGGAAGTACAGCAATCATGCATTCTGCCTATTGCACACATGCCTTTAGAACTATATTCATCGAGTAAGTTGATTTTTACTTTAAATACTTTGATCTTTGTTTTTTTTTACGAAATCTAACGGCTGGCTATTCATAGCCACTCAATTTAAGAACTTAAAGTCCACTAGAAAAATGTATCAAAAGTAAGTCCCGTATTCATATTCAATATTTTGTATATGAACAAAGTTGAATGAACCTCTTGAATTGTCAACATCTTGCGGATAAAATTGTGTTATAGTGTTATTACATAATAGTTTTCTACAATATGGTCGCTGTTTGCCGATAATGTCGATTAATTATACCTCATAATGTATAATGAATACAGATCTATCTAAGTATAATATTACGGTGGCATTAAGCAGATAAATACAAGTACATTGGCATAAAAATCATGACAGTGATCACACCTTGACGACGCATGGCATAATATGATTAGTACCAAAATGTTGCCCAGAAACATTAGTAAATAGTTATTAGCATATCTCTTAATAGTTTTATAAATTTCTCCCGACTAGTTGATATGTTTTTCCCATCTTCGGGAGATAATAACAGAGCACACTTTTTCTTTTGCCATTATTTCTGCAAGAGGTGTTTTACTAACCACCAACATTTTTCACGATTTTAAACAAAATAAAGACACACACTTTTATTTCAATAGAACGATCACAACAACTAAGTTATTTCCCACCTTTCTCAAATTATACCGTTCCTCAAACATTAAGGTACATTTCACTATTGTTCATTTGCGATATTTCTTATTTAATTGTCTATTTTTCAGATCTTGTTTAAAACCAAGACACGTTTACCCGGATATCTTTAATTATCTACAGTACTCAGTTTTCGCTCTACCTTTGGCCATAGTCTTATTCATTGCTAATTGCGTATATCACATATTTTTATTGTCAGGGTAAGTTCTTTTGAAAATTCATTGTTTTAAATAGTAGATGTTATTTCTGTGCATGTATCACGTGATTAAACTTTCAATCTACGCACGTCTTGACTAAGAACAGCCATACATGGACTATTTGAACAGTAAGCCAGTGATCTACACAAACGGACCGCTCGAGCAGTCAAGGGTCAACAGCTTTGATAACTGCTCGAGCAGTTCATACCTACTGCATGAGCAGTCGCAACTGCTCGGACGGTCCGTGTATATGTGTACGTAGAAGAATTATTCACCATGCAGCTGCGGCTTGAAGCAGTCCATCCCGACTGCTCGAGTAAGGCAGCTCTGAGAACAAGCAGATCGATCGGAGATATTCAGTTTGCCAAGGGCGCAGTAACAATTAGCTTATAATTTTATGTAATGCAGCGCAGATCGATCGACCGATAATTAAGTTTGTCAAAGACTTATTATCAGTAGGCCTATACTTTTATTTAGTTTGGTTTTATTAAATGCATCTACTCTTAAAGTTGATTTCTAAATAAATCTAGATCTTTATCATCGTCTATCGTACTCTGGCTTTAAGTAGAAGATATTAGGGGTTAGTCAGGTTAGGTAAGTAGTTGTTTATTTATAAACAACTTATTTGAAATTCCGTTAAAACTGACTTGATATGACTTACTTTAAAAAATAATGCATGAAATTTCCTTTAAATGTAGACATTGACATAACAAAATTAGTAATGACAATCGTTGTTGCATTTTCAAACTTGATATAATTTAAGGTACCTGTTTTATTTTCAGAGCTCAGGGCAAGCCTATGAGTGCAGCTGCCATAGCTGATGTGAAAAGTCAACTACAAAAGCACAAAGATAGTATTCCAAAACAAATAACATCACATGAAGTAGTAAGTTTCTTATTTATATGCCGAGCGAACCTCTCAAACAAAATGTTACCGTTCATTATTGAAAAAGCTTCCCTTCACAATGTTCCCTCAATACTACAACATGGTCCTCTTCAAGAGAGGCTTAAAACTATAGTTTCAAGAAAGGTAGCGGCATAGCTATGTCACTTTCATTGAGCTGACGTCTATGGACGACGGTGACCACTTGGCAGGTGATTCGTACACTCGCCTGCCTTCGAAAGCAATAAAATGTAGAAATTACTTAAATTCCATATCTTATCGGCATTGTAAATATAATATTATACAGGTGATAATGCTGAGTAATGCAATTCGAGTTAATGAAAGCGATATTTCGGATACCTACCTACCTAATTTAAATCAATAATTGCCAACAATTTAAACATGCTGTTTCCACTATTCTAACGCGAACAAAGAAATTTGGTGACTAATTTCTTTGTCAAACTATCCTCAAATAGTATATTTTGTCCGCTCACGTGTTCCCTCCCTCCAACCAACAACCAACCCGCGTTGTTGATGGGACCATGGTAAAAATAAATTACCCATTGACCCACTGGCGAACACTGTTCAGAACGGTTAAAAAATATCATTGGAACCACCACGGGGACATGTTGGTGGGAACACGTGCATAGTAGTATAATATACCGAATGTTTATTGAATTATTATTTAATTATGACAACATATTTTTTTTGTGATTTGTTTCTTTTGTTATTTCAGATCACCATATTCTGCTTAGTTTTGCTTTTAGTTTTACTATTCGTCGCCGATAACAAGTATGTTCGAGGTTGGTCTACATTCAATTATGTAGACGGCAAACCCATGTGAGTATTCAATATATAAACGGTGGTTTACATAACTATTTCCTTTCGGCACGTTAGGCCCGTTACCAAAATGTCCAGTTGATTCACATTGGGTCTATTTCCCTAAATGTCCACTTTCCCGAAAGTATTTCCTTGTATGTCCACTTCCCTGTAGGTACAAACCTAGTGTTTTTAATTATAAAGGTGGAGGTGCTTAAACGCCCGTATAAGTACTCAGCCTTAATCTAAAGCTTTTTTGACTTTAAACAATTGACAAAGATGGAATGTTGTACTAAACACGATTGAGCCTTAATTAAAGAACTTTCGTGCAAGTGGACCTAAGGATGTCTATCTTCAACTCCAGGTTATTTTTATTTTTTTATAGTTCATCGGATTTTAACCAAATTGCAGTTAATTGATTTATTTTAATCACAATGGAGTCAGTTACGCGTCTTTACCATTTAGGTCTTTAGCAGGACAGTCTTTTGGGTAGATATCATTTTATTTACTGCTGTGACTAAAATTTCTTTTCAGAATTAAGGATCCTACCATAGTATCGCTGTTCGTCATTTTATTGCATAGCATACCGCGATCTACAAATTTCCTGAAACTTATCACTGAAAACAGTTAGTGCAAATTATTTATTACTATACTGTTTTATTTCATTTCGGTTTTTTTATAAAATAGATATTAAATTAAAATACAAAAACGTAAATACAAAAATAAATATAGTATAAAAAACCTAACCTAGAAGGCCACCAGCAGCGGAGCTAGGCCCAAGCTACCGGTTGTTAGGGCCGCAGAGAAAGAAACCGCCTGACGATGCGCGCTGTGTCCAACTGTGTGTTATTATTATTATTACATTATCGACAACAACCAGGCTGTGATCATGATATCACGCGGGGTGATGATTTGTCATTGGGATATAAGATGTGCTCCTTATTATGTCCATATACATAATAATAACGAAGAATGCGATGACGCAAGCGGTTAGCGCGTTCGGCTACGATCGTGGAAGTTAAGCAACTTTCGCCGTGGTCGGTCATTGGATGGATGACCTAAAACTCACTATCTGGGACTCCTCCGTGCTTTGGAAGGCACGTTAAATCGTTGGTCCCGGCTGCATCTGCAGTCGTTAGCACCCATCAATCCACACTGAGCCCGCGTGGAGAGTCATGGACCAATATCCCTATTATATATACACTAGAGGTCGCCCGCGACTTCGTCTACGTTAACTTAGTTTGTTGAAAATCCCTCTGGAACCTAACATATTTTCGGGATAAAAGTAGCCTATGTGTTAATCTAGGGTGTCTTGCTAACTCCATAACTAATTTTATTAAGATCGCTCCAGTTGTTTAGACGTGAAGAAGTAACAAACATACACACTCACAAACTTTCGCCTTTATAATATTAGTGTGATAGTGTGATATAGGCTGGGCATACATAGGCTGATGATGATGATGACATAATATAAAATGAATCCTTATTTCTTTTGGTCACGCCATAACTTGAAATGGGTTTACCAATTTCATCCATCATTGTAGGGTTCCATACCCAAAGGGTAAAAATGGAGCACTATTGCGACTCTGTCGTCTCTCTGTCCGCCCGTCTGTCCGTATGTCACGGGTTTCTAGATCGCAAGCTTAATGAGTTACAGAACTGAAATTTCGGTATATGTAGATCTAGCGGCGCTCGCGACTTCAACGGCATTAACTTATTTTTATTAGTTTTTTGAGAATTCCTCAGGAACCTTACATTTTACGGGTTAAAAAATATCCTATGCCTCAATCCAGTCCCTGTAGCATGAGCAGAGAATTTAAATTATATCACGTTTTTTATCGCATCTAACTGTCAAACTCTTTAGTAATTTGACAATAATTGAGCGTGATAGAAACGAGCGACGATAAAATAGGGGCTGGTTATAAACTACTAGCGGCCCGCCCTCGCTTTGCTTCGGTGTACAGTTGTAGTGTAGACTATACTTTTTGTTTAAAGGCTTGTTTTATATACAACGACTTTCTTCATAATAAATATAAACCTTACATTCCAAGTAAAAAATTCGTTGCGTAGTTTAGGACCCGTTGTACCGAATGCAATATTGCTCTGCTGTTCCGATTTGAAAAAATATTTTTGTATTGGACTGTGCATTTATCAAAGAAGGCTATAGGCCTATATATATTACCAGGCTACGCCCAGTAGCAGCCGAGCATCGATGAAAAATGTTGCAAAAACGGGTAAAAATATTGCTGGGTATACGGTTAAAGTTACACAAAAATCATGTATAACGGAATTCTTCCCCTTTAAAAGTTCTGTAAAAAAGTCTACAACAGCCTATGTCCATTTTTTAATTTTGACTCACTATAAGCCTTCTTCTTCAAATTAACGCGGGTGACGCCGCATGGGACCTCTAGTTGTGTCATAACTGTAATATTTAGGCATAGGGTATCGTGGATTTTTTTGTAGATATCGATATCCGCTATAAAACTTTATTACATCATTTTGCTCTATTGTCAATGACTTCCGCAGCATACGCTATATAAGGCTATTTTAAGGTCTTTTTTACACACGTTGCGTTACATTATCGAAGTTATACGGAACCCTACCTTTTTTTTGAAAATACACTATAGCCTATATTAATCAGTGATAATGTAGCATTCAAATGGTGAAAGAATTTTTTAAAATCGGTCTAGTACTTTTTGAGCTTATTCGTTACAAACATACTTACATACAAATTTTTCCTCTTTATAATATTAGTATAGATATACATACTAAGTATCATCCAAATCGAATAAGGAGTTTTTGCGTGATTCAGAGTATCAAACAATCTTTCACATTTATAATAACACTGGGATGCTTGCCCAAAGCTAAATATTTAGTTGAAAATTCAATTAAATTATTTTCCATAGAGTTCCTCATTAAATAATAAATTAATTAAATAACTTTTTTACCCCAGCATGTGACACATAATTATCTATAGCTCGTTGAGTAGGATATAAATATAATTTTGATTTTTTTATTTTCAAAAAACGAGGAAATGGGGGCCCTTTGTCATTTTAGACCATTTTTGTTATGGGGTCTATCTCAAAATCGAAACTAGCTAGGAATGTGAAAATTTTGGTATATGATGTCCCCTTTTGCTGTTTTTTTTTAATTTTTTTATCGGATAGAACATCATTGGATCTTTTAAAAAAATTACCTATAAACCAAAGTTTGTCAAACACTGTTTTATAAATAGGCCTAAAAAACACAAACATTTTAAATGTTTTAGCCAACTTTAAAACTAAAGCACTGATCAGTGCTAATTAATGAGGGAAATCTTAATTAAAATTAAAGCATTTGTTGATCTTGTTTCAGGGAAAAGTAAACTCACATTAAAGCCGGATTCGTCTATTTTATTTTGGCGTTTTGTGAACATGAATACGAATTATTCATATTTTATGTTAATTGGTAAGTTTTAGAATTTAATTAAAAGTTGCATTGCAGAAAAATATAATCAACAACAAATATCGTTGAATATAATAATAGTATAATAACAGTTGCACAAATGGTCAGCATTAGATTTCTTTTTAAATTGCGAAAAGAATAAGATTCATAAAAACAATTGTAATTATACATAATTATACACCGTGAATGTTTTGGGAATACCTGAGAAACTTTACTTGACAACATAATAGGTTGTATATATGTATATTAAAAACACATTTTTCCAAAAATGTTTCATCGTTAACTCACTAATTGTAAAATTATGAAACCTTAACAATTTTAATTGTCATAAATTGAGTCAAATAAATCTAACTTGATGTATGAAAATTCCATAATAGCTGTGTTATTTACAATTTTGCGCTGTTTTCAGATATTTTGTAAACGATATAGATCAATATTTGTGTATATGGCTGTGGAATCATTTAATATAACTATTAACACTATTTTTATTTACACGATTTTAAAGTTTCTCAGTAATTCTAAATTCACAATTTATAAAATTAGTTATAATTGATTTGTTTAAAGGTGTTTTGCCCATGAATTTTTATGTAGTGCCATTTGTTTCGTTACTTTTCTTAACAAATTGTATAAATATACTTCTGCTTTCAATTGAACACAGACACCTGCATTTTATTTACGGTCCGAGGGCTTAACAGAAAAAAAAATATTAACCACAAAACACAAAAAAGATTAGAAGGATGATCGTAGACTATTTGTACGGAACCGATGCCGCCGGCTCGCTTCCAATATACTTTCACCTAATAGATAACAGCCAATCAAACGACGCGACATCAAACAATCGAACCATTTAGGGCTCACACCCGATAGCAACGACACAATCAAAACCAAGTTTTGGTCAAGTTATGATCATTTGCTCACACAACTGTGGCGCGCCTGCCCCGACCACAAGGCCATTCTAACCTATTTCTGTGTTCCGTAGTATTAACTATCATTCGATAGTAAAACTAATTGTTTGTTTATAGGTGCAGGTGTGGCAATAGGAGCTTCAGTTAGGAGTACTAAACTTTATGAGGATATAACAAATTACAGCGGAACGTCCTTAACTAATCAAAATTGGTATGTGGGACTGCTGTTAGTGTGCTTCCTGTCTTGTATCCTGGCTAACATAATGACAGGCGTTGCAGCTGTGGTAATTTTTCTGCCCTTCGTTCTGAACATGGTATGTATTTTGCTTACAAAGGTCTGTAAGTTGTATTGTGTACGTTATCTGGATTAAGTTGTTAATATTGGTACATAGATAAAGTCATTCTATTTGGTTACTACAACCCATTCCAGAAAATTGACAGTTTAACTTTAAAATTTCTGACAACTGAGTGAAAACCAAACCACTTTATTACAAAACATAGACTAAAGTTAAACCTGGACTAAAACTGATGTTGTTTGTTTGCTTAAAAGAAGATAGACTACATACGGTTTGAACCAAGACTAGCTTTAGTCCGCGTTTTAAGGGGCAAAGGAGCAAAATATTCTAATTCTGTTCTATGAAATAATAAATGAGGAGTTGGCGAACATTATGGTATAATTACATAGAATTTAATTTTACATGTGCTGTATAAAACTGAATGACATACCTACAGTGAGCTTTTGGCATGGTTTTTAATTTACAAATTTAGTAATTTAACACTGTTTTGTGTAAGGGGTGTAAGGGGTTCTAAATACACCTGCAAGAACCCAAGCCAACCTCACCTTCACATGGTGCACCCTATAACCATCCAACGACGTAGGGGGAAATCGCACTGGTAACGGGCAGCAGCATCATCAATGAATTAACCTATGTTCTGCGATCACCAACCCGCCTGCCCAGTGTAGCGATTACGGGCAAAACCTTCAATGCATAAAAAACACATGCCACCGCCCCCAGTTCCCGGCAGCCCCGCTCCCGAGTCCTGGTCACGGTAACGGCGGGGCGGGAGGTGCCAAGAATCTCCGGGCTAAGGAAGGTCACCAAACTAGACTGACCCTGGCGACGTACAACGGACGCACGCTCCGGCTTGACTCGCATCTGGCGCACCTCGAGGTGGAACTTGGGAAGATTAGGTGGCACGTGTTTGGGTTAAATGAAGTCCGAAGAGAGGGGGAGGACACCATAACCCTCGAATCGGGCCATCTAATGTACTTCCGTGGGGGAGAGCAGCAGTCCCAAGGTGGCGTTGGGTTTTTGGTAAATAAGTAACCTGCTTATAACGTTGTAGAAAGGTCGAGCGAGTCGAACAAAGTCACTACCCTGTTCGACACGTTCGACCTGTCTAATATACACTTTTTAAGATACACTTATCTTATTATAAAGCTCACCGAGAGGTATAGCCTCAAGGTGGTGCAAGTGTACGCACCAACCTCGACATACTCCGACGACGAAGTGGAGGATATGTTCGATGATATATCGAGGGCTCTTCACTCCACTACTAAGACCTACTACAACGTTGTTATGGGGGACTTCAACGCTAAAGTGGGAGTACAGAATTGCAGCGAATCGGTAGTAGGATCCCATGGATTCGGAAGCAGAAATCATAGGGGGCAAATGCTCGTCAACTTCCTCGAAAGGGCTCTTCTTGGTGAACTCTTTCTTCAAGAAACAGCCCCAAAGGAAGTGTACGTGGCAAAGCTCGGATACTATGACTAAAACTGAGATCGATTTCATCATGACGGACAAGAGGTACCTATTCAGAGACGTCTCCGTGATCAACAGGTTCAATACCGGTAGTGATCACCGACTCGTCCGTTTGATGAAATCCAGGCTCCAACCTACTCTGCTCCAATCTATAGCAGGATCTGAAACGTTCCAGTCAAATCTGGAGAACCGATTTGCTGCCGTGGAAAAAACATCAGACGTAAACCGAAACCTCGAAAATGTGGTTCGGATCTTCAGGGAACGCAGCGTAAGGACAGGAAGTCAAAGCTTTAGGAAGAGACTTTAGAGCTCATGAAGTAACGACGTGAAAATCCACCCATCACTTCGTCGGCAAAGCGGACTCTAAACCAAGAATCAGTAAGCACGTACCATACGACCTCCGGTGCTCCAATACTCTCTCGATCGCTCTCTCGATCGAGCAGTATCCAAGGTCCAAAGTGTTTGTACAATCTCTTGGAAGAAGCCATCTGACGAAGTTGACCACAGCAAGTGGGGAAGTTGTTGCTTCAAAGGCGGCAGTTCTTTCGGAAGTGGAAGACTTCTACGGCCAGTTGTACGCATCACATGCATTTCGACCCGATCCCGGAAATGAGGATTCTAGAGCCACATTAACACGCCACTTCACCGAGAACCTGCCAGGAGTCAGTATTGGCGAGATTGCTCTTGGACAGCTTAATAATGGAAAAGCCCCTGGAGAGGATGGTGTCACAACAGAACTTCTGAAAGGTAAACCCGTTCTGAGGGAGCTCCAAAAGCTTTTAAACACTGTCCTGTTCGAAGGGAGAACTCCTGAGGCGTGGAGTAGGAGTGTGGTCGTCTTGTTCTTTAAAAAGGGGGACAAGACCCTACTTTAGAACTTTCGACCCATATCCCTTCTAAGCACGTCTATAAGCTGTTCTCAAGTGTGATCGCGAACCGTCTTGCGTGAAAAGACTTGATGACTTCCAACCACCGGAACAGAGTTTCGGAGTGGATACGGCACCATAGACCACATTCACACAGTGCGGCAGATTATACAGAAGACTGAAGAGTACAATCAGACCCTGTGTCTAGCATTTGTAGACTATGAGAAAGCCTTTGACTCGATTAAAATCTGGTCTGTCCTGGAATCCCTGCAGTGTTGCCAAGTCGACTGACGATACATCCAAGTAATTAGATGTCTCTACAAAGCCGCCACCATGTCGGCCCAAGTACATAATCAGCAAACAAATCCCATGTCGTTGCATCGTGGAGTGAGACAAGGGGACGTTATTTCCCCGAAAATTTTCACTAATCCAATGGAGGATATGTTCAAGACGCTGAACTGGAAAGGACGTGGCATTAACATAAATGGCGAACGCATCTCTTCACTTAGGATTTGTAGACGACATCGTCATCATGGCGGAAACCCTGCAGGACCTACAACAAATGCTGAATGACCTGGCTGACTCTTCTATACGCATCGGCCTTCGGATGAACTTAGATAAAACCAAGGTCATGTTAAATGAACATGTTCCACCGGAACCGATTTGCAATACACGGTGCCGTTCTCGAAGTTGTTCAAAAATATGTGTACCTCGAGCAGACATTGCAGTTAGGTAGAAACAACTTTGAAGACGAGGTGAATAGAAGAATTCAGCTAGGTCGGGCAGCGTTTGAGAAGTTACGTCAAGTCCTGACATCGTCGATCCCACAGTGCCTAAAGACGAAAGTCTTCAATCAGTGCGTCCTACCTGTGATGACATACGGAGCCGAGACGTGGACACTAATGGTACGGCTGGCCCACAGGTTCAAAGTCGCTCAGCACATTATGGAAAAGGCTTTGCTCGGCGTTTCTCTGAAGGATCGCATCAAAAATGAGGTAATCCGACAGAGAACCAGAGTTATCGACATAGCCCACCGGATTAGCAAGTTGAAGTGGCAGTGGGCTGGCCATATTTGCCGAAGAACCGATAACCATTAGGGCAGACGAGTTCTGGAGTGGAGACCGCGTCTAGGCAAACGTAGTGTAGGACGTCCCCAGGCACGATGGAGTGACGATTTGTGCAAGGTGGCTGGCAGGAGCTGGATGCGAGTAGCCCAAGATCGATCTGAGTGGCGTGCATTTGGGAGGCATATGTCCAGCAGTGGACTAAGATAGGCTGTTGATGATGATGATTGATGAACACTGTTTTAGGCGGTTTTGATTTGAGATTCAAATTCAACGGTCCCGAATCCTCCGGACCTTAAAAAAAATAGTTTGACCAGATGCGTAATTATACCATTTTGTTCGCCAGCTCCTCAAATGGAAGTTTCAACATTGATGTGAATATACTTGATACTTATTTTAAAAAGTTAAAAGTAAAATTGAAAAATAAGGTAATTTAATTTCTCTTTAATTAAATTACCTATTTATAAATTTTTACTACGACCGCATATCCATATTACTATTTTGATACTATTTATTTCCTGAAAATCACATTATTATTAGGTCAAATCACATGATCTCATTTTGATGTCTTGGTTCCATTGCACTGGCACCTAAATAAATGGATTTATTTCGGTTCTATAGTGATCTTGGATTCAAGCTCATTATTATAGAAAAACCGGCCATGTGCGTGTCGTGCCACGCGGAGTGTAGGGTTCCGTAGTTGCCTTTAGTTACCACAATATATTTGAGCAGGAGTCTTTATTTTTTATATCGGAATTAATTATTGAAAAATATAATCCATTCTTGAATATCTAATGGGTCCCACCTATTGAAGTAGCCTTGTTCCTTACTGAACAGAATTATAGACTACTGGACTTGTTTTTTTTCTTTTCAGTTTTTACTTGACGTAGGTAATATTTAAGCAGTCGAGATTCCTAGGTTTTATCTACGTTTACAAACACCAAAATTCAACAAAAAAAACTCCGAACTTTCCGGCAGTATACTCCATTACAGTACACCGCGCTATCACTTTGTCATCGTTGTAACTTTTTAAATATTTGTCGAAATGACATACTGTAAAAGGCAAAGTATATATCAAAAGCGATAAAAGTATTTGTTGATACGAAATGTGCATTTTGGAAATGGACATCAAATTATATTTTATTTTTGATACACTATAAATTAGTAAGTAATTTAAAATGACCTATTCAACGATATCCCACACAATGAAGTGATGATGAAAATAAAATCACCCCCAGGTCACATGTAGGGGAGTCCTAAAAAAATATTTTGTAAAATTTTAATCGGCATGATTGATATACCTCTACAAAATTACAGCTCTCTAGTACTAATAGTCTCCAAAACCGGAGACGGATGGACGGATATGAAACTATAACTGGGACTGGGGAAGTAAAGTAATCCTAAAGTCAACGGCACCTACTGGATGTGGACAGCGCAGGACCGTTGTTGGGAAATCTAGAGAAGGCAGTGGACGCCCATCATCGGCTGATGATGATGCACTTCCGGACACACCTATCGTAGTGCAGTCATTGAAGCATTATTGTTCCGATTTTTTTTACTGTGAACCGAATTGCATACAATTATGGAATTAGGTTCATCTTACCCTTAACTTCAAAAGTTAAAATGATTTGAACTTATCCGCAACCAACCCCCAGGGTGGTTACGGATAAAATAAAAAATATTTTCTAAAGACATCTACCAAAACGTTTCCAGCCTAGGCCTAGTAGGATCCATATCGGAAAGTAGTGTGCGTCGTAATCAAATAATATTCCATACGCGTCATGGCTTTTCTTCATTGCCACAACGCGTTGAGATCGAATAGCATGTCAGCCACGACACGAATTTCGCTATTTGGTCTTTCTGTGATTGCCACAACGCGTCGTGCGCGTTTTCATTAGAGCCATAACACGAATTTCGCGATGTGGATGTTTGGATGACTGTGACCACAACGCGTTGTGAGCTATTTTTCCGCTCACTGAGCGTTTTCGATCTTTGAGCGTAACATATATACATAATATGGCTAATATATTTTGGAAACGTAGGCATGAATAATACATACCAACGTTCTTATATGTATATATAACATATTTGAGTGAAGGGGCCAACGAAAAAGCCATGTGATCCGCTGTGCGTGCTCCGTCTATTCGTTATAATGTGACCAGTATATTTCCGTCTGCAAAGGACTGAGCACTTGTTTGATATAATATTTTAACTATACACCCAATTTCAATACATTTTGTTTAATAAAAAAATTATTTTTTTTAACAATTTTTTATCAAGGGTTAGTTTTCAAGGGTTGAAAGGGGGTTAAAAATTTGATAATTATTATAGAGAATATAAAATATTACTTACTCTATACTTACATCTTTTTATCATACCAAAGTATTTTTTTGTGATTTTTTCAATTTAGGGATTGTTTGCAGGGATTGTAAGAATTTCAAGGGGTTGAAAATGATTTTCATATGAGGTAATTATGTTAGAAAATAGTTTACAATTTCACCACTTACTATTAGACATGTTTTCTAGCGATAAAATGGCTCAATGTCAATTTTTCCATTAAGGGGTTGTTTACACCCCTTAAAAATAATAGGCGGAGTTCACATCATTTTCACTTTTGAAGTTAAGGGTAAGATGAGCCTAATTCCAAAATTTCATGCAAATCGGTTCACAGTTAAAAAATTCGGAGGTAAGACCGTATTTTTCGCTTCAATGACTGCACTATCGGCCCACCTAGCATTTTAAATGACGGTCCCTAGCTAAAAGTAAATGTTACATTGAGCAAAAAGTTATTACCTACGCAGTTTTGAAGCTGATGAGCACACGAAAAGATGGTTAATAATGTTTTAATGTGTTTTTAAATAATTTCTCGATCATAAACATATATTTTTGTTACAGACCCTTGAAACTTATAACACTGTGGGCCGATAGATGTGTCCGGAAGTATAGAAACAGTATATCGGTCACTTAATCATAAATTTTCCTCTACAGGCTAGAGACGGGGCTCCATCACCGTGGGTTGGGAATGCCTATCTGGCCGCACTTGGCGTAGGGACTGCGTCATCGTTTGGGTTCATGTGGCCTTTTATGTATACACCGGCATTTATATGTCATCATGTGGGGAAAGTCCCGATGCAAAAAATGGTGAGATTGTTTTTGATGCATTATTATACATTTGACTATCGGTTGGTACAATGGTAGCACGCTCTTACTATCTTCTCTTTATTTGTATGATGATCACTACTAATGTATGTTCCCCGAGCCATCGTTATTTAAATATATGTGCGTGTGGACTGAGTGATCTTTCCAAAAAACTCATCCAATCACAACCAAATTATATCTATTATAATTTATTTTTATTGAGAAATGATTTCACAATGTAAATTAATATGTATTACGTTTAGTTATGTAGTGTAAAATATTTGCATGCTATTTAAGATGGCTGAATGGGCCGAACTTCAAAATTTGTAAGATCCCCAGTGTACCATATTCAAATGCAAATAAATAAATTCTAATTCTTAACATCAGGAGGGGTGGAGTCATTTATCGGACCTATCTATATAAAAAAAAAACTATAAACAAACTTGCATTATATGCACTGCACAACGCCGCCAGCTTCGCAAATTGCAATGAATATACACAATGTTAGCATTGAATAGGGTAGTCGAAAAAAATCCGACAAAATAAAATAGTACAAGTACCTTACTCAACATTTTCCTTAGAGATTGTAAAAAATGAGTTATCTTTTAAAATATAACACTTACTGGGACGATTGGTTCGTCAAATTTTAGTACAACATTTTTCACAATTTCTGATGTAACTACCTTCTACCTATAACTTTGGGTTCATTAAATATAGTTCAAGATAAGGATCACTCAGTTGGGACGATCGAGAAAAAACAAGATTTTCATTTTCTCTTAAACCAGTAAGATTTCAATCCCGATCTTTGTTTTACAAATTTTCCCAGAAGCATAATTTATAATAAACATGATAATGTTTCATACTTTTTCAGTATAAGGTGGTATTTTAAAAGATTACTCAAATGAACATAGTGCATTCTGAGTGATCCATATAAACCGTTCTAAATCTTAAACGTGGCTTTGAAATGAATCGAAAATTTGTTTTGCAGCTTTCACAAATTCTTCACAGTTATTTCAAATACAAATTATAAACACATAGGTAGTATTTTCTTGGATATGCGTTATGGCTTATTCTTCAGGTGTCCAGATTGAGTGATCCAGTTAATTAGTTCTAACTTTCTTTGTTTAGGTTTCACAAATTTTATACCTTACCATTAAGTTTTCACAATTATTTCCTTAATCCTCTTATAATTTGGTTGTGGTTGGATGAGTTTTTTGAAAAGATCACTCAGTCCACACGCACATTTGAAATATTACAGTAACTACCATATAATAATACTTAACTATTCAACACTCCGTTTTTTGTTGCCAATTAAAAAACTTTTTTTATCCACTAGACATCTTATATCTAAAGTACATATAAATTAGACCTATAAACATGCATGGCACGAGTCCAAAATATGTTATAAATGTACTTTAGATGTAAGTAAAGAATATGTATTAATCCTTACTTTCTCGTGGGGTTTTTATGAAGTCGATTATTTTTGGTAAAAAAGATTTTATTTTACACTTTTTATAAGCTAAAGTTACATGAACTTAGTATAGAAACCTGGTCTGCATTATATCTTAAAATAACGAAACAAAAATTGAATGATCCATTGTTTTCTCTAAAAGTCCTAAATCAATAGTTTCGTAAGGTTATTGAAATTCAAGAAAATCGATGTTGCTATCAATAAATTAATTAACGCGGGAAAACTAAAGCATAATTACGCACAATTTATTTGCTTTTTATTCGTCAGTCACAAAGCTTTATTATATTGTAATAAAGAATGGCTGCTATATAAAGTGGTGATATTATGGTATTAAAATTAATTGGTTCACTCTAAAATTACATTTTTCGTTGCAGGCCAAGTATTCGATCGTTAGTGTCGTCCTATGCTGCATCATCCTTTGGGTCGCTCTAATTGTTTACGCGCCCATTTTGTGGGACCCTACAGGCGCAGGTATTTATTGCGAACCTGGACCGGTCATATCATCCTCTGCTCCGACCACACCTGCCCCAGGCGGTGGCGGAGATGAAGCACCACCGCCGGGAATTTAAAACAATCGAATCGAAGAACCGCATCGCAAGAAAGTTCAAAGGCAACGAACACTTAAGTTCGTTAGATGTCGCTAAGTATTTTTGTATTACTAGTGCGCTTTTATCTTATGTCCAAGGATAGCCTTAAGTGCAGTGACTATATGCAATTAAAAACAGAGGGCAAAATCTAGTCCATACTTCAGGTATCTGAACTAATACCCGAGTCAAACCTCTAAACGTGGTGAATTATTGCTACATGTCTTTAGTCCGCATGTCAAATAACAGAAGGTACTTTTGATTTTGATGAAATATTTTCTAATGGTTAGATGATTGTTTTTTTTTTAATTTCTGATATACCTATATTTTCTTAATAACATGCTGAGAGTCATTAGACACGAAGATATGTTTATTCAGTGAATTAATTTTGTATTGATTATTTAAATAATTTCTTAAGTTGTCAGTAAGAAGTTATTTTTATGTAAGAATAGATTCATTAAATTATTAGTTGACACATTGAGTTTATTTTCCCTCCCTTTCTCTTTCCTTAGAGCCGCCATACACGTACTACTCGGGCAGTTAGCTAGTGATCAACATACACAGACTGATCGAGCAGTCAGTCTTTTGCGTCGGGGGTTAACTAGTGACAGTCAATATGACAGTATTTCAATGTCAAAATCAAAATTAAAAGTTTTCCCTAAAAACGCCCTTTTGCTGATTTTAATAAAAGTTTTTTTTTGGAAAGATGTTACTAATTTGTATGCCAAATTCGTACAAAATTTCAACGTATTTTCTACATGCGTTTATAAGGATCACTCAGTTCAGCAAATTAAAAAAGGTTTGATTGGTCATAACTTTTTAACTATAAGCATTTGTGGTGTGTTATTAATTTGTACAGATATTTCCAAGTTACCTTCAAGGTGACAAAAAAATATTATGCAATTCGTAAACATAACGCCGTATTTCTAGGATTTCTAGGAATCTAAATGCCTCAGGATTGAGTGATCCAATGAAACTATCATAGATTCCTGGATTTACGTTGAAGTAATTTGATTTTTTTTATATCAAAATTTCGTTCACAGCATTAAAGTTTTCTGAGATTCAGCGTATACTATTTAGCCTAATGTCTGAATTGAGTGATCCACATTTGATTACATGTGATTTCGGTTATGAGTTTTGACAATTTAACACTAAATGTACGTTTTGGTTTTATTGAAAACTAAAAAAGGATCACTCAATGCAGATGCGCATGAATTCAAACGCGTGTCTCAAGCGCATGGAACTCGCTCTCGCAGTGGTCTCAATTGGTCCGAAATATCTTATCCGTGAACGGTGTCTATGGCTGCTGCGCACTTTATTACTTAACTTCTGTACTTTATATTTTACTCCATAGTAACTCTAGGTATACTACTTTGCCTCCCGTAGGTGAAAGTAAATGGTAAGCAATTATTGGCATTTGAAAATTTCGGTAATTGAAAATAGTACGTACTCTACGGCTTGGTAACTAGGAATCATGAGCAGAATGGCTGCTCACCTTAAACGTTTTGTTTATTCATTAAATATTGAGGACGCAAAAGCAAATGAGAAGCTATTCTTGGTCAAAAATAGGTGGCTGTCAGGATGGCAGGTCACTAATTTTATTTAGCATTGAATTCACTTGAATGTTGGACAAGAATTGCTTCCAATTTGCTTCCTATCATGAGGATATCTCAATATTTAAAAAATAATCAAAACATTTAAGGTTAGTTCATAATAAATTTTAACCGCTGTACACTTGGCTACGAAATCAAATCGAGATAACCAATTTGTTTAATTTCTAATTTGACTATTTGACCAATATCATATATATATGCCAATGCCATGCTACTCGATAGAATATACAATAATTATCTGTTCTATTTGTTCTATCAGGAAACAACCAGTAGAATAGATCGATAAAACCCTCATAATATTTTATTATTCATTGAGGTCAAGTAAGAAGAAAAGTCAAAATCAGTTTCTGTTTTTTATTTTATTATCTATCTTTTGGATATAAAGTACAAGTAGTCTTTAATTGTTTAACTATCACGAACATCTCATATTGCCCCGGCCGGTTCTGTACTATAAATATATTTATAATCAAAGCGCTTAAAACTAATAAAAATAAAGAATTTAAGTTTTCTATCAACTATCAATAACTGAGATGTCAAATTAAGATTTTTACAAATAATAGTGAGTTCAGTCAAAATATGATATGTGACAAGACTGGTAGAAATCTCTTGACCTAGTAATACCTAGTTGAAAATAATTCATTCAATTTTCAATCCAATCCGGCATTTCGTACATAGGCCAAATGACTGGTGCATAGTAGGTCATGAAAAACCAGGTGAGTATAAGTGTAGTAACCGTAACTCCAGAACCGGCTTTTATCTGCAAGCAAAATGAAAATTTAAGACAGTGAATAGCATTCAAACAGCTCTCTCGGATTGTCATAGTGTGTGGAGTAGTAAAATTTACTTAATATTTTTTACGCACATCAATTATGGAGACGGTTCAAATATGTCGATCAGCCGGTTATTATAAAAATCTATATCGAGAATATGGAAAAGATCGACCAGGACAGATTCTTGTAGAGATCATCAACTATAAATATTAAATGGTATGGTCGTAACCTGAGTTTCGTGGTATGATGGTATCTACCACACACAGAGAACAAATACATAGAAGGACTGTTACCCTGATTATTTGCCACAAACAACATTTTTTTATTAAAACATACCATGAACCCTGAAAATAATCATTACAATACTTTTGGGAGTCGTGTAAAAAGGCAATTATTTTACCCTTACTCTTCATTCTAAAAACGCTACTGCCATGTGATTTTTTTTTATGGCAAATTTTTCACTTAGTTTTATCAGAAAGGTAATAACAATACAGGATTTTAGTGAAAGTGTTTTCTGTTTACATTCATACCTGATAGTAGTGCATTCTTCTACTGTTGTTTATAAACGGCACCGTTTTTTCGGATTTCCATTAGATTTTTTTTTTCATATTATTACACAGATTTTAAGCCTCATGTTAAAAAAAATCAATCGTATGCCCCATGGGCCCATATATTATCTTACTCTCTAGGTGCACTTACCATTTTGGTCGTTGGAATGCTAGCTGCACTTTGTATCACCAAATTTCCAGGAGTTCCCACGGGCATCATGAAGCAAAACGAAGCTGAGAAACCAGATACAACGGCATACCACAGAGGATTAACATTTATTCGCTTGGCCTGAAATAATTTATGATAGCAATTAATTACTACAATACTCATTTTATCAAAATAAACAATCTAGAAGTTGGCTACTGCCATGTGTACCGAACACAGAGCAATAATGCAGTGTCTACTGGGTGCGACTGGACCAAATAAATTCAACGAGTGAACAAAGGCACGGAGGCAAAGCTAATTGCAGTGCGTGTTTGTGAATCAGAACTGGTGGCCTATCACCGACAATAGAAACGTTTACTGAGTACGTGACTGGCTGCCAGTACCCATTCACAAATGTTTTTGAAAAAAAAATCTGACAAATGATAAAACCACACATGTCCCCTTAGCATGAGCACCAGCCCCTCTAGCATGACCACCGAAACGGGATATGATAAAGCGATATATCGGCATTAACTGTCAGACTACAGTGGAGTTTGACAGTTGAGACTCGATAAAAAGCTTTATCATATCCCGTTTCGGTGGTCATGCTAAAGGGGCAGAATTTAGTTTATATCACGTTTTTTATCGCGTCTAACTGTCAAACTCCATAGTAATTTGTCAATTGAGCGAGATAAAAACGCGTAATATATCATATCGCGGTGCTCATGCTAGGGGGGATACACTAGGTATAATACAAAAGGGTTTTTCTTTTATATATAGTTGCTCTCATTAAAATTTTATATTAAAGAGAAAAAATAATGCTTATTTCTAGTAGTTCCATAGAGCCAGTTCCACATGGAAATATTTAAACTTTAAAAATGAATATTTTGTTCTATTGCTTCCATGATAATATGCGTAGCCTCCACAACATAACAACAACTCACGTAATGATCGTAATCGTAAATACCATTGTATCCCGGAGATCTTTAAGACGAGCTTAATAGATACTTCTCACACACAACACCAATGTTTAGATCCAAATGAAAAATCGCAAATATAATAAGAAACTCACTATTTGCATCGCCAAAGGTACCATTACATTGGCAACAGCAACATTGGATGCGAAATTCGTCAAAAATGTCACAATAATTGCTATGATGAGAATAACGGCAGGGTTTGGGAGTTTATTCAAGAACATTAACTGCTCCCCGATTTTGTCGTTCAAGCCACTTATTTTAGCGCCTTCGGACAGAGAAAACCCACCACCTAAAAGTATAATCACATGTCATTAGATTGTCTTGAAATGTAAATATTGCAAATACATTTATTAAAATTGTTTTTGTTTTCTAGTACCTAAATAAAGCAAAGAAAACGTTACGTCCCAATCTGTTCTATTAGAACCAGGAAAACACAGCATACCAGAATCGGATTAGGGCTAGCTATACTTCATTGCAGATAACATTAAAAAAAGAAGCTGAAAGAAGCAGGGTTCCGAAACCTTTTCATGTCATGTGTAATGATGAATTATGATTATCATATTTAATATTATCAAGGAGTGCCGGCCGTATAACCCGCCACCACTGCATCAACGATGTCATCCGCAGGGCCCTTGCCTCCGCCAGCATGCCAGCCGTTTTAGAAGCAAGCGCCCTGGCGCGCGACGACGGTAAGAGGCCTGACGGCATGACACTCGTTCCTTGGAAGCTGGGAAGGGCACTTGTGTGGGACGCAACCTGCGTCGACACTGGCCCCGTCTCATATTCCCGGAACCTCTATGCAGGCTGGCGCGGCTGCTTCGACCGCAGAGGTCCTTAAGCGCCGCAAGTATGATTGCCTCAGTGGAGACCTCACATTTGCGGCGTTTGGAGTTTGGCGTTTTTGAGACTCAGAGACCCTGGGGCCCCGGTGCCCACCATCTTTTCAAAGATATCGCGAAAAGATTGGTGGAGACCGCAGAGCTGGTGGATATTTCACTCAGCGCATAAGCCTCGCCATTCAGCGGGGAAATGCCGCCAGCGTCCTGGGAACCTTTGCCGACGGGGAAGACTTAGGGCAGCTATTTTTTTAATATTTTTAATTTTTGTCTAGTTTTAGTGTAGTTTTAGTTTAATATCTAAATGTAAATTGTTATTTTTGTTTATATTGTTTATTTCCAAGATTGTCTTGTTGTTGTTGTATACAAATATTATTATTATAATGTTTTTAGAAGGTTCAATAAATATTATCTATATTATGTATTACCAGATACTTTGGACAGTAATGTTATTTATTTATTTGTAATGATCTATTTGTGTAACTTTCTACAAATTGGAATTGGCTCTAATTATACAACATCATAGAAATATATTTTTTTATTATTATTTCCAATATAAATTACTCCTATCAAGTGCATACAAAACTTATATGTAGGATTAATTTTAAATTAATCACTTTCTATCAGATGAGGACCCCGAAGACGATGACGATTGACATTATCCAACTGACAAAATCTATCTACGTTTTTTTTCTTGATAAAAACTTAAATACATAACGACACAGACATAACACATATTGGGGTAAATTAATTATTTGGTAAAAAGTAACTGTTGGCTTCTGCTGTTTTTTGTGAAGTTTCACTTTTCTATAATACTCAACACTTTGGCCAAGTTTCTTCCATTTATCTGTAAATATTAAGAATAACATTTTTGTCTAATGTTCGAAGAGGACTTTGTTTTGGTATTTTCTTTCATATAGCAACAGTGCTTTATTAAGATTTAGACCACGACTTCGCCGCAGGTACTGTTGAATGGCTCGAGAGTCACTAGGGCCCGCACCCGCATTACTCATTTTATAATTCAAATCAATAAAATACTTCAACGTAACGAAGACATTTTAAAATGAGGTAATATGCTAATATATATTATATGTCCAAAATAAAATACAAAGAGAATGTCAAAATTTCAAAGAGAAGACGCGTTCCTTAATGTACGACAACCGATACGATGATCCATCCTGTAAAATCAAAAAGTCAAAATTTCGCCATATTATAATCGAACATCCAACATTTAGTTTGGTCGCATTATACGTAAGCGTATCAATGCAGGTTGCAAACCACAGCTTTTTTGGGGTTTTTCAATAGAGCCATTTTGTAATTTGTACTAATCATGTAGTAATATTTTAGTTTTCGAACGACTCTTATTATAATAATCTAAATAAATAGTTAATAGTTTATTTCTATATAGGTAATTGTTGAGATGTCTGTGCTTGTACATTTTACGCATATATTGACAAAAGCGTACTAAAACATTACAACAATGAGTTGAAAATGTGCACCTATAAAAAAACCCGTTTTTACTTCTTTTTAATGTTATCTGGTATTAAGTATAAGTAAAGTAAGATAGATGATTTTGTTATTAATTAACGCAGCACGTATAAAAATTGTTAGAAGCCGAGTTATAACTAACTTATAGTGAATTACTTACCCAATAGAAACATAAAACTCCAAGGCATTTCGCTGTTCAATAGCCTCCAATCAAGCACTGATAGAATCTTTCCCTTCGGAAGCTCGTCGGTATCTGTGGAATTTACAATTTTTCAACAGTTTTCGCAACAAGTAGTTTTATGTGTTTGAAACCAATATCATTAAGGTGGCTTGTTAACCAGATGATTTCTATCCAGCTCTAGGCACGGTTTTAAATCGTGTCTACGTCCGATCGTTAATTAAGTATGGGACACTATGGAGGGTTGTTAACGACACCGGCGCTAGCGACGGTTTGGGGTCGAACTGTGCTCTTGAACAAGCTTAACCTGCATCGGCCTAGGCAGAAACCGTGCCTTGACCCGGCTGAGAACCGGTCGTTACCAAGTGCAGTGAATTTTAAAATTAAATTAATGAAAATTAAACATAGAAGACGCCATCGCAGCGGCTAATAATCCCGAGCAGATATAAAAAAAACAATGACTAGCGCCACTCGAAAGTTGCGTTGGTTGCATTGCAAGCGCACCTGGCAACTGGCAAGTCACAGTCACAAAAAAAATGGACTTTGTTTATAATGATTAGTGTTCAAATATGCTTTTACGCAAGACGCGTCAGAATCATGTTAGTGCGCGTGCATTGCCTGAAACCATTATTTCTAAGGGCCTTAGCTGCGTTAAACGAGAGCACAAAGCCAGCGACAGCGAAAGTTTGTTTCATGTTATTTCATAGAGTCGCTGCTGTGTGAGGCGGGTCTCCCGCGCAGCGGGTCTCTATGAAATGACATAAAAAGTGCACACGGAGCGGACGGCCGCTCCGTGACCTGCTTAACGCAGCGCAGAAGGTGCGGTCATGAGATAGATGTTTTGCCAATGTATTATTCTCACGCTTCAGTGCATCTGATGGCTGATTATAGCTCCAAAAACGATGTAATTACATAAATGAAATATAGCAATAAACTGAACAACAAAAGCACTTGACTTACATTTGACAGAGAAATTTTTCAATATGTCCAAAGAACGTGGAAAAAGAAACATGGCCGCGCCAACAAGCATTGCGAGGGCTGAATCACGAACACTGTACAGAAGAATCAAATGTTACCATACACAAGACTTAGGTATAAGAAAGAAAGAAAACTCGTGGTATCATAGAAGTGTTAAAACAATATATGAGCGTACTATTTCTCATCATCTTTTTCAAAGTATAGTCTGAGCTTATCGCCCCAGCCTTCAAATATTTGCGGAGAACGACAGAAGAAACAAACCATGGCTCCCATAAACAATATCGAGACCATCTGTGAAAAAAAGACTGAAATTATTTTATGTTTTTTATTTATGCATTTAAACGATTTTTGTTGATTTTAAAGATACAATTTGGACAACACTTTTTTGCTTTCTGGGCAAATGAACTAGTTACCTTTAAAAGCTGTCGCACGGTGTTTCATTCGCATACATACAATAATTCACGGATACAAGCAATCGATCGTAATAGACTAAAAAGACTTCTTAGGACGCCCCATGGTTTCAGTCAGAATCTTTGATAGAGCATTCATATCATGAGTGTAGATAAAGGTTTGTATGCAACTGTTTATAATTAGGTATTAAAACACTCGTATGATACTAATATCGCCCAAACCCACATGCGTATTTTTAAGCCCCTTTTTAAACAACAGTTGCATAAATAACTATTATGTACATCATTAGGAAAACAAGGTTAAGTGCGCTCACCCCTTCCCAAAATGAAAAAGTTCCAAGTTTCTTTGTATCTCGTTCAATAGCTATTTTAGCAGCCGCTATACCTTGTGGTGTTATTTTGGTTGACCTAGCTATTGGACTGTTTGGCCTGAAAAGTAGCGACACTTATCTTTAAAAGTATGGTATTTTGAAAAATAGCTTCCATTTAAAACCAACTATAGAGGATTTTTTTAGAATTGGGTTAGTAACTTTTATTAAAATATCTAAATAATTACAAATGCGTGTTAGATAAGTTTAAAAAAGTAATATTAAATATTTCAAGAAGACGTACCTAATAAAATTAACAAAAGTACAAAACTCTGTGTATTCCAATTAGCAATTATTAACCTACTTCTTACTAATATTATTAATGTGAAAGCTAATGTTCACATTAATAATATTAGTTTGACCTTTGTTTGTTACTCAATCACGCAAAAACGGCGAATCGGATTTGGATGAAATTTTACATACAGACAAATTATAACGAACTATTTCTAGGTCCTAACCTAACCTAACACTTTTCAAAGTTGTAAAGGTGAAAGTTCGATAGGTGAAAAAGTGTTAGGTTCCAAATTTCTGAAGTGAACACGGACGATGTCACGGGCGGTCGCTAGTTAAAATATAATTTACCATTTGCCACCCGCGACTTTGTGACCTTCGTTTTTTGAGAATCCCGCAGGAACCTAACCTTTTCTGTTGATAAAAAGTATTCTATGTCCATTCCAGGTCATCAACTATATAGGTAACTACCAAATTTCATCCAAATCTGTTAAGCCGATTTTGCGTGATTGAGTTACAAAAATACAAACTTTCACATTTATAATATTAGTGGAAAGTAGGATATTAGGACACGTATACTTTACGGTAATAGGCTTTTTTATTTTGTCGAAGACGGGGAGAAAAAATGCATTATATCCACGACAATGACCAACGTCGCGTTGGTTTGCTGTCAACAAACTCTCGCGACGCAGGGTTGTGTTGTGCATTCGGCAAGCGGCGAGCAGCCCGAGGGCCGCTAGTCTGTGCGGGTATACTTATGGTAATTACCTGAACAGACCAAAGTACACTATGGCAAGGTACAGATAGTTAGCGGCTTCCAACGCGATCATATATGGCACTCCGAAGGCCGAGAACAGAGGGAAGGATAACAGCTCTGGCGCTTTCGGATATTCGCTGTAGACAAAAAAAAACCTTGCACTTTTTAACTATAACTGTTGATAAGACGTATCATTATCATCAGCCTATCAATGCCGCCCTCACTGCGGCACAGGCCTTTCCTATGGATTGAATAAAGAAATTGGATCGTTACCCACCACCCGGGATCGGTGTGCATTGGTGGATTCTAACGACTGCACATGCAGCCGGGATCAACGGCTTAACGTGCCTTCAGAAGCACGGAGTACCTCGAGATAATTAAGTTTTTGTTCACCCTTCCAATGACTGAACATTGCGAAAGTTATTTTTATTTTTTTACTTCATTACATAAGACGTATGTATAAAAAGAAATGAAATTTATAGAACGCATGTTCTGAAATCAGTCATATATATAAAACACATATTTTAAACTTCGACTAATAGCAGAATTCCAATAGTTAGCGAGTGCGAAATGTCATTGTCAAATATTTAGTTCTCGTTACGTCCGTTATAACGCTGCTTTTCAAGTTTTCACACAAAATTTAACAATGACATTTTACAATTGCTAACTATTCGAATTCGATATTAGTTCGTGCTAAGGGTACCGTTAGCACTATGTTTATTTAAACGACTTTTAAGTTTTAAAACTCAATAACTCAAATTTCACGGTATATAATGGTAGTTAGTCTTTAAGTAGCTTTATTTCCTTGGAGGATTAAAATGTTGGTAAGATTACTATTTAAATCTTCATGATTCAACCCTATTTAGGTTCCGTGGTCGTTTCAGTTTAAGAAGGTTTTATTAAATCATTATTGTGTGGGATAGATAGGACAATGGACAAAACGCACCCAGCTCCGCCAACAATGTAATTAGTATAAATCGATAGATCTATGAAAAACTAGCCTTTTTTATTATGACACCGTAAAAAAATATCCTGGCAGTCAAAAGATATGACAAATGGGCATATTAAATATGCACATGTAAAGTGAATTCACTTAAAATTTAAGTAGCTAAATAAATTCACTTTATAGTGCCTTCATTTTATATTATTAGTAACCATAATAATATGCCATATCATACTATACAACCAGATATAGATGACAAAGCCTGCCTACCATCCTGCGCTTGCACTTACTGAACCACCTCAAAACGGTTTACGGGGATTGAAGGACTTGCAGTTGAAAATGAAATGAATGAAATGAAAAAACCTTTATTGGCCATCTTACATAATAAAAATACTATAAATATAAACAAAACATAAAAGAAGAACTTAACCTAAAAACAAAAAATAACAACAAAACTAAGACGGCCAATCAGGACCCTGCCTCAGCTTATGCTGACACAGTGGGAGAATACTCTCTCACTGTATCAGCGCTGGTATTCTGGCAGGGCCTGTGCGAGGACGTATTAGGCGCTAACAAGTAACAAAACAATACATTTATGCTTAACTAATCATATTGTATTGCGCATACACACATACATATACACACACGCTGAACAACATTTATATATATATATATATATATACATTAAATACATATAATGACATAATCCTAAATAAATAAATAGAAAAACGCAGCGCAGCACTCCGAACGCACCCGCTCCGCATCCGATAATGGTGTCGACTCTGTCATGACTCTCCAAACCCAAGACCAAACCCAACACCAGTCCCTCTCTATCATTTTGTATAAAGAATGACAAGGATACACTGCCGTCGAATTCATATTCAGGCTCAGAGAATCATTTCAGAATCGACACCAATGTCAATATACGTAGTATCTTAAATACTACGAGTACGAGTATTGTAGTCTGTGCAATATGGTACCCACCCAATCTATGCATTATGATTGATAACCTGCAAGCTGTGGTGTGTTTTGTACATTGTACCTTTCATTGTATGAAGTGGATGGATGGATGCCACGTGCCCATTGTCACGTTGGTTCGTAATAAGAGCGTCTCCGAGGAATCGTACAAGACGGCCCAAAATTAAACCGCAAGCCACACCGTGCCGGATACCTATTTCCTAAACTTTGCATGCACGACGTGAAAGAACCGCTGGTAAGTTTAAATGATCCTGCTACTGCTGTTGAGTTTTAAAAAGATGTTTTTTAGGTGGTTTTTAAATGTGCCAATTGTTTTCAGGTCACGCAGAGGCGGAGGGAGATCATTCCAGCACCGTGTGGCGGCGAACTCGAAGGATCCACGAAACGCTCTTGTGTTATGCAATGGTATCTTAAAAATCGGCCTGCAAGCTCTTATCATATAGGCACTGTGATCTTGGGCCCAGGTAAGTTTCTTGTATAGGTAAATTGGCTTACCGGATTTCATGACACCAAATAGCAGATTACATAAATGAAACTTTCTACGTGCCTCCATTTTCAGTGAATTCGAGTTATTGAGAAATGAAGTCACGTGAGTTCGCGGGGGTATAACAAAGCAGAAGCGCGCGCAGACGTTCTGCACACGCTGAACTAATTTAGCCGTTCTAGCCAGAATACAAGGTCCGTATAATGTGTCACAGTAATTATATTTTGATAGTATCAGTGACTCACAAAGATTGATTCGAAGTTGCTCATGTAAATATGGTCTTATTTTATATAGTAATTTGAGTCTACAAAAGCAACTACGAACACACTCGGTAATATGGCTCTCGAAATTAAGCTGACTATCCATAATCAATCCCGAATTCCTACCTTCATCTACTCTATCTATAACTTCATTATTGACGATTATGTTTAATGGCACGTTTTAGAGTTGTTGGATTTTCCTTTTGGTACCCAATACCATGAATTTTGACTTTTTGGAGTTTAGGACAAGGCAATTAGACTCGCACCAAATAGCCAGTTTGTCAAGGTCTTCATTTATTTTGCCTACTGCGACATCTAAATTCTCAGGAGTACAGGAGATGTATAGTTGTAGGTCGTCTGCATAAATGTGGAATTTGCAATTAGTAATGATGTTAGTTAGGTCAGAGCTGTAGAGAATATACAGAGAAGGGCCTAATATAGAGCCCTGCGGTACTCCACGCTTGACAGGAAGTAATGACGAACATGATCTGTTGCCGGATTCATCGACAAGCTCCACAAATTGTTGTCTATGTGACAAGTAACTATTAAACCATTTTACAGTTGCTGTGTCTGCTCCATAAAAGGACAGTTTTGACAGCAGCAGGGTGGTATTTATGGCTTCGAATGCCCGTGAAAAATCCAGAAATACGAGGTTGGTGACACACCCTTGGTCCTGACCCGAAAGAATATTGTCAACCACATCGGCCAGTGCAGTTGCCGCACCATGACCTTTACGGAAACCAGACTGGTGGGAAGGAAGAATGTCATTGTCTTCGAGGTGCTGCATAAGTTGGTTACAGACTACCCGTTCCAACACCTTAGAAGGACAGGGCAGGAGGCAAATAGGTCGCAGGTCTTGGAGACTTGATGGCTGGTTGACCTTAGGGAGTGGCTTCACCACTGCAGTTTTCCAGGCGTTAGGAAATGTGCTTTCCGTTATTGACCTGTTGATGATGGAAGTAATTGCACTCAATGTATTTTTTTTTATGTTATAGGTGGCATATGAGCAGACGGTTCACCTGATGGTAAGTGATCACCGTCGCCCATAAACACTTGCAACACCAGGAGTATCACAAATGCGATGCCGGCCTTTAAGGAAGGAGTATGCTCTTTTTTTGAAGGTTTTTGGGTCGTATTGGTCCGGAAACACTGCTGGCGACAATATATTCCACAGTTTTGTCGTACGTGGTAAAAAATATCGACAAAAACGCACGGTTGTGGACAGCCACGCATCAAGATGATGGGGATGAAATTTTTGTCGCGATGTTAAGATGGCGAAATGCAGCAGCTGGAATTAATCCGAACAATTCCTCAGAACACTCCCCGTGATAAATGCGATAGAAGATGCAGAGCGAAGCTACATCCCTACGCAAAGCCAAAGGATCAAGCTGATCGGAAAGGTCCTGGCCGTCGACGATTCGAGCCGCTCGGCGTTGGATGCGATCCAAAAGGAGAAGCTGGTACTGGGGTGCCCCCGCCCAAAGATGAGAGCAGTACTCCATGTGAGGCCGGACCTGTGCCTTATAAAGTTGCAGTCGGTGGGCCGGTGTGAAGTACGTTCTCGATTTATTGAGCACACCAAGCTTCTTAGAGGCCAATTTGGCCTTGCCCTCTAAATGATCCCGAAACTGGACGTCGCTCGATATGTCAACGCCAAGAATTCCAATACTAGCTGAGGCAGTTAGAGGAGTGTTCTCAAAAAGAGGAGATACGATAAATGGTATTGATTTTGCGGTGAACGCGTATACTTGTGTCTTCGTAAGGTTAAATTGGACTAGTTTAAGTCGGCCCCAATTCGTTACTTAGTTTAACAAAGTTTCGACTTCAATCACAAGTTTGTTCCGGCACTCGATGACGTTTTCCCGTGACATGTTGGCGCGGCCAGTATATAGAGCATCACCCGTGCTGTCGTCTGCATAACAATGAATGTCATCAATTTGAAGCATATCATTGATATGATGAAGAAACAGCGTAGGTAATAGCACACAGCCTTGCGGAACACCAGCGTTTACGGATTTGGAGTCCGAGCATGCACCGTCGACTGCGACCTTGATGCTCCTGTCCGCAAGAAAGCTAGTGATCCAAACGCACAACTTTTCGGGAAGCCCATAAGAAGGAAGCTTCGAAAGAAGCGCTTTGTGCCAAACCCGATCGAAGGCCTTTGCAATATCCAGACCGACCGCCAATGCTTCCCCCTTGGTCTCGATCGCCTTTGCCCAACGATGAGTCAGGTATAGTAGTAGATCACCAGCCGAGCGACTCTGACGGAAACCGTACTGGTGGTCACTGATCAGCTGGTGATCCTCTAGGTACCGCAGGAGCTGGAAATTTATAATGGACTCCATTATCTTGGAGAGCAAGGAGGTGATGTATGAGGAAGAGTCAATAACAGCATATCCAATGAAATGCCATCGCAGCCCTGTGCATTGGATCGAAGCCCCTTGATAATTTTCATTATTGAGTCTTCATCAACAGGTCTTAATGACAACGTAGCTGCTGATTTTCTATGGTATTCAAAGTATGTCAACTGAGACACTGCCACCACATCCTTACCAGGGGTATTGAGGAAGTGCACATTGATAGTGTCTGGATTGTCAAAAAACGAGGGAAGTTCAGATGACAATTTCTCATTGGTCAACACCGTGTCTTTTAAATTGTGCCATATCTTTTTTGGGTTCTTAATATGGATGTTAATGTGCCTGTCAAAGTAACTTTTCTTTTCCCTGTTAATAGCCTCAACAACCAGGTGCTTCATGGTCAGATAACTGTCCTGTGTGCATTGGTTTTAGCAGCCTTATAAGTTAGCAGACATTTGTCTCTGATAGACATCATTGATTTGACAGTTTTTGACAGATCCATGGATGAGGGGGATGCCTGAACCTTTGTCTCCTGATCGGAGCATGCAGATCGAACAAGCCATTCAAGCAAAGCGTGAATTTATCCACCAAGGTGTTAACACTATTTACGTTTTCAAAACAACTCCAGTCAACGGCTTCAAGAACACTTTCCCACTGGTCCCCAAGGATGTCTTTTAGAGGTCGGTACTGTACCCAACGTGGCTGCGATTTTTCTTTTTTTATCTTGAACTCTGCTGACACCATGGCATGGTGTCCGAGATCAGGGCAATGCTTCACTACGATTTTTATAGTATGTATGTCAGTGCAGATCACGTCGATCAATGTGCTGCTGTGGTCAGTGAAGTGTGTAGGCTCCGATACCACCTGCTTTAGGTTTATGGTTTCCATGAATTGGACTAATGACCGCGGGTTACTGCTGCCACCAGCAAGTAAGTCGATATTAAAATCTCCCAGCAGTATTAGCCCATCATGTTTAGTAAAAGAAGTGATGGTATCAGTAATAGCGTCGAAACACTTCAACATCCAACCATGGTGGACGGTATGCAGTCCCTATTATGATGTTCTGGTTGTGAATTTGGACATTCATCCACTTTCGTTCCACCATTGATGTAACAGGATGAGGGCAGGTACGTGCATTTATGCCCTTACGCACATAAAATCCCACTCCACCACCACGACCACCACGTATGTGGTCTGGGCGGGGGATGTGTCGAAGGCGATGGCTAGACAACTTAGGTGCTTTGTTTTCCTCACCCTTCCTTAACCAAGTCTCATTAATTGCCATGATATCAGGGTCCAACTCCTCCATTGCCACCATAAACTCCTCGTGTCCCGTAGCGAGCGACCCAGCATTAAAAATTCCAACCTTGAGATTTTTATTCTTAATCATTTGCCAAAATCACTGATTAATATACATGCAATAGCCACAAACATACTTTGAAAATTTCAACACAATATATCAATTATACTTTTGATTTTGGAATATGAATAATTGTAAAATTTGTAAATATAATGGAACATATTTTGGTACATTAATAATAAAATTGTTATGTGTAGTATATAGATAGTATTAGATAGAATATTGTTATGTTTATGTAAATAAATAATATGCGCAAGATATTCCATTAATGCACTGATTGATATTATTTTATTTGATAATAATAATTTTGTCCAGCAATAGCGCCAGTTAAGGTTGCGGCTTTCCGTGCGAACTTTATTGAAGAGGAAGCTGTTTTGGCGAGTCAGTCGCTCGTTGACGAAGATGCGACTTCCTTCCGACGATTTGAAGTCCCGGCGGATGCGCGCGGCGCGCAGTAGCTCGTCGCGCGTGTGTCGGCGCGCCAGGCGCACCACGTCGCGCTCCTCCAGCGTCGCACCCAGGCGGGTGGCCAACGTCAGCACCGTATGCATCGTGTTCTCCTCCTTCTCCTCTGAACCTGGCCGATATCAATATCGGCCTGCAAAGCATCCTGGTCTCTATCGTTGAGTTCGATTCTCAACGCCGCCATGGTGCGCTCCAGCTCTATTACCCGCCCGCTCCCGTCCTCAGGTTCCCGATTCTCAAACTCCTGCAGCTTCTTCTCCATCCCGTCCAATCTCTGATCCATGACGTTCAGCCGTTCGGTCGTGGCGGTGAAAGTCTCTCGCAGCAACGTTAGCTCACTCCGGAACTCCCTCATCTCAGCCATACACTCGACAAACATCCTGCGGAACTCGAGCATTTCAGCACCATCTGGTGACGGGAGTGCGGCTGCTACCACTCCTGAGCTGCTGCCGGATGCTATAGATGCTATAGTGGATTTAGCAAGTGGGGTATCACATATCCCTTTTACTGGTGTTTGGCTATTATCGCCCTTCCGTGCACCCAGCTTGCAGGTTGGGCAAGCCCAGTCTTTTGATATCTGAGCCTTATCCGACATGGCCAAGCAAGCTTTGTGGTATTTCAAAGGACATAGGCTACAAGTAGCGACACCTATCGTCGTCGTCGGCAGAAACTTTCCACACCCAGTACACTTATTAATGTCTAATGGTTCTAATGTATGCTTATCCGAGCAAATTGTTTAAGCAGGTATACGATGTTGTTTTTTTTCACACCTCTGCCGCCAGATGACGCTATTCTTTGTGCAATAAAAGCTATTCTATCGCCCGTCGTTTATTCAATTTTTATTCACCCTCCACTCAAAAATAATATTCCCGAAATCCAGAAAAATGCAAGATTAAAGCAATACGGGACCTGGAATGGCCGACTATTTGACACCACACTTGTCCGATCCACCAGCACTTTAAACAAAAACGAATGAGAAAACAATGACTGTCAAAATGTTTTCTATAGATATTATGAAAATTTATTGTTGTACCAAAGCATAACTGTCACCAACACTGTCACTCAATTATTACACCTTGAAAATGTTTTTTATTTACTTTTGGTTTAACAATTTTTAAATAAAATGTTTATACGGAGATAATGTTTACTTGATAACGCCCTCTAGCGGTCGGACAGTTGCAAATTGTCGACTCGTCTTACTTCGTTGTGATTGTGCGCTCCCGGTCACTTGATTGATTTTTATCTAACACGCTTTGGACTTTGGAACACGATTATCGGTTTTGTCAATTAGTATGGATGAACTGAAATCACGTTTTCTTCGAAGAGTGGACAAGTTTTTGTGATTTGTGGTCGCTCCGTTTTATATAGAAGAGAATTTACTATTACGAACAGACTGTTTGAAAAAACCCCAACCCATGCGGGGATTTTTGGATTTACTCTAACTACAGAATGACACAAGGGAGCACCCTTGCACCTTGTGGAGTACTTCCATAATACCTGAACCCTCTATGTAGTCGAACTAACTAAATTAATTCCATTATTTTATTAATGTTCGTTCGTTATAGTTATGTATTAACTTGTACTTATTTAACCAAAAATAACTAAAGATGGGATGGAATTTGATGCGCTTTGTCACATATGATCATGACTATAATACCTTTCAAACAAATGTAGTTTAAGCCGTGGCGGACGTGGGTGCAGCGTCCATACATTTTTTCCCAATGTCCTTTTAAATATAATTAATATTACGATAAATAATTGTTTCACTTACGACATAAAAAGGCCCTTGAAAGCAATATTCGTACCGGTTCCAACCAATGTGCCGATACCACCTATTGAAAGAGAAAAAAACTTATATCTTCCATCTATTTTGTTTAGGCGTACTTACATAACTTTTACTATAAGTATATTGGTAGATACTTCATAGCACATCAATATGCCACACAACGCAGCACAGATTATGATCGTCATCGTATTAACTTCAGCATTATTTGTATGAAATTTTTTACTACAAGGCACACTTATCTGAATCGTAACCTAATCACCTCGCCTCAGAATAAGCTCCCGAACGATTTTAAGAAAGTTAGTACACTTAATATATCATAGAGGAATTTAAACGCATGCTTGGAACAGTATCATCAGTTCCATCTTATTTAAAAGAAGAATGGATTAAAATGTTCGTAATCTGCGGGGTAAGAGAATTGAAGCAAATATGAGCATATATTGTTTTAATCTTTCATGGTCAATAACATTTACTTCACACTGGATGGAGTTCCATAACCCACAGATTATCTCGACAGAATGCCACTACATACCAAGATTGGTCAGGGAAGCGATTGAAATAACAAAACACAAAAAAATCAGTCGGGAAGACGGGTTCAAATGGTGGATTATCTGGAATCCTGTGGTTTAAAAAAATAAAAACCGGAATAATCAAAAAAATGTCGTGTCGCGATCCGATACTGTGAGTGTTTGTGTCAAGAACAGTTTCGAGTGAATAGTGAGAATGTGAAAAAAACAAGATACATGGTAACAATCCCGTAATTAACATAAATTACTAAAATAATAATAATAAAATAATAAATATTTACGACACTCACACCAATTAGCCTAGCCCCAAAGTAAGCACTGTAAGGCTTGTGTTATGGGATGCTAGGGTAACGGATAGAATACATATACAGTACATATATAAGTTTATTTATATAGAAATACATATTAAACATCCATGACTGGAGTACATATGCTCCAGAATCAAAACCTATCTCGTGTATCATAATGTCTAAATTGAATATCGTCGGCAATATATGAAATGTTTAAGGTCACAGCTCATTTGAGTCAACCAGCACCGCCTCGTCGCGCAACATTCACTCGTGGTAGACGAGCAAACGCATTATCAACCAGCTAAAGTCTGGTGGGCCACGGGTGGATGCTTCGTTGTCAACCAGTAAACGTCAGGTGGTCAACGGTTGAACGCCGAGCCGCCGCGTAAAGTATAGTGTGTTAGAAATAGTCATCAGATTTACACGTGTGTTATCACAATATTTAATTTTACAACCCATGATTCGGTCTAATAGCTGTCGCGCTTGATGAAGAAGAAAGTGTAATACATTGTTAACTCGCAGGCAGCACGCGGTCTACTCAGAAGCAGCGTGTTTACAACCAGGGGTCAGGAGGAGCAACGGTTCGTCACCGAGTTGTTCACCCGCGCGCGGACCGCTTGAATATCAACCGCACGAGTTATGGCAGTGCAGGTTAAGAGCCGGGTGGGTCTAATGAGCTGTGAACTTTAAACGTGTATATATAATACGCTGCTAAAATTATCGCGATTGGAACACCGTGTATAAAAAAAAAGGTTGTTTGTTTGATTAAATTAAATCATAAAATATGAAGTAAAATTTCTTACCAATTGTGGCAGAGAAAGTGGCAGCACAGAAATAAGACGTCGTTATGTCACTTGCAACCCTTTCACCGGCCTCATTGTATTCGAATACTTTCAATAGATTTTGCTGAAAATTTAGGATTATTTTTTTCAAGATAATGAATAAAGCTGCGTATTCATTAGGCAACATTGGTTTATTAACACTGTTTATAAACAGTGTTATAAACGACATCGATTATATTTCTTTATTTAAATATTCTAAACAAAAAAAAAACGACTGTGCTTATGACCACACGACTGAAGTGAAACTTCTTTCATATTCTAGCTGTAAGAGAAAGAGAGAAAGAAAATGTGCGCGCGCGCTGCCCTCTCTTGCTCCTACACTGTGATACAGACAATAGGCCTGCACTGTGCTTAGATATACGGAATGTATTTGGCTATGAGAGGAAGAGAGAAAGAAAATGTGCACGCGCACTGCTCTCTCTTGCTCCTACACTGATACAGACAATAGGCCTGCACTGTGCTTAGATATACGGAATGTATTTGACTATGAGAGGAAGAGAGAAAGAAAATGTGCACGCGCACTGCTTTCTCTTGCTTATATCCCCCACTCAACTCACGTTCGCCTCGCCCGATCACACTTTTCGTAACGCTTACGTTCGCCAGCTTACTCCCCAAGGCAAGCGTGCGTAAATAAGTTTCACTTCAAAAAGAATAAATATAACGTTTTATTATAATTGGAGGCATAGAACAATTGTAAATAGTCTGAAACATTTTTACCAACCACCGTAAATGACTACGAAATAATGATCATTCGTTATTTCGTAGTAATTTTTTACTTTGTGGTCTTCGATGCGAGTTGTTTGATTTTTGTATGGATGGATGGATGGATTATTTTACCCAAATCGCCTATTCAGAGGGCCTAAGTTCAAATTCCGGTGAGGCAAATGTTTGTATGATGGATACGATTTTACCAATATTATATCATGATAAATAACATTAAATTCATAAAGTTATAATCTGTAAGACCTGTGTTATGACTATCTCACTGTACCAGGGATTGACCTCTTTCATTGCATCTAAAAAAAACTTGTCTGCGGGCTATTTTGTTCATCAAAACTTTTGTATGCGGTTTCTAAGATTAAAAAAGGGAATATATTTTTGTTTAAGTTATTAGTTACGTTATATATAATTACTTAATCATATATAAATTAACTTATAGTTTGAACATTTAAAGCATTTATTTGCATTGGATAATAAAACATAAATCGATTGTGTAGGATATAGCTGTCAACTTCTATTTCCAGTACTATTTGTGTTTGTTTATTCCGAGTGACTAACTACATACAGTTTTCACTTTTGAATTGAATTTGTGTTTTCAGTGGTCTATTATGGCAGAATAGTTCTAATATTGAGTTGAGTAATCCTCCGTTAATAACTGTTTTTTGGGAAAGAGAGAATTGGACTCAACATTGTCCTTTAGTGATTCTGTGACAGAGATATTTGGACTCTTAGTTTATTGCAATTATTTTTGTTTACAATGGCATCTGTTGTTACACAAGAAAATGCTGGCAGTTTGTATGTAAAATGTCGATTTGGATAAATCTGTTATCAATAAATAGATATGTATCATTATTAAAATATATCGTCTTATTTATTTTTGATTACTAAACCTTAAATAATATTGTATCCATTGTTGGGTTGACAGAGCATATAAATAGCATTCATATAACCGCACATCAACAACGCCACATTTATTGAATCTGAGATGTTTGGAATAAATAGAGATAGGTAGCAGCTCACCAACGCAACAGTTTACGAATATACGCTGTCCGCTGATAGGATTTTACGAAGTGCATTCAATTTTTGTTTCACTCCCAGTCCAAAATAGAAGACAAAAGGTCACAACCTAAATAAATACAGTTTAAAGTAGTATACCTAGTAATAATTAAGTATGGTATAAACATCGAAATTTAATCGAATCTAAATATGACGGAACCTTAAAATGCTTACGTAATTTAATATTTTCTTTAAACCACCACTTAAGTTTCTAATGATATTTTGCCTACGCAATATACACCTGATTCCCTATTGTTTAACACTTATTCCAATTAGACGCTATGAAAAAAAAACTAGCCCAACTCCCATAGTAAAATGACCATTCTCCTTTGTGACACATTGTTTCAGATACATGTTGCCGTATTCTGCAATCTAAATGGAGAGCAAAACAAAATGAAAGACGTTAGTTTATTTACAAAAGTTGACAGTTGTGGACGTGTGTTGCGGGAGGTTTATAGTTAATTTTAAGCATGGACGTAGTGTGGTCTATGTCCTTGTTTTGATGTTCATACTTCTGGTATGATCCTGCTGTTAATTCTTTTGATACTTTGAAAGTATACCACATTGAGATATGAGTCACCTATTGCAAGAAATCTTAAAGTAATAGCTAATCTTCGCTGGAGCTAAATAGGATTCCAAAATTTCGTCCCCTGTCTTATTATTGGTGACCCTATCAATCTCAATAATATTTCAAAATCAGTTTCACATATTTTAGTAAAATCATGAAAAGACCCATCAAGTCCGGAGGTCAACAAATACATAACTTCTATTTAAAATGTAGTTTCGATCCCACCACCTTTTCCTTTTTTTTCGTGTAGTACTCCCATAAATTACTACGTAAGTAGCACAGAGCAGTACTACCTCCTCGGGCAATATCCTAGCAACAACTGACTTGTGTGGATGGCAAAGTTTTATACCCGCCATACACACTACGATAAATCGTTACGATTAGACTGTACAGTCCGAACGGTACCGATAAATCGTAGCGTGTATGTTATAAAACTGCACAGTTTCCTATACTAAACGAAATCGTATAAACTGTACCGTTCGAACTGTACAGTCTGATCGTAACGATTTCTCGTAGTGTGTATGGCTACCATTAGAAACAGTGTTTACATATTTTTTTTAAGTATGTAACTGCTTGATGTTTAAATGTAAAGAAAATATAGAGATAAGAAAAACTAGAAAATATCCACGGGGACCAGGCAGCAGATGGGACTCGAATCCGCACCCTTCGCTATCCGGGCGAATGCACTAACCAATTATACCGTGATGGCCGAAATTCTAGCCATTCTTGAGCTGCCAGGCAGCGCCATCTCTTCGCAATGTAGGTAACCCACAACAGTGTTTACGGTAAACTTGTTTATAAACAAGGTAATGAACTTCATAAACAGTTTATAAACAAATATTGCCTAATGAATAGGCGGCATTACTTATCTTTTGAATGGTTGATTATAAACTTGATTTCGTCAATATTTTAATAGTAGGATAAAAGTACTGTTTAGATATGGGGGTCTCTGCACGGCTGACCCACCTTAACACTGAACATTTACACCGGTGTTATTGTGTGGTAATTTGCTGCGCCTCATTATACAATAAAAATATAAAAGATGGCTGTAGTAGCATGAGCGAAGCGAAGCAAACTATGTATATATTTCAAGTGCGACCCTCGTTTAAACATTTAAATATTCAACCATGATCATCTTACCCCTTCAAACACTCTTAGGATTGCAAAGTTGATTGGGACCATCATGGTGGTAGCGGCCGTGTTAGTAATCCACATTGAAACGAAGGTTGTGACACAACACATGGCAAACAAAAGCCTGGAAAAAAGAAAAATCAGGGCAGAAGAACTGAACTTTTAAAAGAAAAAAAAGGAACGTAACGAAAAAAGCATCCAAATGGAGAACCTACTACGTTTTGAAGACGGTTAAAAAGCGCTCAAAATCATTATGTGTGGTCGATACTAAGGGATAAATTGGCGTAAATGTATGCATGATGATAGTTTGATAGCTGCGATGTGGAAAGATTTCCTTAACGAACTCAAAAAATAACTATTAATTCTAAAACTCCTTCGTATTCACAACATCCACTAAAGGTGTTTTTAATATCGTGAGGATTTCAACCAAGCACGCAGAAATGCCTCGCACGCGAAAAAATTCACAAAGCGTGGGACACGCTAGCCGATTTAGTTTTCTACGGGCTGCTATGCATTGTGTACAATTGTCGGCAAATTTAGAAAACTTTTGACTGACATTCTCGCTCCGACCAAGGACCGTGCGCCACGTCGCACCGCCGCCTCCTTGCTCCGTGCGCCCCGCCGCACAGCTGCCTGCTCCGAGTCGACTCGACGCGCCTGCGCTCATTCGTGAGACCCAAGATTGGACCAGTGGATACCTAGCGGTGTTAACGAAACTGGTCGGCGTAGCCCCGGTACGTCTCGAGCTCTCCTGAGCTCGGAAACCGGAAGACCCGATCCCATTTGCACTTGGGCCTTCCCAAGGGTGACGGTTGTTCCCATATTCGCTAGGAATATCGGAACACATCTCTTACAGCTTCAACCGACCCCCTGCCGCGGGCAGGGGAGTCCATCGGTGTCGCATAGGGTGTTAGGACCTGTGGCTTCACGCCACAGTCAGGGCACACCTACACACTACAATCTACACAACCTACACATACCTACACACAAACTCATCACAATGGACATCACACAACAAGTACTGTCCCTCTTCTCCGCCCTCGGCCTCACCCTGGATGAGGCCGCCATCAGGGAGCTCATCGCGAGAGCGCGCCCCATGCGCGACTCGCCCGCCAGCCCCTCCCCCGAACCCCCCCGCCCCGACACCCCCTGCCTCCCCGGGCCCTCGAGCGCGGGCAAGCGCCCCGCCTCGAGCCCGGTCTCGACCTGCGACTCTGACTCGACCATTGTGTCGGCGTCAGACGACTCCGTGTTCACCACTGTGGTGAGCAAGAAGAAGCGGCGCTCCAAGCGCCGCGCAGACACCGCGTCTCCAACGGCGCCTTCTCTCTCTGTCCCTCTCAGCCCTCTCACCCCTCTCGCGGTCGCCCAACCGACCACACAAACCCACACAACATCACACAACACTACAAAACCACACAATAGGTGCACCGCCGCACCTATCAAGGCAAAGCCGCCGCCGCCCGTCTTCCTGCGCGATAAGGCGCAATGGGCAAAGGTCGCGGACCTTTGCAAAGCTCAGAACATAAATTACACACAGGCGTCGAACACTGGTCACGCCATTAAAATCACCACACCCACAATCGACACATTTAGGAGCCTCACAAGGCTACTAACCACTCACACAATCCCGTACCACACATACGCCCTCCCCGAGGAGCGCAAAGTCCGCGCGGTACTCAGAGGAGTCCCCTTCGAGCTCTCCAACGAGCTCATTCTAAACGACCTAACCGATCAAGGCTTCCCAGCCGAGGCAGTGCACAAGTTGCACAGCCGGACTGGGAAGCAATACCCGTTGGCTCTTGTCATTTTGACCTCGGTCCCGGCAGCTAGGGACATTTTCAAAGGTCCCATTACAGTCTGTGGCCTCGACAATATCAAAGTCGAGGCCCCACACCGGCGAGGCACCCCTGGGCAATGCCACAGGTGCCAATTATATGGCCACGCAGCAGCCAACTGCTCGGCGGCCCCGAGGTGCGTCAAGTGCCTCGTACCCCACCTCACCAAGGAGTGCACCCGCACTCGTGACGCACCCGGGGCACCCGCATGCGTGCTCTGTGGCCAAGAAGGCCACCCGGCCAATTACAGGGGTTGCCCGCGGGCCCCACGCCCCAGGCCCAACACTCACACTCACACACACACAAAGCCAACCACGGCGACAAAAATACACCCACCACCACCCAATAACACCACCACAAACTTCCCGGGGCTACCCAAGGCGGCCGCCCCTCGCAGCCCGGCGCCCCCGACAGCCTGGGGACCAGCCAGGGCCCGCCCAAAACCACACCCACCACAACACACCACACCAACAACACAAGCTAAGCCAGCCCAAGACGTCTCTCTGGCCGAGGACATGGCGCTTATTCGCTCCTCGCTCAAGAGGGTGAATATCGCCGAGATCCACACTCTCGCCGCGAAGCTCCGGCTAGCAAAGACACCTCTTGAAAAGGCTATAGCTATAGCCGAACACCCCGAACTCGTTGCCGCGTTCGACTAAATTTTCAATCATTATAACACTGGAAAATAACCAGACTCCGAACACAAACAAAAACACTATACACAAAACACGCGGTGATAACTCAAACAAACACCACTGTTGTTTAAATTATGACCGCGCAAAACACTAACATAACAATCACTCAACTAAACCCCGGGCGTACCAAGCCGAAAGGCGCTTCGCTTGTGTCATTTAATACGCGCAGCTTAAAGTCCAACCTTAACGAAATTAAATTATTTTTGCAAGATAGGGAACCCGACTTTCTGCTCCTTCAGGAGACTTGGCTCAAACCAACTCAAATGAAGGGGCTGTCGATCCCTAAGTATAAATTAATCCGGAACGACGGTGCCAACGCGCGCGGCGGCACCGCAATTTACTATAGACGCAATTTACACTGCACACCTATACTCACTCCCGCGCTCACAAACATGGAAGCCACCATCTGTAGGCTGGCGATGACAGGACACCAGTCCTTAATCATCGCCTCAGTCTACATTAGATCAGGTACACACCCTCACCGCGCAGACTTCGAAACACTCACTTCACTAGGTACATCAGTCATAATGTTCGGTGACTTTAACTCCAAACACACCGACTGGACATGCGAGACCACCACCACCTCTGGCCGCAGATTACTACACATCACCGAGGAGCTTGGCTATGATGTCATATGTCCCTACGCGCCCACCCACTACCCAGACAATGTACAAAACCGACCCGACGTCCTGGACTTCGCGATCCTTAAAAACGTGTCGCTTCGCCTCAGCTCGATCGAAACACTCGACGACCTGGGGTCAGATCACAGACCGGTGTCTCTAGTTCTAGGTCCCCAAGACCCACTAGACGCCCCCGCGCCCCCTAAGAGGCTATTCACCAACTGGGACGGATACCGCTCCGCTCTCGAGACCGCTTTAGACTCCCCCGAGTCCCCGTTCCCTAACTCACCGGACAGTCTCGACAGCACTGACAAGATTGACGAAACTATAGAGTCTTTAACTTTACTGGTGACCGAGAAGGCGAAGGAGAACTCGAGATCGACATCCGGAACCTAATCCAAGCCAAAAACGCCGCTCTCCGGAGAGCCAAATTATACCCCACCCCCGAGTATAGGGCTACAGCTAATCGCCTTCAGCGACAAGTTAGGTCCCAATTAGCCGCTCTGAGACACTCCCGTTGGGAGGAACTCATGGCGGACATTACCCCATCCCATCTTGCGTACTATAGAATCGCGAAAGCGCTCCGTAGCGACGTCACCACTCACACCCCCCCGCTCACTCGCCCCGACGGCACCGTCGCCTTCGAAGACGACGAAAAATCTGAGTGTTTTGCAGACAGCATAGCGGCGCAATGCACGCCTAGTACGCAGGAAACTAACCCGCAACATATTCGCGGAGTGGAGGAGGAGGTCCGCCGGCGGGCCGCCCTTCCACTCATTGACAACCCCCTAGACCCCGTCACGACAGACGAACTCAGACAGACCATTAGAAACTTTAAGCAACGCAAGGCCCCGGGCGCCGACGGCATCTCTAACAAGGCGCTCAAGCATTTTCCCATCCAAATGCTAACCTTGCTTGCAATTCTCTTTAACGCATGTTTTGATCTGTGCTACTTCCCAGCCGCCTGGAAAGAAGCAATAGTGATAGGCATCCCCAAACCCGGAAAACCCGCGCACCTCCCCAGTAGCCATCGCCCTATTAGCCTCCTCAAGGCAATGGCGAAACTTTTCGAAAAAACCATACTGACCAGACTAAGAGAGCACCTCCTATCACCATCCGATCCTATTATCATTGACCACCAATTCGGCTTCAGAGCCAAACACTCCTGCCCCCAACAGATCCATCGCATAGTGGAGCACGCCCTAAGCGGCTTCCAACTTAATAAATATAAAACTATTGCAGTCTTCTTCGACGTCGCCAAAGCCTTCGACAAGGTTTGGCACGACGGATTAATCTTTAAATTATATCAATTAGAGTTACCTGACCGCCTAGTTAGGTTAGTAGCCTCTTTTCTATCAAACCGCACCTTCCGCTATAGATACGAAGGTTCTCTATCAACGCCCCGCCCACTACGAGCCGGTGTACCGCAGGGGTCCGCTCTCTCCCCCCTGCTATACACAGCGTACACCAATGACATCCCTCAGACCAAGGGTGTCGAGCTCGCTCTCTTCGCGGACGACACGGCCCTCTACTCTAGGGGAGCCAGTACCAATCAAATCATAGCCAAGCTCCAACCGGCAATCACAACACTTGGGAATTGGTTCCGCGATTGGAGAATCGACGTAAATCCGGACAAAAGTTCGGCCATTTGCTTCGATCCCAAGCGCCGCACCAAAACCATACAACACGGTGCGCGGTCTCTGCGGATGCAAGGCATAGCAATACCGTGGCACCGCACAGTCAAATACCTAGGGATCACACTAGACAAAAAACTCACCTTCCGTGCACACATCACACGCGTAGTCGCGAACGCGCGCTTTTATATGAGCCGCCTCCACCCGATGCTCGGTAAATACAGCAAAATGTCACTTCGTAACAAGCGAACGCTTTACAAAGTTTGCATACGCCCGGTCCTCACTTACGCGTCACCAGTGTTCGCACACGCGGACGAAGCGATTTTGAACAAACTTCAAGTGCTTCAAAATCGCTTCTGCCGCATAGCCACAGGGGCCCCGTGGTACGTCCGCAACGCGGACCTCCACAGGGACCTTCAACTAGACACAATTCAAACACACCTCACAGAGTGCTCGGAACGGTTCTTCAAAGCTGCAGAAGAGCACTCTAACACACTCATTAGATCGGCGTCGGGATACGCTCCACACACTCCATCTCGATTCAGGCCCCGCAGGCCCAAACACGCACTCACAGTCACACACAATAAACTCACGCGCGATCTCGCGGCCCTCTTGGCCGCTGAGGATCCAACACCCGCGATGAGTCCCCCCCGCCCCCCCGACACAGAGAGGTTCGATTCCTCTCAGTCCCCTCCCGTTTCAAGTGCACATCTGAGTGCACTTGTCCTCTAAGCGCATTTTGCGTTATTTTAAACTATGCACTAGTTTAAACTAACGCAGCGCCGCATCATCCCCCTCTCGGGGGGTGACCGCTTCAGATGAAGCTTGTAAGGCCCTTCTGGCCATAAGCATGAATAAAGGGTGTTTTTTAGTCAGTAGGAGTCTGACATAACCCTACAGCCGGCTGTAGGGTATCCATGAGGATTTCTCACCCTCTCCCCCGCCTGGGAGGAAACAAAAAAAAAAAAAAAAAGAAAACTTTTGATCATATCATTACAAATTACGGAATAAGAAGACAAGAACACAGAGTAGTATAGCCTGTTACTTAAAAAGAGGATTCTTGTTGGAAAATTGGTTGCCATTGTCCAGCCACTGGCAAAAGCCCCAGCTTCTTGCCCCACGTCCTACGTGCGTATCCCGCGCATTATAATAAATATTTGTATGAAAAGAACACTAGTGGGTGTCACGCATACGGGCCAAACCTGCGTGCATGATAAAATGCGCACGATATTAAAAACATCCTAAGTCTCAGCTGAATCTGCAGTCGTTAGCTAATCCTGCATTGTTTTTGTGGGTCATGTCCCTTTTCCTTCTAAACCGTCCACCAGCCCCGTGCCCCAATAGTGAGAAGAATTACTAGTCTGATGACGAAGTTCCTAAAACGATGTTAATTGATGAAATTTGTTCACTCACTTGATATGTGAATAACCAATCATCCGAATTGTGAAGAAGGCTAGTCGCTTATGTAAACCAGATTGTTCTATGGAATAAGCTAATATTAAACTTCCAACGAACATTATTATAGTGTCCTGAAATAGGAAAAAAAATCACTTTAGCGGTTTGTATATATGTGACTAGATATTTTATATCAATCAGATAGTGGACACATACATTTTATGATTGATTTATGTGTCGGAAAAGTACACTTTCAGTACTCTAGTTTTCAATTATTACTTATTTTAAAATATAATTATGGTAATTTGTAAAGTAGGCTCATAAGGTTTTTTTTTCAACAGATTGTTAACTCTATATTTAGGTACCTAAATACTCTTTCTACAGTTAATAAGGACTAAATTCCGCCGTCGACTTTATCCTCTTTAGTTTCTTGTAGTTTATGGTGTTTTTATAAAATAGGCTCAAAACACGTTTATTTTAATTTTTCAATAGATTGTTGATATAGTAATCTTAGTCTTTTGATAGTTAATATAGACTAGCTTCCGCCCGCGATTTTGTCCACTTTAGTTTCTTCTTGTTGTTATTTTTTTGTAAGAATCTTCCATATTAATGTTTTAGAAAACTCAAGAAAACATGTATTAAATCGGTAAATCGCTTTCAAGATATAGGGTGACCAAGGGAAACGGGGATTCATCCTTCCTACTAATATTAAAATGTGAAAGTTTGTTAGTTACTCAATCACGCAAAACTACTGAACGGACTTGCATGAAAGGAGATTGAATGCTCAGCTTCCATACATGTTTGGCCTAAAGACCAATAATGATGAAAAAATTGTTTCCAAGATTCGAAATTATATGGCTCAAAATCACCAAGGTGGAAAATACTGAATTCTGTTTTATGATGCTATAGAGTAGAAGCTAAATATATTGATAATTACTCTAAATCATAACTAAACTTATGTTAAACTATATTGACCTTGGCAGAGCATAGAATTAAATACTTTTCTTGAAATTTCAATTTTTAAGTGTGCTATCACTAAAATTAATCATTCGGGGAACGGTATTCGGAAGTTTATAATTAAATAAATATATATATATATATATTTCATTTTTACCCTTAACGATAACGGAGATACGTCGCCAATAGTACGAACTTAAAAAACTTTGACAAAATTTGGAATTAAAACGTTTTTAAGGACAATGTCGCTGTAAATTAAGCTATATGACTATTTCATGTTCTTAAATTTACAAAATAAGTGAATATCGCTCACTTGCATATAAATAAATCTGCGGTAGCTATAGGGATTCAGCCTGTTTCCAATATTATCAGACTTTATTCCTAAATAACTTATGTTATAATGGCATTTCTTTGATTTTAGAGGTGTTCCCCGAAATGATGAGGGCATTCATCAAATGACGATATGCAGACAATTAGGGTTTAATTCAAAGTTAAATTGAATAATAAGCCAAATTATAGGAAGTAATTGTTATTTATTTATTTGCTATAAGATTTATTCTTAACAAGAACTTAATTCTAACTCAATTAAATCACTTTTTTAGTCTCATAATTGAAGACACAGCCAAGTAAAACTCTTGACGTCAGTGCTTTAACTGAACATGAAAGGAGGCGTTTCTGCTTCTTAATCCCGTTTTTCTTTACGAAATCTCTCTTGGCTGGACACACCCTACTGACATCATCTCTTTGGAAGAACTCTTTGACTTTTTCGCGAACTTCTTTATTCAAAAGAACTTCATGAATTTTGGCGTCCGATTTGAGAATACTACTGGTTTTCTCTTTTGGCAAAAAACAATTAACCTTATGAAGCAATTTGTATTGCCTTACCATAATCCCGCTAACACATTTTTGAAAAACTACCCTGTCTTTGGATTTTTTTCTCAAATAAAAGATTTCACTTCGTTAAATAAAAGATTCTTGCGCACTTCAGGAGGTACGTCAACGTTTTCTAACAATGCGTTAACTTTGCTATTGGGAGTTGTAGGGTTCTGAGACTTCACTTCTTTATGTAAGCTGTACTGTTTTTCTTTATTTGCTTATTCGAACGGTTTTTTTCAGCTTTGTGAGACTCCATATTGCTGTAAAAATAAAGTTAGTATACCTATTGATAACTTTGTAAGCACGACATACACAAAATTGACAGTTAGTAATAGAAAGTACCAATTAGTAACTAAATAGTCATTTGGGGAACAACAACATCATTTAGAGAACGGTCCATCAAATCGGAGAACGTTCCCCAAATGACCGTTCACCAAATGATATTTTCAAATAACCGCGTCTTTTTTAAACGGCAGCCATATTTGACAGCAATTCTTGCTTCCTTAATGTAAAATATTTGATTATAACATTTGTTATACAACACTATAAAAGCTATTATTGCATAATTTTGATTGGAAAACGTGTTCCCCAATTGACGACCTATTGATGTACGCTCTGTAAATAATGAATTGAAAGCCACTTACCACTTATTTTAATTTCATTTGGCGAACTACTTTCTTCACAGCCACTTTGTTTACAACTCTCTCTACAGCTGTTCCATAGACTAAAGAGGGATGCGTTCGAAATTTTTTGTTTCGCGTAATCAAAGCTGCGTTCACTAACATGATGCTTATATTGTCGGACATTATATTTAGACTTAGATTTTTTAAATTCGTTTTTCTTCTTTAATAATGCTTTCAATAATGTAATATTAGATACAATTGAAGGTGAATGGGTATTAATAACCGTTAAAATGTTTTATTTTATGACTATTTCTGGTGTTAGCTTTTAAGAATTGCTACTTAGGACGCGTTCTCCAAATGATTTTTTGTACTTATTTGTCCATATAAAATGTAATATATAAGACTTTTTAATTATTTTGTGTGATGTGTGGTTAAAGTAAACACAGTTAAGTGTTTACCAATGCTAAAATGTTAAAAAAATACAGAATTTAGGCATTTATTTGCTGCCGAAGTGGATTTACCACCTTGGTGATTTTGAGCCATATATAAATTACTGTGGAAACGAATATTATTGACGGACACCCCTGAGAACTTCTATAAACCATATACACTGAATATATTAAAATAATAAAAAACAAATAAGTTATATAGTAAACTAGAGAAATCAAGCCAAGTACCGGAATTATGGATTACATTCAGGTATATAGAGCATGTAGATTAACAAATAGTTGCCTGTTTTTAAAGTTAATGCATAAGAGTAACTTATAAAATCAGGTGTCATCTATGCATTTCCGGTTATAATAAGGAAGGTACTCTGTGACAGAAACTGTGTGATGATTATGAATGAGCCTCAGGTTAGAGAGAATTTTTAAACTCTCTTTAACCAAAGAAAGCTAAGAGATTAAGGTTATATAGCCATATATTCAGTAGCTTCATTATTTTTGTTAGGTTTTGAATATAACCATATTTTAGATTTTTAGTGTATCACACCTTTTAATTTTATTTATTTATTAATTTATAACCAGGCAACGTAGGCCCATAGATATAGCCATAATGTGTTTATGGAGGTGTTTGGCGAAAAAGATATGGCAATAGACTTTATGATGTCGTCTACGATCTATAATAATTGTCCGAGCACATTTGCATCTAGTGAAAATGATAATATAGTTGTGGATATTAATACCATAGTGTATTAAAAAAAATGATTTATTTTATCGATCTTTACAAAATAGATTTGTTTTTATGTTATATATAAACAAATTCGATCAGTCTTTGGCTGAATTTTACTACACCCATAGCCATTAAAAATGATTTGTATGTTTTCCAAACCGGTAAAATTAAAATTCCTTTTTAAAGTAAATATATTATACAAAGGTTGAAATCTAATGATTAAATTAAATTATAAATTACGCCAAGATTTACCGTGTATGTCAATATTTTTTGTGCGTTTGGGCCAATTTGAGCAATCTCCTTTGGTATGCATATAGTTCATGACCGGGATTGAGACATAGGATGCTTTTTATGCCGGAAAAATTTTAGGTTCTTGTGGGATTCATAAAATTACATAACATAAATTTAACCTGAAGTTGACGCGGACGAAGTCGAGGGTGGCCGCTAGTTTTTATATACATATAGAAATGAAAAAATACATAACAATTATTGTCAACAGTTGGAATATATTGTCATGTTTTTATACTGTAATTGTAATAATTCTTGATCACCTTATTAACGTGCACGGTCATTCCATGTAACGGGTGTTACAGGGTGAGAAACTCTTGCTCGCAGAGGCACCGCCCAAAGAAAAAAATGCATCTAATTTACCTATCTATTCTCGGAAAGACTTACATTGACATATGTTCTGCAAACAGCTGCTGTTGTCATAACACCAGACAAAGGGAATATTACTATCGGCAGGAAAGACGTTACAGCCAAAGGAATACACTCGGTTACCCAGAAAACCGCCATATTCACTAATGTATAGGCGACCCATGCATGTGGCTGAAAAAGAAGACTCATAAGTATTTCAACATAAGCATATATAATATAATCATCCTGAATGTGTGTCTTTTGTAAGATGGGAGGCTACTTCACCTGACGGGCGCGTACGAGCGGCCGCTGTGCCCTACCTCTCAAGAATATTTATCTTTTTTCTTTATAATAGTAGTATAGATTCGACGACCTCCGAGGTCGGGTGGTTTGTACGCCGGATTTTATGGTGTCGCCGACTTGATAGGTCCCGGGTTCGAATCTCGGTGGGGGCAGATGTTTATGTGATGCATGGGCAGATGTACTGCAGTAATGGATGTTAAATATGTATTTCTATATAAATATACTTATATATGTACAGTATATGTATTCTATCTGTTACCTTAGTATCCCATAACACAAGCCTTACAGTGCTTACTTTGGGGCTAGGCTAATCGGTGTGTGTTAGAAATATTTATTTTTATTTTAGATAACCTTTGCAGGCAGCGGCAAAATGATGAACAGCAAGACGATAGGTGTTAATAAAGTCAGGAGGCCTTTCCAATGGATAGCCAAGAACAATTTCAATCTTTGAAACGCAGACAAAGTCTCCTCCGGCTTAGCAGAAGAACTGAATAAAACAAATAATATCGATTATTGTTAACATTAATAACGATAGAAAATAGTTTCTAATCAATAATGACGTTGTCGTTGAGGTAAAAATTTACCCGTACTACAATTTGGTTTTTAACTTATTGTGGTGACTGTCTATGGAGTTCAAATCGTTCATAATAAAATTAATGTAAAATCCTGTTTGGATGGGAATTGTCCACGATAATTTGATCAGGCCTTTCTTCTTACCTCAAAACTTACGCGTAACCTACGAGAACTTCTTAAGAGAGGAAGTGGACTCGCTTTTGATAGATGTGCCGCTGAATACAAGAAGATGCAAAGACAATGGCTGGACGACAATTATCCACTGAGATGGATCCGTCGAGGTGGCCCGACGCACTAGCCGACAAGAAGTGCGTATTTGACGCAATACGACGGGGTCACGTGAAGGACTTAGTGTATGTTACACCAGTGATATCCATTGAAGAGTTGAGGGAGAGGTTATTGGCAGCTGCCGAACAAATAAAAATGTCACTTTCACCGCGAGTAACAGTGAGTAAAGTACGTCTTAGGATCCGGGTCCGTGCTTGCATACAAAATAATGGTAGGCAATTTTAACAGGATTTGTATTTTTTTAAGGTACAGTTTTTTTTAAACCACATGAAACTTAATCAATCAACATTGAAATTTATTCACAGTGTAAAGGAACACTATTGACTTTAAGATCTGAATTCAATTTACAAATCAAAATGAAAAGTTTGCCCTGTAGCGCCCTTTTGCTGATTTGAATAAAAACAGCTAATAAAGTTAATAACTTTTATACCTAGTTGGAAAGCTTATGAAACTAGTTATTTCATTTTACTAATTTGTATGCCAAATTTCATACAGTAATTTTTAAATAATTTACGGTGAAGTTCGGGAAAAATACAAAAAATAAATATTATTGTTACTAAAGTCCTTTTATTTCTGAGTGTGTAAGTTTCGGGCAAGCGTTTTTTTTAAATAATCACTTATTTTTCAGCTTTCAGAAAAGTATCAAGTCAATGTTTAGAGTGCAGTACTTTATTCACAATTAATGGTTTTGGCAGAAAGACAGAAAAAATCTAAAAAATCGAAGAACCGTCACAACTCCTAGTTCACTGGACTTAATTTGTTGTTAATGACCTCTAGTAGTGGCGGCTTCTTTCAAGGAATAGGTCGAGTGTTTCTGTCACCCTATATATAAAGCATTTAACTGTTAGATGTTCAAATGTAAAGAAAATTTTACTATAAAATATTCCACGTGGCAAGGCAGCAGATGGGACTCAAACTCGCACCCTCCACTATCCGGGCGGATGCACTGAACAATTATGCTACAGGGCCTTAATGGCCGTGTGGTACTTCAACTAGTATTTCTGAAGATGCAGTCCTACGGCCTGTGTGGTGGCGGGCGCTGCCCGCTGCGCAATGTTGTCAAACGTATGAGAACTCTAACGTTTGAGATTGAGCAGTCTCTATACATGATACGAGGTAAATTGTAATCTCGTACACTTTGTGATGGCATGATGAAGCTATACTTCCTGCGTCATTCCATTGTGGATTGGACATTTATTTACTTTCTGATATTATTTTTAGTTTGTGTACATGACACAAACAGTCAACACTGTTCAAATCTCATATCCAAGTGTACGAGATTTCTATTTACCTATGTATGTATGTCTAGGGACCGCTAAATCTCAAAAGTTAGAGTTCTCATACGTTTGGCAACCTGCTCTCCCGCGACAACACAGGCCGTGGGACAGCGCCTTCGCAAGCCGCTGCAAGCTCATAAATGTAGCTGAAGCGAAGCAAGGATGGACAATGCCCACTTTAGAAACCTCTCTGACCACCATAAATTTAGAGTATCGAAGAATGACTTTACAATTTAAAAAAACAGCCACTCGCGCACAAAGGTTCCCCTACCGTTATCCATTCAACATTAGATACTACTATAATAGCAAGCAAAAAACGACAAAAACAACACATCCCCTCTATGGGAGCCCCCCTTAAATATTTATTTTATCCTAATTTTAGTATTTGTTATTTTAGCAGCAACAGAAATACATCATCATCTTTGAAAATGTCTACTATCTAGCGATTATAACGTTTCATGAGATACAGCCTTACACACAGATAGACTGACAGTGGAATCTTAGTAATAGGGGCCCGTTTTTACGCTTTGGGTACGGAGCCATCAAAATAAATGAATTTGTTCAACTGGACAGATGCTCCCCGTATGAAAAAAACCTAGCTACACTAATGCTTATTATACATGCATTGCTTGCTATCCTTCACGCAGTGAGGACCTCATGAAGACCTATATCGAACCTTACTCACCAACATAACTACAACACCAAAAGGAAAAACAGTAAAGCCGTATTATTTTACTGTGTTCTTTTAAAAAGCCTAGTTCCAAATGAACAGACGGGTGCTCTAAGCCAACATGCTATGAAAAATTTCTTTAAAATTACTGATTATGATAAAGGAAAGGATATAAGTATATACTTATTTAGTGAACTCAACATCAAAGAAAGATTTATCTTCGACTGTGCAAATACGATTCCTTAAATTCTTCGGGCATATTACTCGTAATGATAACTCCATGGAACCGTTGGTGGTGCAAGGGAAAGTTGAGGGCAAAAGGTCTCGCGGGCGCAGATCTTATTAAATCGGCGACACACTCCAGCATAAATGATTGCTCTCGCTCTGCAATACATCGAGTTACATGGCGACGCATCGCGATTGCATCAGTGGCACAGAAAGCGACCGAGACATGACCACGACCAAGCTGTCACAAGTGCACGACTAGGAAGAATTTAGTGTATTCATATCATTGCCGCAGGTTTACTTTTTTCCTTAAACATAAATCGTTCAGACTATAAATACGTAAATTCTTACATACGGCAACAATGGCTGAACTAATAAAATAGGAAAAGTAATCTGCAACTTAATTTATGTAATAGGTAGTTTTATACTTACAACATGTTGAGAACAACTTGTAATCGGGCTTTGAATATTATTAAGCCCTAAATAAAATGAAAATACTTCAAAAACTTGAGTTTCTTTCGCTAGAACGCCGTCGAATTTAATTGCTCACATTTAAGATTTTCTTTGACAAGAACAAAGCAATACTTCTGTCATACTTAATCATTTTTTTAAAATTTTTGATCAAAAAGAATCTATACCTTTTTAGCACAGAGTTTTTATCACGGGTGAATGGGTATTTCAAAGAGCTGAAGTCGTGGAATTACTTAAAAAAATCCAAGATCAGGCAGTAGACAGGTACGCCTGGTATTTTTTCCAGTAAAATTTTCTTCAAATATAATGAGTTCTTTATTAATTTAGATAATTTTCTGGAATTTTTGTTGTTACTCACATCACCTGTTGTTAGTTATTAATAATGATTATTACTTACCTAATAATATCCTTCTTTTTGAACTTTTTAGAGTTAAAAATGAAATTGTGGGGGAATCATTTTCGATTTCTGGCTGTAGCAGTCAAATTTTAATAAGGTTGTAAGTATGTGTGTTTATGTATTAATTTATGTATTTTATTTATTAGGTAATGTATTTAATTGCGTTTATTACTTTTTCTTCATTTGTGTCATTAAACCCATGATATCAACAAAAGTTTAGACACTATAAGGATGATGACGGTATAAATTAAACAAAATTCTATTTATTCCGTCAGTAACATTATCAAAAAATAATGTTGGACACGTAGTTTATTTTTGTCAATCAACCAAAAAATTACAAAGATATAGCGTGCCAAAGTTTGACGACGTCACATCTAAGTAAAAATTCTACCTAGATGTGACGTCATGCAACGCTTTAAATCTACATAATATAATTGCAATGTCTTGATTATGTGAATAAAGAAAAAATACGAGTCCAATTTTTTTTGATACAGAACTAATACACGAAGAATAAAAAAAAACATCACCCTTACTCAAGACCCCTTTACAAGATAGCGATCGATGACAACATGATCTGGTTCTATTATAGCCTGCATGCATATGTTCGGCAAAAATAGTTATTTAATAAATTTATCTGGGCTGCTAGGTTACCTACTAGGATGGGGGTAACGGCGTCTGCCGGTGTGGACCACCACCAGCTAAAATCTCGTAACCCCGAACGTGGTACGGGGCCGAGGGTCGGTATCTTCTCCGGAGGGTAGGGGCCGCGAGGAAGAAAACCTCTCCAAAAACACCCTAGGTGGGTGGCTTAGGGTGGCCCCGGTGTCGGAGGGCAGTGCGCTGCCCGGAGAAGCTTGTAACCCCGTACGTAGTGCGGGGTCAAGTGCTGTCATCTTCTTCGGAGGATGCGGGCCGCGAAAATGAAAACCTCTGTAAAAAAATACCTGGTGAGTCTCGATTGGCGTTCTGGGCATCCCGGGTAGCGATAGTCGAGACGGTAGGAGGGGCGGTAACGCCTTTCTGTTGAGGGCGGTTTTGGTGTGAACTCTGCGCCACTTCCGACCGACACGTAGCCCCGCACGTGGTGCGGGAACGGGGGCCGTCACCTCTCGTGGTGGGGGCTTAGGAGAGACAACCTTTTTAAAAAATAAATTTTGTCGAGGCCAGGTAGGGTCCCCCTGCCCGTAAGGGGGTACATCGTAATGTGATGTCGTCTTTAAATGGTTGTTGTTTATCTTGCGCTGCCGTCAACACCAGGCGCTCAGGGGTAGCTGGGCCCCAGAGTGTGAAGTGGATTACTAGCGGCCAATGATCCCCGGTTGGCCACCGGGTCCCGCAGTGAGAAGTTAGTTAGCGAGGCGTTAGTAGGAGATGGAGAAGGCGTTCTTCGCCTCAAGAGGAGGAGGCGATAAGAAGGGTGGTGGGATGGCCATCATACCTTTTTCATGCTCCCCCAGTGGATGAAGGATGCATAAGGTATTTCCCAGACATTAAAAAAAGGCTGCTAGGTTATGCCCTGCGGTTTCACCTGCATTAATTTAAAAAAGATTTTATAGTAAGTCAAACTTAAAAGATCATAATCTTGTTTTAAACTTCCACGGTCACTAAAACTATAGTAATGTATGTTACTCAACTCAACAATTTTGTCTTTCATAATGACCTATACATACCTATGGCAATCCTGTCCAAGTTTGCTGCGATGTTATAGGTTGTTTACTTATAATATGAAAAGATGGCGCTGATTGTTGGCATTAGTAATGCGTGAAAAAGTTCAGCAAATTTAATAAGTTTCCGGCACGGGCGCTCTTCGGGAGAGTAGTTGCGAACGGTTACACAGGTCCTAATCCTATCTGATACCTCCGATAGGTACTAGATAAAAGGTAAAATTTTAATTTCTTCCAGCTAAATTGTGTTTCTTGGTCTCAAAACGTAGCCATCGAGAGTTGAGTTAGGTATCGTAAAACGCAACAATTACCTTCTTACAATCTATCCTCAAAATATTTCAGGGTGATTTTATTATAATAAATAAAGAATTATTTGATAATGGAGGAAAACCAGGAAAGTAATGACGCAATAAATCCTGACGAGCTAGCATCTCCGTAAGTAGATCAATTAATGTTGATATCATCTCTCATCTGTTTTGTGTTTTCGAGAAGTCAAACTCAGCCAGAAAATTTTACGCACGAACCGAAGTGCCCTCTTGGGAAATAGGTTTGAGCGTTGTTTCGTTGTAGAAATAGCAAAATAACAACACTATTAAGTAATGTTTCAGTCCTGTAGTGGATATTATTGCCAGAACTCCACGTGGTAGGAAGGGGGTAAGGTTATATAATACATGGTGTCGATCATTTTAATTTGGATCGCCTATGGGCTTCGAGGCAAACGTCAACAAACAGCAACTCATACTTAATAATGTCGGCGACGACAAAAGATATAACCGTATAAAATGCATTTAAATATTTTATATACCCATGCTTTAAATCCTCTATAAAAATTAATCACTTTGATGTTTTGTTAATAAAAACGAGTGAGTCAAGTTTTGATAACACTCCACCAAATATTTCTTATGCAGCAAAGCACATTCCCAATCACTTACAGAAAAAGCAACAAAACAGAATGGAAAAGCGTACAAAGTTTTCATAAATTAAAAATATCAAAGAGTTAATAAATATAATTATAGAGAATTAATATCATGGGTGTAGATAAAGTCTCTCGACTTCGCCTCGTGTGATAAACCGGCATTCGTGTTTTAATACCCCTCATTATACAACAGTTGAGTATTATCTATAATAATTGCGCCTTCTGCCCACCAAAGGATATTAAAGATGGGATACCTATTTTTATCAATGTAATCTAAAAAAAAACTAGTTTATTTTCTTTACATTTGTAAGTCTATGCTTAAGATAAGGGTTAAAGCTGGAAAGTCACCGGAGTTGGATACTTGCCCCGGTCTGGAATACACCATGTTAGGCATGTTGTTGTGTTGTTAGGGCTCTTCTCTAACATAAATTATCTGTCTCGAAGCTTTATTTCATGTAAGCTGTAGAATTAGGCACACGTGTTCTTCTCCGTGTGCGCAAATAACTTCCGCTGCAAAACGTTGACTAACATTGAAATTATATTAGAGAATACATTCTTTTGAATATTTTTTGAACTGATATTTTAGTTTACATGCATGCATTGGAGTTCAAATTACACAGTTTAAAATGTTTTCTTGTTAAATAGTTTTTAATTATTTTTGAAAATAAAGGGCAATTAGTATTCGTATCCAATAGGATAATTGCCTTATTTGCTTTTGCGGATAGTTACTATATAGGGAATTGGGTAAATATAAGTTATGTATCGTTGAAATAGTGATTAAAATGTTTATCTAAGTCGTTGTGAATAAAAGTTGTTTTAAGTATATTTAATTCTTATTCTGAAAGTGAAATGCTTCGTAATACTTTAAAAGATAATAAAAGAAGACAACTGCCAGCATCTGCTTATTCAAGAAAGCAGGAGTAATGTTGCGAAGCATATAAAGCAACTACAAAAAAAAAGTTCAAGTGAAAGTCACATAAAAATAATAAATATTAAACAAATTACTATAATATGCTTGTATCTTCAAAAAATCATAGCAAGTGGTCTATTCCGAGTTACCCCCGAATAATTTTTAACGTCCGACTTTTATCCGCTCGAGTAGGCAACTATCCCTTTTTCAAAAGTCTATTAAATCCAAATTTACTCATAAACAATATTAATTACGTTTGTATGCCTGTCTGTCATGGAGGATGCATCACAACTTGGAGGTCCATATCTTTGAATAATAGAGCAATAGCGGGGCAAATATCCGGGTATTTGTCTTATATATAAAAAAACAGTATCATTTAGGTGAGAAGTAAATACCTACATTAAAGAACATTATTGTTTTTCATAGGGATGACGATACGACTCTCTCTGTGCTAAAAAGGTGTAAATACTTCGTTTCTATTTATTGGAGAGGAATAATTTGCTTTCTGGCACCGTTGATTTTAATATTTATTTTGACACCTTTCCCACCGGAGGTAAGCTTAAATTCACACCTAATTAAATTCACGCGAGAGCAATTCGCATCAGTGGTAAGTATCTTTATTATGATATAATATAAGTACGAGTAAATATTATTCTTGTGATAATTTTAACATTATCTTAGACCACGATAAAAAAATGAATAGTAATTCTATTATGTTATAAATGCATATTTTTATTGAAACAAAAACTGAAAGATAGACATATTAAAATATTACTGCTCGTTTACCCAAAGGTATAATACGTGCATATATAACAAATTTTAAACAATATCTCAATTTTTTGTTCACACATATCGAGCCCTTACCGCCAAATTATCGTAAGCGACACTCGCCAAATTATCGTAAGCGACACTTTTGTCGAAATGCGTTTTTTGTGGAAACTAATATTTTAAACCGTAACGGACCCATCTCTGTTGATATTTCCCTCTATTCTTCCCTCTATTATATTATTACGGTGTTCTTTTGGAGGGAAATATCAACAGAGATGGGTCCGTTACGGTTTAAAATATAAGTTTCCACAAAAAACGTATTTCGACAAAAGTGTCGCTTACGATAATTTGGCGAATGTCGCTTACGATAATTTGGCGGTAAGGGCTCGATATATACATGTATAAAACATGTAGTATACAATACTTGCATCAAAGTTGTTTGGATAAACAAAATATGTGAAGTAAATAAGTGATATATACTTGTAAGATACTAGTGTTGTTTATGCAGTGTAAACGAAATAATGTTTTAAACAGCCATAATGATTTCATTTAATGATTTCAGAATCATTTTTTCTCTTAAACAATTTGCCTTAAAATAGCCCGCGGCTTATATGCTTAGAGAAAAAGTTTTATGATAATAGCTGAAACACATGAAGTACTGCGGCATTGAATCCTGATTTTACTGATATATTTTTTTAATATATAAGTCCTTAAATAGAATAAGCATATGTACTTTCGCTCTGCAATTGTGGAAATAAAAAAACTTTCTCGGTGGAATTAATATTGTTCAGAGTATGGGTGACCAATAATTCTTTAGCTCAGTTGTATCTGAAGTCGTAAGCACCTAATAATCTGTACTGAACTCCCATTGTGAGTCATGGTATATTTAACCAGTTCCATCATCAGGGAAAGATTGATGATGATGCGTACATATTTTTTCGTCATCTTATTACACCATGTTTTTACCAGATGATGCTACTTAAATGATATAGCAGTGATAATTGTGCATATTAATTTCCTTTACAGAAATATCAGTGGTGTGCGTACACTTTGTGCCTCATGGCAATATATTGGGTGGTCGAATGTATTCCACTGGCAATAACATCTTTTTTACCTATACTGATTTTTCCTTTAACTTCGGTAATGACAACTGCTGAGACATGTAATTGCTATATGAACGTACGTACTTGGTACTTTTGTTATACTTTATTAGCTTTAGCTATGTATTCAAAATAATAATGATATTACCTTATTTATTGACGACCTCCGTGGAACGAGTGGTATCTACGTTGTACGCCTAGATTCAAGGTGTCGCCTACTGAGACGTTCGAATCCCGGTGGGGCAAATGTTTACGTATGATGAATAGAAACATTTCTAATCTCTTTATCCGAAACAAGCTTTCGGTAACGATTGAACTTCGTTACCGAAAGTTTGTTTAGTCAATTTAAGGTTATACTTAATTATAACGATAAACCATCAAATTAATTTATACTTAGAATAGGCTAAGGGAATCTTAATGTACTTTCGATCGAACAAACAATAAGAACAAATAGAAACAAGACACACAAGGAAATTAAAACATGATAGACAGAACGTACATAATAGTGGCGGCCTTATTGTCAGGCAGCAATCTCTTCCAGGCAACCCATAATAGAAAGATAAATAATATGAAGGAGAAAAGGAGGGATGTAACACTAAATAATAATAATATCAATGGCAGGAAAACAGATATGTCTCAGGAAGGAAAGAGATAGGATGAAGAAAAAATTTAACTTCATTGTTGGGATAGGAATTGAATTGTTAGGGAATAACTTCGAACTTGACCCCTAAACGAGTTCAGAGTGCGAGCCTTTTTTTTATAATTAATAGCTAATAATAAACATAATAAGGAACGTTTCGACGAAGAAAAGTTTCAACCGAATTTTTGGTTGTTCCTTGACTTAGAAGTAGGCCGCCTGATCCTATCAGTCAGTATCTTAGCAACTGCACCCTATTTCACATAGAATCAGGAGGTGTGAAGTAATTTACTGGGCATTGACTATTCAAAGAATGCGGTTAAAGAATGGCATTTATTTCAGGATACAGTGATTATGTTCTTGGGTTCCTTAATGTTGGCATATGCAGTTGAGCAATCAGGCCTCCACATAAGATTAGCTTTATGTGCTGTTCGGGCTATTGGCTACTCCCATTACAGGTAAGAAGTTTCTAAATACAATAGAAACGGAACGCAGAGCCAAGTTTAACATTATTAGATACTTGCGGCCGCCTCTGACTTCATCCGCGTGGTCTTTAGTTTTTTTGAGAATCCCACAGCTTACCCTTTTTCAGATTTTCATCCTAATCCGTTCAGTAGTTTTGTGCATCATTGAGTGACACACAAATTTTTCACATTTATAATAATAATAGCAGCTATAGACAAACACGAATATTTTTTCGGGATTAAATTATCCTATGTCTCAATCCAGGTTGTAAATTATATGTGTACGAAGTTTCATCCCAATCCATTCTGTAGTTTTTGCGTGATTGAGTAACAAACTTAGTAGGATAATAGGATAGAACCCGGGTACAAGTATAACACATAGCTCAACCTTTCAATGTTTCTATAAGATATAGCTCTATTATTGCTTTGCGCGATCTAACCATATAGCGATTTCCTAAGTCCATAGAAATGATTGATTGCTTGCCAAACCCGTGCTCAAAATTTCTTTCTTCTTTGATATTTTAAGATATTTATTTAACACTTGCCACCGCCCGCGACTTAGTCTGCATTAAACTTTGTTTTTTCTAGAGAATCCCTCAGAAATATACATTCTTCCAGAATAACAAGTATCCTATGTCACAATCCAGGTAAGAAACTATGGGTTTGTCAAATTTCATCCAAATCCGTTAATCCTTTTAGCCATTGTTGCCAGGTTGAGTAACAACCATCCAATTTTCACATTTTTTAAGACTTCCTGCTGTATTTGATTTTAACCTTTATTTGTCTTGTTTTAGATTGCTCTTCGCAATTTGTTTTATAACAATGTTCATTTCTATGTGGATCACTAACACTGCTGCAACCACCATGATGGTTCCAATTGTATTTGCTATATTAAAAGTGTTTGAAGAAGTTAGTACAAGCTTTTAACCTATTATCATGAGTTGTATTTTTTCCATATATAATAAATAAGCTTTATTAATATAATTATCAAATCATTCTGCTTTCTCAAAGCAACCACTTAAACTTTTTTTTTATATATTAAATTAATTGATCTCAATAGTAACTATTTTTCTCCCAAACAAAATTAGGTATTTCGTCAACTGTAACGAGGCAGTAAATCATTATTTTATCTCTTCCGTTTTCTTTCTTAGCAACAGATACTAAAAATATACGACACCGACAACGACGGTAACCGGATCGCTTCAGATATAACAACGTGTTATTTTTGTGCAGCAACATTTTCCGCTACCGTTGGTAATATAAATTCTTATAAACGTAGTCTTAACCTTCCTTATAAACACAGCCCAGCGGCGTACACTCATAATGCAAAAAATACACAATTTCTACACAAAAAATACACGAAAGAAAACACTGATGATGAACATGGTATGAACATCAGTGTAATTTCTTTGCCACGTATTGTCGATTCTGCTATGTTTTATATATAGATAAGGCGGTCTTCAAAAGGCGGGTAAACTTTTTCCGTCAGGGCCGGCCACGCTTGAGTTGTACCCTTGGTCCTGCAAGTGTCCATGGGCGGCAGTGACCACTTTCGATCAGGTGAACTGTCAGCTTGTTTTCCTGCATAAACATAAAAAAGTTAAAATAATAATCGTCTATCGTCTTTCAATGCTGATTCAGTGGTTTTGATTTTTAACACAGTTATTGTAACTAAAATATGAAATCACAAAAACATTAATTGCTTACTGATCTCTTTTTTGATACCGATGAGCATTTGTTTATCTGATGCTGCGTTTCTACTTGGAACAATGTTCTTTTGTTCAGTCATCAATGGAAATAAGACAACATTGTTTTGAGCATTCCATTTACCAAGCGAGCAAGTGCTTGCTTGCTCGGAACTGTACTGAGCACTAGGTGAAAACACAGCTTAACAGAACAATAATATCGGAACAAAAACTACGTCAAAACGCGATACTGTTAAACCACTATTGAGATGATTTTTACATTAGCTTAGCAGAATTGACTCTCATATCGATTCCTATAAATTATATAATGCATTTCAGCTAGACAATTCATCATAATTACAGTAATTTCAAGATATTTCCTCGAAAATACTGTTATTTTAGCAATGGATATTTGTATTCGGTATTTAATGAGTTTTTTAGATTTTAAATTATACAAAATATATAAATAAATAAATAATACGAAGTACGCCGGGTCAACTAGTTTAATATTAAAAACTCCTTATAAAGATCCTGCCTTTTCCAAGTTATATTCCATGATTTGCGAGCAATGCTCTAGAGCGCTTGGAGTTCTTAGAAAAAACTACACGTGGTCAAAGTCTTTTAATTGGTGGAGATCTCAATGGCTAGAAATGTCATCTGTGGGGCAGTTCTTCCTGCAACCCAAGAGGCAATGAAGTGATGTAATTTATTGCTGCACATGAGCTCTACGTCTGCAACTCAGACACAACACCTACCTTTAAAACGACTATATATGGAGCGCAAAGAACCCTAATCATCGACATTACTATTGCCTCAGACCAAATTGTTGACAGAATAGAAGCTTGGAAGGTAAACATATACGCATGCACTTCATCTCATCACAATGCAGTAGAATTTGTGATGCATACAGGCCCAAGACCGAAATTCACGCCTCAAAATATGTCAAGACATCTGTACAGGAAGGACAAAGCCAATTGGGCGATATTCAAAGATTTTTTAGATGAAAATATGATTTCTTCTAGAATTCTGGAAGTGGACATATCTACTTTGAATACAGAGGACCTCATTAAAGAGCTCAGTAAGTTTATAAACGAGGCATGTTTGAAATCCATGCCAGTTCAACGCCCTCCGCGTTGCACCCTGGTGGACGGATCAACTAGAGTCTCTATAACACGAGATTCTCTCTCTTCATCGGAAAATACACGCAGCAAAAACCATTATATGAGGAATAACTCTGCCTTTTTTGGTGGTGATTATTGACCACTTACTTCTTGTTTTGGTGCACATGTACGAAATATAGTTGCTAGAGCAACCAATGTTTTTCACAGACTGTGCCGGTTCATCAGGCCAACATCCCAAAAATATCAGAATTATATATCGCCACGTCATCGAGCCTATGATCACATACGCTGCTGAAATCTGCGCCAGGCTACCGACATGAAGTATGTGCAAAAACTACTCATAAGTGCTCACAGAGGATTTGCCATTAAAGTTGTTGGAGGCTTTCGAACCGTTTCTTTTAATGCTGCGATGGCCATAGAACAATTTATTCCGCTGGACCTTAAGGTCAAAGAGGTCTAGAGGTTCTCCGGAACATCCGAAGAACTTCCAGACATTATTGCCCTGGAATGACTGATCCCTACTACAGAATTGCCGCACCCAAGCAAACGAATAGCGCCCCGTTTTACCAGAGCGACAACCTAGGAGCGGGTGGACAAATTGCACGAGGAACAGCACATTATATATACGACCGGAGTAAGCAAGAGGACGATTCCGTAGGAGCCACCTTCGTCTGCTGCTCCCCTAGTGTTTTTCATCACACTACCTTAGTCAAGAAATTGAAACTCCACAAATCCTGTAGCGTCTTTCAAGCTGTAATACTAGCTATCTTGCAAGCATGTAAGTGGGCTGAGATCAAGAAACACAGCAACACTGTTATTTACTCGGACACTTTGTCGTCTCTTTAAGCGATCCAGAACCAAAGTAATACCCATCGGTTGGTTGCGAAGGTACATTCCGTTATACTGATGCAGCCTGGGCCCGTGCGATTTGCACGGGTTAACTCATCGCGGGTAACATATACACAGGGTATACAATATACTCAATGAAAAACAAAACATAGTAATAAAAAAAAACACGTGTAATAGGACTTAAGTATCCAATTTCTTCTCTCCTCGTCAAAACAGAGAGATAAACGATATCACAGAAATAATAATAAAAGAAGATTAATTAAAAAAAAAACTTATAGAGGCTATAGAAATAACTCTATATCTCCTCCATCAAAATGATCACAACGCTTATTACAGAAGCTTTTAACGCAACAAACAAAGGGATACTATTACCGAAAGCAAAATATCTATATTTTTATCTTCTATTATCGATATGACCACAAAAATATTATGACATTGCATGTGTACCTACTGAAATGGAGTCGAGACTAACTAACTGTTATTTCTAGGTGGTATTGGAACACTAGTGGGTACTGCAACCAACTTAGTGTTTAAAGGCCTCTTTTCAAGGTTAGATTATTAAAATTAATTACAGATTTTCGGATTTATCATCGAACAATGTATTTTCAATAATTTTATTATTATTCTATTTCAGATTATATCCCAATGCACCGGAATATTTATCATTTCCAAAATTTTCAGCATTTTCAGTTCCTTATATGATAACAATGGAGCTGGCAATATATTTTATTTTATTGATTCAGTATTTTGGATTTCTAAGGTGCTAGACATAATGAATCATTAGAGTATAAGTTTTATATTATTTAATAGGTTGAAATCTTTACATATTGCTGCTATAATACCTATTTAGATTTTTCTGAATTCTGATATTATTATGACAATGTATTTTACACAGAGTTTATTTATGAACCGTATCTAAATAAAAGATATAATTGTACGTTAAATTAAGTGGAATCTATATAATTTGCTCCACTTAAACATAATCTATACTAGTGGCCACCTTTGGTTTTTTGAGAATCCCACAGGAATCTAAAATAATTCCGGGATAAAAACTATCATATATATCTCAATCCAGGTCCAGGATAAGCTATAATTATACGAACCAAATTTCACCCAAATCCGTTAAGTAATTTTAGTATGATTTAATAACAAACATACAAACTTTATTATCCTACCAATATTAACCAGCTTGAACAAAAAGGGTAGCATTGTGTTTATCAATAGCTGCGCTAGGCATGTGCTTTATCTCATTAGCAACGTAGGGCGTCTATACATATAATTTGATATCCTTAATTTTGCTAAGTAAGCTCATTTATCTTGTGCTAGAAACATGTTGCCATCCCCATGGTGAGCGTATAATAAATACTATTGGATTTATTCATTACTGACGGACGCTTGCGACATCATCCGCGTTAACTTAAGTTTTTGAGTGGCCCAGGGGGAAAAAGTATCCTATGTCTCAATCCAGGTCATAAACTATACACATACCAAAGTTCATCCAAATGTGTTCTGAAGCTTAACATACAAATTACACATTTATATTATTAGTTGAATTAAAGTAGGAAGTAGGATATCACTAAAATTGTGTCTTTAAGGAAGAACAGTGAAGCCGCAAAACAGTGTAAAATACCTCCTAGCGGTATAGAAGCAGCTAAATTAGTGGTAGAGGAACAATGGAAGAGTTTAGGTAGAATCACATTCAGGGAATCTGTAAGTAGCTTTGTAGTTTTGTCTGACTATCTATGGTATCTTAGGTATCTTAGCCTCAAAATTTTCAAAAACGTCAGGCTACAAAAAAGTTAAATAAAATTACTCGTAGTTCTGTGCTTTGGGTAAATGATGTCAAATTGTTGTTAAGTGCTGAAATTATGAAGTAATGCGGGCACTTCACTTGGCTTATTTGTGTTTGCTATTGATAAACTTGACATCGGTCTGTACTGTTCAATCCTTGTATAAAAAAAAACCTGATAAGGACAAGCTATTGTCAAATTTACAAATAGCCAACACAAATAGCAAAGTGAAGTGCCAACATGAAATTATAAAGAAAAGGAGGAATTGTAATGTGAAACAACATTTTTCTTATGTACAATGGGTGGTATACAAGCGAATGGCCCACCTGATGGTAAGCGGTCACCATAGCCTATAGGCGCTTGCGATAACAAAAATATCACTGGCGTTGTTACCTACCCTGACCCAATACCCTACCCCGTGGTACACGACAAAAATCCGCTATGCCCTACCTCTCTAAGCTGTAATAAACTTTTTTCTAGATGGTGATTATCTTATTTGGTGCTGCTATATTGCTGTTCTTCTCACGATCACCTCAAATATTTTACGGTTGGGGTGAACTTGTTGTGGATACTTTTAACTTGAAAGATCATAAATTGTGAGTTTTAAAGGCGCGGCGAACACTTTCTCATTGAAAGCAGTGTGAAATAATTTTAACTTTATCCTAATACATACGTAAAAGACCAATATCGCTTGAAAAGTTTGAAGAAGACGCGGGGCCAGCCGCTTAGTTGCGCGGCCGCGGACACCGCGGGACCAATTTAAGCGACACTGGTTCTAAAGTATCTAGATGAAGTTTAAAATCATTTCTCCACTTCATTCAGTGAGTAAGTGCTCGCCACGTCACTGTCAGCCACTACCATTCCGGTGTAAATCACCAGTAAATCTGTGCACATAATGTCTTATTTACTACTTTATAGTAGAATCCATTAAATATAAGCCTTACAATATTTTAAATAACTGGCAATTTACATTGAATTTAACTGAATACCTTAAGCAATATTATAGTTAATTTTAACATCTTTCAAAAGTAATTTGAGGGAGTATTTAATCGTTACCCATGTTATTTGCTATGATACGATAAAAATGTGGTACAGAAATATGTATGGTATAGTTGTTTATAATATAAGTGCAGTAAGTTGTATATTACAAACGAGTAGACAAATGGAAGCCCGAGACGAAATCGAGGGCTTACCATATCGTCACAAATTTGTAATTCCGCTCCGTCACTAATTCCGCCTGAATGTCATACAACGTTTTTCAACACATTTGCGAGAAAACATTACCTATTCCTTATTTAAGTAATGAAGCAAATTCTTAGAAAATGGCGCGCATTTCCAAATGGTGCCACGTGCGGGTACTGATAATTAGAGCTACATCATTAGTCTCTTTTTCTTTTTAGTATTAAAGTGAGACAAAGGTTTAGATTAAAAGGGATGCCAAAGAGATTCGATCGAAATTAAAAAAAAACCGTAAAGGATATGCATCGCACCATGTACGCGCGCGGTAAAATGTTTTAACGCACGCTCCGTTGTATGGCCCGTAATTTTGAATTATTCATTATAAAACTTAAAGTATTTTTTCAGTAATATCATTTATTTTATTTTCAGTGTAAAGGACTCAGCAGCAGCTGTGGTTATTGTGTTCATAATGGCGTTACTGCCTTCCAGTCTCGTTATATTGAAAAACTTTGAAGCAAAAAGTTTGTATTTTACTATGATTTTTATTTAAGTAATTAACTGCTAGATTTATAATACATAAGAAAATTTTAATAGAAAATATTCTTCGCAGTCCATACAGGATTCAAAGTTACACCTTCCGCAATCCAGGCGGAAGGTGCAAATACTGCCTGATTTCTTTAGTTAAAAAATTGTGCACATTTATTTTTAAGAGATAATGGATACTTAGGTATGTTTTTATTTAATAAGGGTCCTGACATGGAACCCTTATAGTTGCGTCATGTCCGTCTGTCTGTCTGTCTGTCCGTCCTAGGTTTTGCTTAGAGACTGTTGGTACTAGAGCTGTTATTTTGTGGAGGTATGCATATCAATGACGCCGACAAAGCAGTAGAATAAAATTTAAATAAGATAAAATCGGGTAGCTCCCCTTCATGCAACATGGGGATATTTTTTTTTCATTGTCTACAACATCGTGTGAGGTATCGTTGAATAAGGCCTTTATAACAACTTAGGAGTTGCTCAGATTGTGATTCGATTTAGGGATTCGTTTGCGAAGTATTGAACTAAAAAGTATTAATTTTTGTACGAGTAGGGCGCCCCCCTCCCCCCTCTAAAAGCTTAAAAATCATGACAAAATTGTTTTCCATCAAGTTTTGAGGAAAATTATAACGGTTAAGATAGATCAATTAGTTTATGAGTAATAGTCGTTCAACTTATTTATTTAAAAAATTCTTACCCAGTGAAAATCACTTAGAAGAAAATACGTGACTTACATGAAGTAATTTCTTGTATATTATGTAAAACCTTGCATTAAATAATAGAATCCAAAAAGCTGCCACTAGATGGCGCTATCTGAATTACTCTATCGTTACGTTTTTATCAAGATTATATGACTTGAAACATACAAAGATTTCTGATTTATCTTGAAGTAACTCTATACTGCGCGTAGCACAAAACGCACTTGACCGGTTCTTAATAAACGTGGAGTTAAGATGTCTGATGACGTTTTATATTCAATTAAATAGAATGAGACTTAAAATTAAATTTTTTCCTGCATATGTTTCAGTTCGATGACGTGGTTAGCGCGTTCGGCTGCGATCGTTGAAGTTAACAACTTTCGCAGTGGACGGTCATTGGATGGACGACGAAAAATTCCTCTGTTCCATATATCTCTGCTGACGCCTCCACTAACAGGGATACTTGAAGTTTTTTTTCCATTTATCGCTACCAGTTGGGATATATGGAACTTTCTATTCCACATATCCCTACTAGTCCGCACTGATAGGGATAATTGGATATTCTTTTCCATTTATCGCTACCAGTACGGATAAGTTTTAAAGGGTTTCTTGATAAACTAGGTCTCTAAAGAAAAGTTTTACTAGAAAAAAATCTACGCGGACCAGGCACAATGCCACAATGCGAAGAGATAGCGCTGCCTTGCAGCTTAAGGCTAGGAAAATTTCGACGCGGCCATCAGGGCCGTGGTAGCATAATTGGTCAGTGCATTCGCCCGGATTGCGAAGGGTGCGGGTTCGAGTCCCGTCCGCTGCCTGATCCGTGTGGATTTTTTTCTAGTTTAACTTTTCTTTAGATTTAACATCTAACAGTTAAATGCTTAAAAATAGATAAAAACAAAACTAGGTCTTCTCAATAATTTGTAGAAGAAAGGAAACAAAGTCGCAATAACTATTTTAATACAAACAAACCCATACTTAATTACCTACTGTTAAAAACAAAACTTTATTAGAGTCAATTTAAAATTATACTTCCATACCGTTTTTACCGTTACCCTTATCATAAATAAAGTCTTCTTTATTAACTGGTTCTAAATAAAATCTTTTTTCACTATTTCTTAATCAGAACCTCTTAGCCATGTATCCGCCTGTCTCCTGGTACATTTTCGGAATAGTGATTTTTTTATGAGAAAATAAAATGAAAACATAATTATAAAAAATATTCACTATCACAAGTAATTCAGAAACCACTAGTTAATCATAAAAAAAAAAATTATACCCTAACTAGTGGAGATATGTCAGTAGAGATATATGGAACAGGAGGGCAAATTTACTATCTCGAGCTCCTCCGTGCCTTGGAAGGCACGTTAAGCCTTTGGTCCCAGCTGCATCTGCAGTAGTTAGCACCCACCAATCATGTGGGTTATTGTCCAACTATCCCTATTCCATCTATAGGGAAGGCCAGTGCCCCAGCAGTGGGGAATTAATAAGCTGATGATGAAGGTGATGTTTCAGCTTATAACGAATTGCCGACATCAAGTATTACTTCTGTGTTAGATTGGACTTCAATGTGCGAAACAATGCCATTTAGCTTTATGTTTCTATTAGGTAAGTAAGAAGATTTTTTCTTTTTATTCCGAATAGTAATTGTCAGGATGTATTTCACTAGAAGAGAGTAAAATGTTCTATCACTTAACGCGTTCCTGCAACAAATGTAATTTTTAATAATACTCGTACGTATTGAGTTTGTCACACAGTTTGTACTTTTAATTTTGATTGAATAATACACTGCCTTATTTTTTGAAATCCATTACTTTTAACCTCGTCCCTTACCAAAAGGTAGTATGATATCACTGTGGCCTTCTGTAAGATGGAGGTTACTTTCTCTGAAGCTCCAATTTAAAATCTGCTATGCCCTATCTCTTTTAAGATTATCGGGATAGATTTTTCAAAAAATATGCCCTACCCTTACGCATTTTTTTCATAATCTTACAAGCTTAAACTTTTCTTTGATTAAAGTATCGTATGTATTATCACACTAATCACACTAATATTATAAAGGCGAAAGTTTGTGAGTATGTGAGTGTGTATGTTTGTTACTTCATCACGTTTAGACGTGAGCGACGTGGCTGGAGCGATTTTAATAAAATTTGGTATGGAGTTAGCTGACACCCTAGATTAACACATAGGCTACTTTTATCCCGAAAAAGTGTTAGGTTCCTGAGGGATTTACAAAGAAACTAAGTTAACGCAGACTAAGTCGCGGGCGACCTCTAGTTTTAAATAACTACGAGTTACAAACATTGAAAAAAGTTTTTCTTTTTGATATCAAATGAAATGAGCGACCGCCATAGCCTGTAGACGCTTGTTTTTACCAAAAATATCACTTGAACCGTTGCCAACCCTACCCAATCCCCTAACTCGTGGAGCCCTAGAACCTTACTTATCGACAGAAACACAGCACTACCAAAACGAAATGTTATTTTACAGTGATCTACTGTGCTCGAGCTCACTCTGCTCTACCTCTCATACGTTTACAGATTTATAAAATTACTATTGTAATTATAACGTTCCACAGGTGGAGGTTTCGCTTTATCAGAAGCCGCCAAACCGGAATATTCCGACCTAAATGGTAAAATAGGTGAAATACTGAAGCAACTATCCAGCCTACCGAACATTGTTATCATACTATTGATAATTATATTCACCATATTCGTTACGAACTTCGCTTCGAACGTTGCTGTTTGCAACGTTATCTCACCAATTGCTATGCAGTTGGTAAGTTTATAGTTCACGGATATTAATAGAAAATTATTTAAAGACGTCTACCATGCATGGTTCGAGTTGTTCTATTTTGGTGATGGTGCTATATTATGAAATTGGGTACATTAATGAGAAATCAGAAATCAATATATCTTTATTCAAATTAGATGTATTAATTAATATTAACTCTTTTGAATCGTCCAAAAATTTTTTTCCCTACCACTCGTAATGGACATATTTTTTAGCTGCGGAGAAAAACGAGCGAAAAGTACTCCACAACATTAAAAGTCTAATGTAACAACATTTACAAATCATTAGGCTGTTACAACGTCAATACAATTATGATTTATTTAATAAAGAAAACCTGTTGGAATGATTGGAACAGTTCAAACCCAAGAATTTTTGTCTGTAATATAATCAGACACTTTGTAATAACCTTTTTTAATAAGTGCTTTTTTATACTATCTTTAATTTTATTTATGGTTAACTCTGGGATATTGCTTGAGACATTATTGTTTAAGCGAACACAAAGACCTTTAAATGAATTATTAATTTTGTGAGCCCAGTAGCATGTAAAGTTAGTTTATTTTTGTTTCTTGTATTAAGTGTATGCACATCACTGTTTTTAAGAAATAAATTAATATTTTTTCTTACAAGTAATAAATTTTCGTATATGTATTGTGATGCGACCGACACTATTCCAAATTCTTTAAAATATCTCTTAACGATTCTTTAACTTTAAGATTATAAATTGATCGAATAGCTCTTTTATGCAGCACAAAAATAGTTTGAATATCGGCGGCATTTCTCCACAATAAAATTCCGTACGACATTACACTATGGAAATAACTAAAGTATACTAATGTGACCGTATCTACATCCGTTAACTGGCGTATCTTCGTTACGGCATATGCTGCAGAGCTAAGTCTATTTGACAATTTATCAATATGTGGGCCCCATTGAAGCTCAGAATCTAAAGTTATCCCTAAGAATACTGTGTTGTCTACAAGGTTCATATTCCTATCCTTTACATTCACTCTGGTTTTTACTTGTTTTACATTAGGTAATACAAATTTCATACATTTCGTTTTTCCTTCATTAAGTAATAAATTGTTGACATTGAACCAGTGGTCTACCTTAGAGATACAATTGTATAATTGTAAATAATAATAATACTCTTTATCGTAATACACCATATAAAACACACAAGTAAATTGAAACATGATAGATAGAACGTACACAATATAGGCGTTACAAACGAGGCGAACGTACACATTAACTCAATAGAATGTTTTTTTTTAATTTTGATAGTACTTAATTTATTTATTTATATATTGTGTAAAATACAAAACTTTGTAAATAACATAAAATTATTTTGATCAGGCAAAGGAAATTGGCAAAAATCCCTTATGGTACAACATAGCTTCCGGATTCACAGCTTCATATGCCTACATGTTGCCAGTTGGTACTCCAGGAAATCTGGTAGTGCAAAGTGCTGCTAGCATTCCGACTGGAAAGATGGTATGATATACTTTTTTCTTAACATCTGATTAAGCTAAAAATACCGGATCAGCCCATAAGGGTCACTTGCGCTCCTCCGTTTAGCCCTGGATTAAACGCTTAAACTTCTCACACTCTCACTAAACGCTTAAAGTCTTGCACAGAAACCAATAATAAGTTAGCCCTGGGCTAAAACTGTAGTTTTAGTTGGACGTTGGATTAACCAAACAAAAATTCATATTAACATACCTTCTAACTAACCTATAGCGTCTCTTATCTCAACTACGAAATAAAACGGTGATAATTTTATTTATTAATATTTATGGATTTTTCTAATGATGATCTAGAAATTGTGAAGTTTTTATTAATTGCAAACTTTTGCAGACTTTTAGGGTGTACGAAAGAACCAATTATTTATTTCACGACAACGGGAGATAATTATTTTTAAGTCGATTTCGTTTATCAAGAAGAAGTGTGTAAGTTTTGATACAACTCATCGGCAGTTAATTGAAATGCGTCTCTAAAAGGTAAGAATTTTAGATAAATTGTACTCTTTATTCGGAACTTCTTATATCACCCACATGATGTACGCATTAAGTACTTACGTTTGCAAATTTTACTTTAGAATCTATATATATATATAAAACTCAAAGGTGACTGACTGATATAGTGATCAATCAACGCACAGCCTAAACCGCTGGACGGATCGGGCTGAAATTTGGCATGCAGGTAGATGTTATGACGTAGGCATTCGCTAAGAAAGGATTTTAATCAATTCTACCCCCAAGGGGATAAAATAGGGAACAAAAGTTTGTATGAGGGCGGGCCGCTAGTAGGTATATATACGGCTTACAACAAATAAATTTTTTTCTTACTTTTTTGTTACAGACAAAAAGTGGTATAGTTTCATATACACTTCTCTCTGGAAGAAATAACTCTGAGAAAATTACTGGAACATGAGTTTCTTAATGGCCTCACTGCTGGGGCCTCCCATGGATGGAATAGGAAGATTGGGTCATCTCATGACCCACCACGAGTATATATATAGCACAGAGTCACTCGAGATAATATATTTTTGGGCTTCCATCCGAGGACCGACCATTGCAAATGTTTCTAAACTTCCGTGATCGTAGACCGAAGACACTTCTAACTACTTGCGGCATCGAGCTCCTCAAGATTACTATATACACAAAGGAATTTAATTGATCGAATGTGATTTGATTTTAATAATGTTTATTTACTAATATCATTAAAGAAATTATGAAATAAAAAAAATGGTAAAATTGGTTTATTAACAGTTGCGATTAAAAGATTTTAATCGTTTTTCCTTTAATAAAACCTCTAATTTAAACATGATTTCCTCTTCTTCGTGGTTTTATTTTCTATTATAATAGGTTGGGGGAAAAGTCTTTTCGCATTATAGTATGTATAAAATTGTAATAAAATCTCTATGGCTGTATCATTTGTATGTGACTGATTTTGTTATCATTAAAAAACTTAAATTTTTTTAGAAGATCATTCCAAATTCAAATTGGAAAATGTGTGATAATTACTTGTTATTCTTACTGTAAAGATGAGTGAATCTAATGAAGAAATTCGATACACTTTAAATTTTTACAACAAAAAGGATTGCAACGCAAGCCGCAAAAACACGTATGTTTATAATATACGACATCTTCACAATAAATAATTATAATTTGACCACTTTAAAATTAAACACGACGACGACGAACTTTTTTGCTTTGCTATGCTAGTGACACTTTAGACAGACGTCATTGAGCAATATTTGACAAATACTTACTAAAACTAAAATGCGATTTGATCCTATTTGGTCCATTTAATTTGGTGCTAAAACATAACACAACGTTGACAAAAAACACAGACTTTACGTCTATGCTTCTTGTTTGGGACTAAAAAAATTGTTGTCCCGGTCTAGCTAGCCAAGCCTGCCTTTGAAATAGCATTGTGCAAGAAAAGTCTCATAATTATTTAGTTAATTAATAAGCCTGATCCAGCAAACCTGGACTAACTAGATAATTTGGTTATTTTAGCGCAAGTGGCCCTATGCAAATCAAGCACCTGCTTAGTATATCACGTCATGCGAGGCACATTAAACAGCTGCATATAAATTAAAGATCTTTTTTGAAATTGAAAATAATAAAAAAATAAAAAAGAACGACTATAGTACAGGAAAGGCTCGACGCTCTATTGGTATTATATACTTATAGAGTATCAGACATGCGAAAAACTATTTGCCACGAATTTAATACCCGTAAATGTATTGAGGAGGGAATGGAGGGCGGGGGGGGGGGGGGCACAGGCGTGAATTACTTAGCTAGGTTACATCAAGTTGTCGTAAATCGATCGCACATTTGTTAGCACGTCCGCACTGCACGCGCTGAACGCGCTAAATTTCCATATAAACTAAACGAAATGCGGCGCGAACGGTGCGGGTGGAAATATGCGAGGTGCCATATGATCACCTCAATCCATCTCAGAGAAGTCAATTATTGTTGTTATATTTTATTGTAACAGAAGAGTAAACGTGTCTTAAAATTAAATTAAATTTATTTGCGCCCCGAGCACGAAAGTGAGGTAGCAATCTCGTCAAATGGTCGCAAAAGGCCGGAATGAATAGCTAATAAAAATTAATGCTGATATAAATAATATTTTTGGAGTTAGGCATTTTTTCCTTAACTTTGCATTGTTCATTGAGAGCAAAGCACGAAAATTGAATCATAATACGACCAACAAAAATGAAACACATAAAAAACATAAATACCAAATCAAATTTAATTTTTAAGGAAATATGAAATCGAATTGCGTCTTTGATAAACATGCGTATATTTTGTTAGGGTATTTTGACTAATGAAACAGAACACAAATTAGATGAAAACACAATTACTTAAGCTTTTAGTTACTAAAAAAAATAAAAAAGACGTACATTAATTCTGGTGAATGTCGCAATTTAAACTAGTGTAAAATTATATAATTGATATTATAGTCTGGAAATTACATACATTTTTAGTAGCATTTACATACAGAAGTAGTAAATATCGCCCATCTTATAATAGAAAACAGATAAACTTATAACAGAACGCTTTTTGGACTTGGATATATTTTTATTGACTGCGCAAAAGAAATCGAGAGCATGGCTTGGAATTCCACAAGAGCCAAATTTATATTCATGAGATGAAAAAAGGAATTGATATTTGAACCTTGTTTTTATACCTTTTTAGTATAATGTTGTTGTTGATTGAGATTCTATTAAATCCCTCCCAGAGTTGTCGAGTTTTTAGCTCTAGTGTATTACAAATATACATTAGTACATTAGGTGCTTTTTATATAAGGATCATTAATATTTACATGGTTATTTTAACTTATCCCTTTTTTTCAGATAAAAGCTGGCTTCGGCCCTACAATATCAACAATCTTCATAACATGGATTGCTATTTGTTTTTGGGCACCTGTCGTTTGGCCGGATTTACTTACAGAAACTGAATGGCTTATGTGAAGATTAGTCTTTCCAGTTTTACTACTTTATAAGTTGCTGTAATAAATTTTGATTATATATCGTATTGCTTCAAATTATTATACAGCGAGATTAATACAATAATAATTCAAATAGCCAGCAATCTTTAGAGGAATAGCAGAAATCAATGGTTAAATTGGCATGCCATTAAAATTTAAAAGTATCACCTCTTGATATTAGACCCACAGTCATCATGAATAAAAAAATATAGCGGTCAACCTGTACATTTTCACTTCAATTCATGATAGATTATGCTGAATAATTTATCCAGCTTGTGAAAAACTAAATGCCGATGAAAATTATTCTGGTTCACACGTTCAAAGTATTCGAGTGCCAAATATTGCCTGAACACTGCATTTATTGGAGTGTCATCACTGCAAAGTCCGACAGGCGGCCGTGCTTAAAGTTCAATGGAATCATTGTGCTGAAATTGCGAAGAGAAAGCTCGAACCATTTGTAGTTGGTAACGCGGCAACAGGCAGCGGTATTCCGTTTTCTGCCACACCAACGCCGCAGTGTGGCGTAGCGAGCGACGGGAAACGCGCGTCTGTGCCGCTCGGGAATCGCGCAACTCACGACATAACTGTCCCAACACACCAAACTATATGAAACACCAAAAAATACTGTGTGTCCAGTAGTGACAATAATGTAATCAGTGATACAACGACGGTTAACGAAACGCACAAAATTAATGACACGAAAAATGAATGTCGTTAAATATTCATGATAAACTGTGCACGGTGTCCGGAACTCGCAGAGCCACTACTCAATCAACAGGTCAGTTTACGCTCCACTATTCGGTCTGTTTCAGCAGCTTTTTCATCATCCAATTACGGAGGATAAACATTTTGTTTTATCAAACGAGAACTCTTAACTTTCAATTTAAGTGGCACTGAATTGAATACGTTACGAACTTTCAGGAATGTCTGTAATGATAGTATTTACTATTCATGATGTTAGTATCACTGGCTGTTTATGACGTTTTATCTAAGTACAAAAAGAAATATCATAGGAAATACTAATGCTAAGGAAAGATATAGTAAAAAATATATTTGCTAATGTATAATAAAAGCGAGTTTTATCGTAAATACATATTTTCCTGAAAACGTGAACTTAAATTTGTAAATAGAACGATGACCTAATTTCAGAAAGTTCTTAGTGAAAGTGAGCTGTAACATTATTGGCATAATCCTCTTTAAAATGTAATCGACTCGTAAATTGGGAGCAGCGAAAGTTTGCATCGTCTAAGAATATCTATAGCGGCTGCGTATCGAGAATAAACAAAGGTGAACTCGCTGGGCGATAACGAACTGTAACTCTCATGAGACGTATAATGTGTGTTTATAATTTCGAAGACTTCACAATTGAATTTTAGATTAGGAGCACAATGGCGCATACATTTAAGACATTCCGTTGTTGGACAAGTCAAGTTAACCAAAATAAATGTGTCCATAACTGTGTTTTACACCTATATACCTATGTGGTTCACTATTAAATAAAAAAATGTGACACGTTGTATCTGGTATCAAAACAAATATTTTAATCTTGATGAGTAATTAACTACACCTTGACAAGTCTTCAATAATAATTTATTAACGAAATTAAATGTACCTACTAATACAGATTGACTTCTACTTCAGAAAAAGAAAACTACTCGAAAGTTAATGTACACCCGTGACTATGATCTCATTGTATGCATGATGGAAAATACATTTCTTAAAGTTTTCCGTACATCTGAAGACACGTAAATTCCTGTAACATTAGCAGTCGTCAGCAGTCACAAATCTACGTTCAATTTCAGCAGTGGAAATAATAATAGTCTCATGAGAGATATGTTACAACATGGGTTATTACAGTAAGAATAGAAATACATAAAGGCAATGGAATTAAACCCGAAATTAGTGCAAAGAATGTGTTGTTTGCGCGTTTGTAACGAATTATGTCATGAGTTTAAAACTAATCAGAAATAAAACTTTATTATTAAAATGGATGAGTATAAAACCCCGGGGCCCGACCGTTACGAACCTATTTCGCGGCACCCCCGGTGCATGTGTTAGTACCTATTAAATTTCACTGTTACCTATTTAATTTAATACACAAAAGCCTTCTCAAACGACTGATTGTTTGTCTGTCTGAGATACCTGAGGAAGGATTTTCCAAAATTGTAGATTATTATTATATTTACTTTGAGAGCTACCTTTGACAGACTTTTATTGAGCTTTTGGATACTTCATTGGAAGATTTTTAAAACGTTGTTGTCTATATTGATGCGTAACGTTAATAAACAAATAAATCAGTGCATCTACGAAAAATTAATCTTAGAAAGCTTTTACTAGAAAAATTTCCTCTTGGAGAAGTTGTCAGAGTGGATTTTTTTAAGTAAAAATTTTCTTTACATTTATAAATCGAGCAGATTAATCAACAATGATGAGATTAATGCTTAAAAATGTAATAAATAAAGTAGCTACCTTATGGTGGATGAATTTTCGAAATCTTTTCGAATTCTCAAAAAAATAACTTAAATAAAAAATAACAAGTCCAGTAGTCTATAATTCTGATATGTAAGGATAGTGTTACTTTAACACATGGGTCCTTCCCCATTATTGAAAATAATAGATCCATTCTTGAATATCTAATGGCTCCCGAGTGTTAAAGTAACTTTGTTCCTTACTCAATAGAATTATAGACTACTGAACTTGTTTTTTTTTCTTTTCAGTTTTTATTTGAAGTATTATTTAAGCAGTCGGGTTTTGAGATTTATTAAATTTACCTTTTTTATGTTCTTTGTGAGTGCCAAAGAGCTTAATACAAGCCTATCAACGCGTCTGTTTAACAATGATTAAATTTATTTGATGTTTAATTGCAGTCGTACGTACCGGTTGCGGTTTCAATTCTAGGATAAAACATATATGTCTGGTAATTTTTGTATGAATAACGAATTTTGAGTATTCGTAAAGGAAATGATATGTACAATACCAAAAGTAATACGAATAAAAAAAACCTTCTTTGTGTCAGTATAATATGATATCTCTATTAAGGGATTAAACAGCCCGCCGCAGTGAGTTTCGTGTATTTTCTCGCACAAAAATATCTAATGGTCTGTACAACTCACAATATGCCACAGGCAAAATTTCTCATTTTTTTTTTGCTTTCCCAACGTCTTTGGAAGCCCCAAAGATTAGGATTATTATATTATTTACCTAGTTATTTATACGTATGAATTTCTTTTGAAATTATGCTTCAGTGAAAATACTAAATGCTGATTTACTTAAGGTTTTTTTTCTTTCATTATTTTTAATAGGCACACTTAACAGAACCCCGCTGTTTTAATTCGTTTGATTTGTGTTCAATATTCTTTGCCTAATGAGACATATCGGTTAGCGAATGTATTTTTTTTTCATGTCATTTTTAATTTTGTAAAAAATTTAGCCATAACTTTTACACGCAAGGACCAAAAGAATACTAATGTAAACAACAGTTACATCTGTCTACACTAGTAAAGTAGCTTTGTGTAGTAACATGAAACAAAGATAGTCATTTATCAAACGACGCATCAACTCATTGACTGTGTAAATACCTCTTGATCATTGCAGCTCCATTTAAAACTATTTCAGCTTCTGTGTCAGAGTTTTATATTTTCACTGAGATCCATTCCATTATAAATGAGGAGCTCGAGAACAAAACGATATAATTATATAAAATAAAATTTTACAGGAGCTATAAAAAAACTGAACTCCAGTGAGCTTTAGGCATGGTTTTTAATTTATAAATTTAGTAATTTTAACACATTTATTTTAGGCGGTTTTAATTGAAAATTATATGAGATTCAAATTCAACGGGCTCGAAACCTCCGAACTGTAAAAAAAAGTAGTTTGACCAGATGCGTAATTATACCATTTTGTTCGCCAGCTCCTCAAATGCGAAAGTGTGTCTGACTGTCTGTCTATCTGTCTACCTGTTTGTCTGTTACCTTTTCACGCTTAAACCGCTTAACATATTAAGATTAAATTTGGTATGAAGATAGTTTGAGTCCTGGGGAAGGATATAGGATTTTATCTCAGAAATTATGCTTGAAGGGGGTGAAAAGGAGGGTGAGAGTTTGTATGGGAAACCAATTTTTCACGCACACAGAAGAGAAGTCGCGGGCACCCGATATATACAAATTCAACCCGATAAGATAATAAAATAACATACGTTAGCAGTGCACTTTTAGCCCATACACAGTAGGTAAGAAGCCAAGAGTCAAGCTACTCACTTAGTGACTTATTCTAGTTGACAGTAGCTCTGAATGCAGCAGGAGCAGCGATGAATCTTCAACTTTGTTATGTCGTGTCCTACCCTTTCGCATAAAATTTTATGTAAATTAAAGAAGTATGGACGATAACGATTAAGATAAAGGAAAGTCAGCGTTGACTAAAGCTTTGTGCAGGCGCTGATGTATTGCATAATATCGCCTTTGGTCACACCACAACTGCTAGAAGTGATGCACCGAGCTACGTAAACTGACTTAGACAGTTTATTGCTTATCTCTGAGCTTTTCAATAAGCTAAGGCTCCTTGTAGTATGCTTTTAGACTAGGCAACAGCTCATGAGATTTGGTGGAAGTCAAAATATCTTTATTAAAATTAGTCTGTTGGTGAACTTTGACAGTATTGAATAGTCTGTATTTACATTAACAGTGCTTTTCTGTGAGACTCAAGTGACTTTATTTGAAAATCGTATTGTAATTTAAAATCACAGCTCAGATTCCGTGGTGAAAAGTGAGTTTGTTTTTTATTGAATAGCACTATTGTATACCGAGAAAAGGTCTTTGATTGTAGAGGCGGTAGGAGGATATCGTCATTATATGAGGATTTAAGTTTATTGAAGTTGGTGGCATCGATTTTATAATACATCCAAATACTGGTCATTTGTACGTGTCACTATAAAAATCTATCAAAGTCCCCTATCCTAAAAAGATACTTTAAGCAGATCGAGCAGTCAGCTAGCAGTGTTAGAACTCATACACTTACATGTGACCTGTGTAGATAGACAGCCTGCTCTGGTATGCTCTAAAGCAAAGTTCTGTACCTACTGCAGCAGC